GCAACCATGGATGTGTTATATCTGTTATCTCTTAATCCATCATGTGACAATGTTGAGTAGTAGATATAACTTTACTGATAATCGTAACATCTTTGAAACAATTGGCTTGTGTTTTTGTATGCAGGTCTTTTTAAGTTTCTTTCACACAAACATTGTGCAATTGACTGACTCTGCATGTTTTTGTTATTTTGCGGTATACAGACTTGGTTATATAAAGACATCACTGGGGTATATCCTGTGATCATGGTAGAGAAATTTCAATGTTACTCTTTTAAGGTTGTTAAATTTATTAGAGAGAAGCAGGGTATTTGGACTGATATAATCAGATTTTTCAGCTGACTGACTTTGCAGTTTCGGCAAAAACCAACCAGCCTTTGATTAAGGGGCCTTCTACAACTTCTTTCAAATTGATTTTTTTTCAAAATTATAACTAAAACTTTGAATCCATTTTACTTTAACCACTAAATGCAAATTAGTTTTTTTGAAAATGAAAACAAAAAATTATCCAAAAACGGGGCACAAATTTTTTTGAGTGCCAATATGGCCTAACATAAGGACATAGTTTTGCAACTCTCTTTCACTAAAAAAATAAAAAATAAAAAATCCAAATAGTAATACCGATTAAGAAGAAAAAGTCGTGCAGCTATAAATATAAAAAATATAAAAAAGTCGTGCAGGTATAAATATAAAAGTAGTACAGCCGTGCGGCTATACTGCGGTTTTTATTAGGGAGTTTCACTAAAACACCCAAAATGGGGGCTGAAATTATAAAAAAACCCAACACCCAAAACACTTTATAAACACACCCAAAACCCATCATTACACACACTCAAAACTCATTTATAAACACACCCAAAAAATATACAATTGTTGATTTTATGGTTGATTTTGGGTGTGTTTCTATGTTTAGATAGTGCTTGGGTTTTTTTATAAATACATGTCTAGAATTGGGTTTATTTATAAATTTGTATTTTTATTATTAAAAAAATCGTATAGCCTAACGGCTATACTGTTTTGACACATGGCGAAATGGACGCTACCCTCTAGGCGGGTCTTTTTTTTAAGTTTTATAAATAGTATAGCCGAGGGGCTATACGCGGATATTTTTATAATAAAATAGTATATCCGCCCGTTTATACTACGGTTTCTATCAAATAGCTTCTATTTGGATTTAAAAGACTGAAGAGAAAAAAAAATGAAATCACAGACAGAAGGCAAATCATTATTGTAGGGGGTTTTTTGTTCCAGCAGCCTGACGAATGGGTCTGGGCTGCTGTAAGAAGACAACGAGCAAAATCCCCCAAATGCTTGAGTTCGAAACCAAGCTCCCAAGAGAGTTTTTAGAAAATCTGATGAGATTTTAAAAGAACACTCTCAGGATCACTTTACTAACACCCAAATAAGCATGATGATTTCACTAATGACTTAGCCTGAGGAGCATGTGGCATGGGAGCTAAGCTTTCACGAGTTTAGCAATTTGAGAGAGAGAGAGAGAGAACAGCATGAGTTTCTTGCAGAGGATAAAATCTAAACTGGGAACGAAGGAAATATTAGCAAGATTTTATCTCAGGGAAAGAAGAAAACAACGGAGAAAGAGGATTGGGTGGCTTGAGTAGATTCCAGGTTGCTTGACAAAGCTTGGTCAGGCTCTGGTTTCTTACAGAGGAAATATTAGCACGATTCCTATCCTAAGGGAGAAGAAGGATGAACGAAAGAAAGGTTTGGGTGGCTTGAGTAGATTCCAGGTTGCTTGACAAAGCTTGGTCAGGCTCCGGATGGTTTAGTTGTGGATGTCTTTTCTGGGTAGCAAAAGTCTCCTTTTATAGGCGTTAGGAGCTCTAATTTCGTCTGGTTTTCTTCTTCCTTTCTCCTTGGCAGCTCCTACTTAGCCCTATTTTGATGAATTTCTCCATCCAAGGAGCATGGGTAAGGAACCCTTTATGGTTCCAACGGTTTGACGCAGCTGGGCTTTCCCATAGAGGGGAAGGCGCCACCTGCTTTCCTTATGTTTTCTCCAAGGCAGAGCTTACAGAGGAAAAGGGGAGAGATGGAGCCTTTTGTCCGATGGACACTTCCCTCACCCCCATGGATTTCCTCTGGTCTTGCCATGGCTCCCTTATGACCATTGTTTGGAATTCAAACGGGAATAGGACTTGACGCCAGATTTTTGTAAGTTGCTGGGCTTGGGCTTGGGCTTGTACATATGGTATTGGGTCCTCTGGCTTTGTTGCTTCTATCGTTTGACAGGCTTTCGTCAAGCTGCTGGAAAGGCTTTCCCTTTAATTCTATTGATGTGGGCTGGGCTAAATATCTTGGTAGGTTCTTTGGTGTCTTCCTAGAGCATGGGTCAATTTTTTCTCCTCTCTCTCATGCTAACCCATGTGCTTGGGTTCTAGGAACGGGCTTGAGTTTCAAAGCCCCCAAGTGGCTTGAAACTTACGTTCCTTGAACCCTCAATGGGCCCCGTAATTGCTTGTTTCCTTCCATACCACAACCTTCTCAGTAAGCCCCGGTTAATTTTGTGGCTTGGGCCCACTTAGGCTTGTAGCGTGGTTAGGTGTGAGATAACGATTTTGTGCTTGGCATGGCATGTTGCTTGGCATGTTTTAATTTTATCGTCCTTGGGAAGGACTGCGATGTTTAAGTTTGGCATGGGCTTGTAGAGCCGGTATATTTTATCTCAACCCCTAGCATGGCTAATTTATTTAGCATGGCATGTGAACTACAACTCGCATGTGGTGGGTTTTCGTGTACTCCGCTTTACGCTTTTCCTTAGTAGAGTGTCGTTTTGGGCTGATAATTTATTCGGGCCCAACTATGGATTTTTTGGGCCTCAACATTAGCCCCCTTAATTATAAGGGCCATGGACAGGTGCTGGAATGGGCCGAATAATTAAACCCAGCCCAAAAAAAAAAAAAAAATTTGTATTTGTAGAGAACTTCTTCTCTTCCCGCATGCAAAACGACGACGCATCATGATTGGTTCCAGCGGTTATTTGTAGTTTCCCAACGCCAACCGCCTTCTTCTTCTTTTATTATTATTTTCTTCATTTTCTTCCTTTCTCCCTCGTTTCTCGCACCAGACCCAACCTTCTTCCAATTTTCTTTTCTTCACTCCCTTCCCCTTCTCCAACAGACTCAGACTGAGTGAGAGAGTGAGATCGGGCAGAAGTCATCTGCCTCCAATCGTTGTGAAGAAGCCCATGCCAAGTTCGACTCCGCCGCCCCTCCCTTATTCGAAGGGCTCCGTTCGTCGCTGCTGAAGGGGCCTCCTTGTGCGATTTTCTTCCAAAAATCCCCGATTTCTCTCCTTTTCTTGGTGTATTCAAGATCCTTCTTTGGGGAATTCAACAAGGTATGCTTTTTCCCTTGTTTTCTCTTGAATTTATTTGGGAAATTTGCTGGGTTCCTTTCATCCATGAATGTTGCCCTTTTGTTATGGCTGTGAAACACCAAACCCTCTCTTGACCTATTTTGTTATTGCAGCAACGTGGGTGCTTACAGCGTGGGTGCTAGCAAAGAAGGATTTGCATCCATCTTCCCAGGTTCTCTTTTCTTTGGTTTGCTCGAATTGCTGGAAAGGTACCAAATTTTGTGAGAAGAAACCGTTAGCTTGGGTTTGTCCCCCTTTTCCTCTTCTTTACTTTTATCTGACCTCTTCTTTGTATATGAAAATGCTGAACTTGGCATGATGTGCTTTCTCTTTTGTTTATTTCTGTGCAGGTGCATACGTCTCAGGCATAGGTGGGGCAGGTTCTGGAAGCCTTTGACGTTTCTGCCGCTGGAACCTTCAAATCCTCCAGCCTTCTAACTTGGATATTTGGGGCTTCTGTTTTAATCTTTTGGTAAATAGCTCTGCCAATTTGAATATTCTAGGAATAAGCATAGACTGGTGCTTGGCCTAGGCTTACTCCCCTTGCGAACATATGCTTGATTAATTGTTGAGTTTGTTCTCGGCCGTGAGAAGTAGAAGTTGACAGAACGCATGTCTTGCAATGCTTGATTTTTGTTTTGAGAGAGAATTTGCTTGGCATGCTTATTGATTCACAGGATGAGAACTTTGTTTGTCGCGAACTTGGGTCATAAATTGCATATTTGCTTGAACCCTTTTTTTTTTCTTTCTCGTATGCAGAGATTTGCCATTTTGCCAAAACTGGTCATGGCATCCGCTGATCTGTTGCCCATTATTAGGGACCCATTTATCCCCTAGATGACAGATTAAAAAGAGTGAGGCCTCCTTCTTTGCTTAAGAGTGCTGGTGAAGACGTATTCATTTAATGGAGAGCCAGCGCCGGAAACAGCTCCAGTGGTTGATCCTGCATAAAGAGGGGCATATTTCTGGCAGTCCCCTTATTCTTCCAATATCCATGTGGCATCAGCAATGGTTGGTCAGAATGGGTTGACTGCGAATTGAAGGACCCATCCTCCTGTGACATCCTAAATCGGGTAGGGTTGCTGGACGCTATCTTTATTTCTAAAGCTTGCGACATCCATATTTAAGCCAAGATGCTCCGGCATGTGGTTAGGCAATGGAATACCGAGACACACATTTACCTGTTCATGGGGAGAGTTTACTCCCACACTTGAGGATGTAGCCAATATTTTCCACCTTCCACTTTGCGGCAGCCAAGATGCTTTCCACATTGCGTTGTCTCCGGAAGATGAACTAAAGCATGAGGCTTTACGGAAGGGTGCCCTGACTTCTCCTAGCACTTCTCTGCGGTTTAGCAATTGGATACAGTTTTTCGGAGATGCTAACAAGAATGAGCCATGTCGTCTTGCAGCGCTTGCATCGTTATGGCTTGGGAGATTTCTCTCCTGTGATTTTTATTTTTTATTTTATTTGTTTTTATTTTTTATGATCATTTGCATGAGTGGGTGTTTCCTTTGGCCTTTGTGATAGCATGTGGCAGTGTGCTTCCTCTAGCCCCCATGTTCTTGGGGCACCTATACTGCTTGCTTGACCAAGTTCAGCTTCTTGAGAAAGGGTCGGCATGAACCATGGCTGTAGAAACCAAATTCCAACACTCGTTTGGAGGAACTGGATGCCTCAAGCATACCTCCGAATTTGTTAGTGACCATGAGCGGCATGTTGACATTGAACTAGTATCCAATAACCTTCTTGCTTGTTTTACTTGGTATATACACATTGAGTGCTGCCTGTTGTGACTTGCAACTCATACCCTATATTTCTCCTCTTTCTCAGGTTGAGAGCATCTCACAAGGTGCGGAGAATACACTTCCTACTCCTACTCCTAGGATGTCCAGCGTAGCTGCCTACACTGTCATGCGCCTTCCAGTAATGCAGCCTCATGCTCCTCTCTTAGGGACATCCGACACAGCTGCCGACATTGCCCCACAGCTTCTAGCAGTGCTGCCTCCTACTCCTTCTTGCTTGGGCACACGTGACACAGTCGCCAACACTTCTCCACAGTTTCCAGCAGTGCTACCTCCTACTTCTTCTTGCTTGGGCACACGTGACACAACCGCCGACACTTCTCCACAGTTTCCAGCAGTGCTATCTCCTCCTTCTTGCTTGGGCACACGTGACACAGTCGCCAACACTTCTCCATAGTTTCCAGCAGTGCTACCTCCTACTTCTTCTTGCTTGGGCACAAGTGACACAACCGCCGACACTTCTCCACAGTTTCCAGCAGTGCTACCTCCTCCTTCTTGCTTGGGCATACCCGACACAGCTACCGACACTTTTCCACAGTTTCCAGCAGTGCAACCTCCTACTCCTTGCTTGCCTCCTACTCCTTGCTTGGGCGCACCCGACACAACTGCCGGCACCTCTCCACAGTTTCCAGCAGTGCTACCTCATACTCCTTGCTTGGGCACACCCGACACAGCCGCCGACACTTCTCCACAGTTTCCAGCAGGGCTACCTCCTACTCCTTCTAGCTTGGGCACACCCAACATAGCTTTCGGCACCTCTTCACAGCTTTCGGCAGTGCTACCTCGTGGTGAGATTATTGATTACAGCCACAAGAACAGTGATGCTCTCACCTCTATAGGGCATTTATCCGAGAGAAACATGTTTTGTCGAGATTGGGAGAATTCTTTCATCGTTATGACTTTGTAATTTGGTATTGAACCACTGAAGCTTGTATTAATTTCTGAATGCTTGAGGCATGTTGCATGTCTTATATATATATATATATATATATTGCTTGGTTGGCAAAATTCGTCTTTGTGAACTGTTTGAAATTTTCTGACAGGTTGGATACCCTTAAAAACAAGGTATATGCTGCCCAAAATTTTGTATAACCACCAGCCCTGAAAAAGCACTTCCTTGTTATGTCTAAGAAAGATTAGACTAACGTGTGCATGATTTTTTTGTAACAGCTTGGCTTTGCCTTTCTTATATTATTTTTCTTGGGCATGCTATTTGTTGACAATTTGGGATCCCGTTCAAGTAGCTTGGCATGTTCTACTGCTAAGTGCATGTTATTTGCATGATATTTGCTGGGCATAAAATTAACTTAGCAGTAGTAAGGCTTGAGGCACTTCCCGTTGATGGGATCCGTCAGCGTGCCTCATTTGACAGAGACCAAGCGATAATAGCCGCTGCTGTAAGCCTCTTTGACTGTGAATGGGCCTTCCCATTGCGGGTCAAACTTGGAAGGTCTCGACACTTGTCTTCTTACATGCTCCACAACTTTTAGCACGAGGTCTCCTTGCTTGAAGGATCGAGGTTTGACTGTCCTGTTGTAAGCTTGGGCTACAGTTTTGTTGTACAACGATGTCCTCCTTTCGGCTTCCGCTCTTTTTTTCATCCAAAACTTCGAGGCCCAGCAGGCGCCAATCCGAGCATGACTTTGTATCCCATTCCAGGTGATTAACAGCTGATACTCTGGCTGTCGGGATGGTGATTTCCACGGGTGAAATAGCCTCAGACCCGTACACAAGTGAGTAAGGTGAAAAACCTGTAGCGCTCCTTGGTGAGGTGCAGTAAACCCACAAAGCATCCGGCAGGTGAACACTCCAGCCTCCTTGATACTCATATACCATCTTGCTTAGAATACTTAATATCGTCTTATTGGTAGCCTCCGCTTGACCGTTTCCTTGCGGGTAATAAGGCGTAGAGCGACGATGCTTGATACCGTACCCACTAAGGGTTGAACTCACTTGCTTGTTAACAAAAGGCGTGCCATTGTCGGTGACCATCTTGTATGGGATTCCGAACCTACACACAATGTGTTCCCGAATGAAATTCGAGACAGCAGCTCATGTGGCCTTCCGAAGGGGAATTGCCTCAACCCATTTTGTGAAATACTCCGTAGCAGTAAGGATCCATATGTAGCCATCGGAAGGGGGGATGGATTGTCCTGATCAAGTCAAGCCCCCAAGTGTGAAAGGGCCAAGGAGTGCGCATGTCCTGCAGCAACGTAGGAGGCTTGTGACTTAGATTGGAATGGACTTGGCCTTTGTGGCACTTCTTCACGAAGTTGTATGCATCATTCTTCATAGTATGCCAATAATACCCAACATTCAGTAGCTGTCGATAAAACCACTTCATTCCTTGGAGTTCACCACATTCTCCAGCATGAATTTCCTGCATAACTTGCTGTGCTTTTGATTCCCCAAGCATTTTAATGGTTCACCATTGAACCCTTTGCGATAGAGAGTCGACCCATCTACGAAGTATCTTTTTACTGTCTTTTTGAGCTTGCGAGCATGCTTGGAATTGGTTGGCAGGGTTCCGTCAATGAAGAATGCCAAGTATGGAGCCTTCCAATCCTCCGCGAATGAGATGGTGAATGATTCTTCAAGGGATGGTATTGTTGGACACTTGAGACAATTGGCTTGAACTTCAGCTGCTTATTTCTTCATTTCTGGCCAGTAATAACCCTTGCATTGCAGACGTCGATACAAATGATTATCGGTTCCAAATTGCAAGTGTTATCATGTACTTCTTGGAGCTTCACTCATGCTTCTGCTGACCCTATGCAGCGGGTCAAAATACCTCCTGGAAGGCATCTGTACAGTTCCCCAAAGATGATAGCATAATCTTTTAACTCCTTGATGTCGTTTCCCTTACTTATCTTCTCCTTCACAAGTTTCCGCCAGTCACCTTCTTCCATCGGCTGCTCATGAGCTATTGCTTCGATCACTGGCATGTCTTTCTTGATCACGGCACTGTTGGGTTGTTCTTCAACAAATGAAAGCTTTGATCCCAAAGTAGTCAACGTATCAGCATATCTATTAGTAACCCTTGGAATATGTTCCAACATAACTTGCTTGAAAGAATTAATTAGCCTTTCAGCAGCTGTCTGATATGGTGCCAGGGTTGCTTCATTCACAGCAAAGCTTCCTTGCAATTGACTTAGTACTAGGTTCGAATCGCCGATGATCTTCGCCTTTTCTGCACCCATTTCTTTTGCTATGGACAATCCCATAATAAAGGCTTCGTACTTCGCCACATTATTCGTGCATGGAAAGTCTAGCTTGAATGAGAGAGCCGTAGCTTGCCCATTGGGATTAATGAGCACGACACCTGCCCCTTCACCTTTTGATGTGGAAGAACCATCAAAGTAGAGGGTCCATGACTCCTCCTCGGTAACAATAGCAACCATTTCCGGCAGTTCTCCCAAGACTTCCTTGGAAAGAGTTGATTCCTCTACTTCAGGAAATAGAGCCAGCATGTCAATCACGGCTTATCCTTTGATGGCTTTTGGAGTGGTGCATGTGATATCGAATTCAGACAGCTGCAGCAACTAACATGCAAGACGTCCAGATAACACCGGCCTTGTGAGCAAGTATCTTACGGGATCAGACTTTACTATGAGTTGTAGCTTGTGAGCAAGGAAGTAGTGTCGCAGGCGCTGCGCAGCATAGACAAGAGCAAGGCACAAGAGTTCGGTCTTCGGATATCTCGTTTCAGCTCCCCTTAATTGCCTACTCACATAATAAATGGGATTCTCTTCCCCACCATGATCATCTTGGGCAAGCAAAGCCCCAACCACTGTGTTCGTCGCAGCCAAGTAAAGCTTGAGTGGAAGTCCTGGAATAGGTGCCCTCATCGTGGGCAGCTTGATGATCAGTTGTTGTACCTGTTGGTAAGCTTCTTGGCATTCCTGGCTCCATATATATGGCTTCCCTTTTTTGAGTAGAGGAGTGAAAACACTCATCATGGCAACAAGGCCTGGAATAAAACGCCGAATGTATGACAATCTTCCCATAAAACTTTTCAACTCCTTTGGATTCTTAGGTGGTGCAAGAGAGCATATGGCTTTGGGTTTTCTCAGAATCCACATCTATACCACGCTGGTGTACCTGAAAGCCCAGGAACTTGCCGGATGAGACTCCGAATGCACATTTCTTTGGGTTCATTTTTAACCCGTACGGCCGGCACCTTTCCGGCACCCGCCTCAGAACTTCCTAATGACTTCCTCTGGTTTTGGATTTTACTGCAAGATCATCCACGTAGTCTTCCACCTCTTTTCCCATCATATCATGAAACACTGCCATCATGGCCCGTTGGTAGGTAGCACCGGCGTTCTTGAGACCGAACGGCATGACCTTGTAGTAGAAATTTTCGTAGGGCGTTCGAAAGGCTGTCTTCTTAGCATCCTTGGGTGACATCTTGATTTGATTATAGCCACTGAACATATCCATGAATGACAGCAAGCCTTGACCTGAGGTTGAATCAATCAATACATCCATGTTGGGCAGTGGGAATTCATCCTTTAGGCGAGCTCGGTTGAGGTTTCGGTAGTTCGTGCATATTCTAATTACTCCAGTCTTCTTTTTCACGGGAACAATATTTGCTAGCCATGTTGGATGCTTGATTGGTTTGATGAATCCAGCAGCTAACAACTTTTCAATTTCCACCTTGATTTGTTTTTCAATTTTAGGATGAAAATTCCTCATTGGCCGCACAACAGGTTTTGTACCAAGCTCAATATTCAAAGTATGACTTATGGAGATACCAAGGCTCCTTCTCCTCACTTGTTAATTGAACACTGATGGAGATGGGTCTTGGGGCAGAGGGATCTTCACTCAAATCAATTGTTTCCAGCTGCTCAGCTACCGCTGTTGATCCATCTTGCATGTGTCTATGTGCTGTCATTGGCTCTTGGAAAGCACAAGGCGTGGATGCCTTGTCATCTGGATCCTTATGGCTGTTCGCTTGCATTGCTTCTCCTCCATACTGGGGGCTTTCCAGCAGGACACGGTTAAGCCCCCAATCCCGTCATAAGCGATACACCGTGCGCCCATCTGGCAGCGTCACCTTTGAGCATTGGGGATGGTCGTAGGCATGGTTATTGACCTCCGAGTGCTTTTTTCTTTCTCGATCAACAGTGGTGATGAGCTTCTCGTTGCTTAGATCACGAATTTCAGTCCATGAAGGGAGATAGGTCCCGAAATCCTTGGATGGTTTGCTTCTAGCGCCTGTGCATTCGGTGTAAAATTTTGCCTCGGAGTAGTGAGCTTTGTTTTTGTTGAACAGTGCTTGGTTTTCAGGTATGCGGAATGGCCTCAGCCCAATCCTTCCCTTCATGCATTGATGGTAAATAGAGACTACAAGTTTATGCTTGTTAAGCCATGGCCTTCCAAGCGAAGCATAGTAAGCCACATTCACATCTACCATGTAAAACTTGGTAAGTGACCGGATTGGCCCCACCTTCAAGTTTACTTGCATGTGTCGGACCGTGATCTTACTCTTATTCCCGAAATCACTGATGCTTGTTTGAGATTGCACGATTTTGGATAATGGAATACCAGTTGCCATAAGCACAGACAGAGGTAGTATATTGACAGAGGAGCCTGTGTCTACCAAAGCTCTTCTTATAAACACATCGTTAATTTGTCCCTCCAAATAAAGTGGCCTCTTATGGGTATGGAACCTCCATGTCCTCGTCTGTGAGGACGATAGCATTGTCATTTCCTAAAAATGACCTTTGTAGTTGAGCGGTGAAGCAATGAGGATCGGATTCTGCAGAGATGTTCATGAGAGCTACAGCAGCTACTTCTCTAGCTTGAGGCCTAAAGCCAAGTTGGTCAAAGAGTGACTTGAATTTCGGGTTTCTTTAAAAGACATGCGAAGCTGTGGGCCCCTGTTTCAGACTTAAATATCGTTCCATTGCACTTGTTTCAGCCTCTGTAAGGTTATGAAATGTTACAGCAGCTATTTCATGCTATCCCAATGAAGACCCCGAGTAGCATTCTTCCGGCATGTCCAGGACAAAAACTTCATTGCCTAGGTCATCACCCCATCCATCAGCGAGCGGCCATGGCATGCTTCAATTATTTACACCAATATGCCTTCTCCATGTTTCCGCAAGGTTCCCACATAGCTTCCAACGGCTTTGGGTCATTCCTCCTCGGGTGGCACAATTCGTCATCATCAAGCAAATCATCGGAACATGTAATAACAGCAGCTACCTCTTTTCCCCTTCGTTTTGGCAAGGGGTCTTCATCTATTGTTTGCTTCCTAGAGGGAAGCTCAAGGACTCCCTATGTATTTTAGCATGTAAAATCCTCCTTAGACTCTGACAGGCAGTAGTTGGATGGTTCGTCATCTATGGCTAATGCTTGGTATGTCTCCTTCTTATCGCTCCTCCAAGTCCTCGCTGGTTTGACAGACATGCTCGTCTTTCTTACTGCTTCCAGCAGCCGGGAAAATTGACTGATGCCAATATTTTCCAAGTACACTCTATAGTCTGCTACGATGTTGCTGATGCAAATCTCAACAAGTGCCTCTTCATCCTTTTCGTCATAGCAATCGAGAGCCAAGTCCCGGAACCTTCTCACAAAGTCCACGGGATCCTCCCCTTGCTTTTGGCGAGTGTTATTGAGCTGCGTGGTGGTAACCTTCTCCTCGTGCTGAAAATATTTTTTACAAAACCTGCTCGCCAAATCATCCCAGGAACGCATAGAGCCTGGTGCCAATGTGGTGTACCATGTATAAGCCCGATCAGTGAGGCTCTTTGAGAATTCTCGGAGTCGAAGATTATAATCACCGGCGTATGGCCCCAAAGCATCAAGGAATCGGTTGACATGTTCCTTTGGGCTTCCTTTCCTCCCATCGAAAATAACAAAGGTTGGTGTTTCGTAACCTTTGGGATAGGGCTGCTGGAGTAAGCTTGCTGGGTACGGTGGCTGAGGAAGATACTTCCAATCTTCCTGACTTCGACTTAGTTTCTTTTCTAGCATGGCAATGACATCTTCGTGAGTGACAAATGATGGCTCCTTTTGTTCAGAACTTTTTCTGGCAGCGACAGGCTCCTCCTGTGGAAGCCTATCGTTTTCTTCACTCGGCTTAGCAATCGAACTTTTCAGCTCTTTGATTGTTTCTGCCATTTTCTTCTGAGTCTCTCCCATAGCATGGATGGCTGCAACAACGTCTGTGAGGGTGAAAGCTCCCTCACTATGACGTTCTTCTTCTCTTGAGGAGGCATATTGCCTTGATTCCGAGTCACCATGGTTTGGCCTGTCTTGAGAGGTCATGTTGTTGCTTCTGGCTTTCTTCCTTGGAGGCATCAGTAAAATGGCAACTTGGTCCCCAGCAGAGTCGCCAATTTATGTAGGGGGTTTTTTGTTCCAGCAGCCTGACGAATGGGCCTGGGCTGCTGTAAGAAGACAACGAGCAAAATCCCCCAAATGCTTGAGTTCGAAACCAAGCTCCCAAGAGAGTTTTTAGAAAATCTGATGAGATTTTAAAAGAACACTCTCAGGATCACTTTACTAACACCCAAATAAGCATGATGATTTCACTAATGACTTAGCCTGAGGAGCATGTGGCATGGGAGCTAAGCTTTCACGAGTTTAGCAATTTGAGAGAGAGAGAGAGAGAACAGCATGAGTTTCTTGCAGAGGATAAAATCTAAACTGGGAACGAAGGAAATATTAGCAAGATTTTATCTCAGGGAAAGAAGAAAACAACGGAGAAAGAGGATTGGGTGGCTTGAGTAGATTCCAGGTTGCTTGACAAAGCTTGGTCAGGCTCTGGTTTCTTACAGAGGAAATATTAGCACGATTCCTATCCTAAGGGAGAAGAAGGATGAACGAAAGAAAGGTTTGGGTGGCTTGAGTAGATTCCAGGTTGCTTGACAAAGCTTGGTCAGGCTCCGGATGGTTTAGTTGTGGATGTCTTTTCTGGGTAGCAAAAGTCTCCTTTTATAGGCGTTAGGAGCTCTAATTTCGTCTGGTTTTCTTCTTCCTTTCTCCTTGGCAGCTCCTACTTAGCCCTATTTTGATGAATTTCTCCATCCAAGGAGCATGGGTAAGGAACCCTTTATGGTTCCAACGGTTTGACGCAGCTGGGCTTTCCCATAGAGGGGAAGGCGCCACCTGCTTTCCTTATGTTTTCTCCAAGACAGAGCTTACAGAGGAAAAGGGGAGAGATGGAGCCTTTTGTCCGATGGACACTTCCCTCACCCCCATGGATTTCCTCTGGTCTTGCCATGGCTCCCTTATGACCATTGTTTGGAATTCAAACGGGAATAGGACTTGACGCCAGATTTTTGTAAGTTGCTGGGCTTGGGCTTGGGCTTGTACATATGGTATTGGGTCCTCTGGCTTTGTTGCTTCTATCGTTTGACAGGCTTTCGTCAAGCTGCTGGAAAGGCTTTCCCTTTAATTCTATTGATGTGGGCTGGGCTAAATATCTTGGTAGGTTCTTTGGTGTCTTCCTAGAGCATGGGTCAATTTTTTCTCCTCTCTCTCATGCTAACCCATGTGCTTGGGTTCTAGGAACGGGCTTGAGTTTCAAAGCCCCCAAGTGGCTTGAAACTTACGTTCCTTGAACCCTCAATGGGCCTCGTAATTGTTTGTTTCCTTCCATACCACAACCTTCTCAGTAAGCCCCGGTTAATTTTGTGGCTTGGGCCCACTTAGGCTTGTAGCGTGGTTAGGTGTGAGATAACGATTTTGTGCTTGGCATGGCATGTTGCTTGGCATGTTTTAATTTTATCGTCCTTGGGAAAGACTGCGATGTTTAAGTTTGGCATGGGCTTGTAGAGCCGGTATATTTTATCTCAACCCCTAGCATGGCTAATTTATTTAGCATGGCACGTGAACTACAACTCGCATGTGGTGGGTTTTCGTGTACTCCGCTTTACGCTTTTCCTTAGTAGAGTGTCGTTTTGGGCTGATAATTTATTCGGGCCCAACTATGGATTTTTTGGGCCTCAACAATTATGAACCATATTAGTCATCCTACCAATTCCTATAAAAACCCGTTATATTACAAACACTTGACAACACTGACTAAACTAAAAACCATCAAGAGCTTTCTCTCATTCAGCCACATTCAAGTTTGTTTAATTTTGTTCATTCTGAATGGAAGGAATAGCTGCAACGCGTTTCACACTTGTATTTGCTTTGGTGATTATGTCGTTTTTGGCTATGGCGCAACACATTGTCATTGAGGGTTCAGATATGTCATTCTCTTGTAGACTCCAATTGCCATCCGGAAAATTGTGAAGCTTCATGTAAGGATGAACTCAAGGATGATTTCATGAGGTTTGAATGTGTGCCTATTGGTGAAGCAACTGTTTGTGTGTGTTTTAGCAAAAATTACTAGTAATTAACAATACTGATGTTGGCATTGTAAGTGTCTAATAATAATCCATGATGTATTTTTATACGATTGGTGTTGTCGCTTTCTTTGTCGTTTATTGTTTCACAAATCTTCTTCAATTGGACAAAAGAAGAAGAAAAAAAATCGTAACGAAGAGGCACACTAAACTTCCCAAGCTTACAGATTATACACGAGAAATTTCACCAAAGATTGGCTCCATTCCATTGAGCCGACTTTACAGATTAAACATGACCTTAATGGCATTGCCTCCACCAGCACTCTGGTTTCAAATGCTTTTTCCACTGACCTTAGAGGTTTTCCTGGGCAAATTCAACCACCATTACATCGCTTTTGGCTAGATTGTTCCAAACACATCTAGATTGGTCAAACACATTGACTTCAGGAATTATCCTGTGTATCTAATCCTAAACACATTTACTTATGACTGCCTATTTGTTATGCATTTCAAGCATACATATCGTTATATCTTAGTTTGTAGTGGCTCTTTCTTTCAGTCAAACCTCCCCAAATTGTACTCGTTCATTAAATATAATAGAAGTGACCAATTAGAAAACTGAAATTAAACTGTAAATGCGGAAATTATCGAAAGAGAAAAGAAATACACACTGAACACGGAAGAAAATTTAGAAAAGAACTAACTGATATATTCAATAATGAAAAAAAATAAAGAAGGGGGCATGGTAAATAGGGGGGATTCTCCTATTTATATGCAATAACTGTTAAAATAAATCTTAACACTAAACGATGAGGTACGGAACTTTTTATCCAAGTTCAGAAAAAGGAAAGTTTTTGTGGAATTCATGGTAACATGGACTTGAGCTTTCTCGAGGAAACCAGTTGGAGGGAGGTTTGAGCGCCCTTTTACTCAGAGATGCTGAAGATGATGATACGGACTACAACTGCTGCTACTTCTTCTTCTTGTTATTGCTGGAGCAGCAGAGGTATGAATTGTCTTCACTCTAACTCCACTTTTCTCGTTTTCGTCAACAATTACTTTGCTTTCTTTCACTCTCAACCTTCGAAACCGATCAAATCTACAAGAACCCAACTAGAGCAGCCAAAAAGAGACTTACCCAAAATCACAAATGTTGAGGATGCCTTCAATGTGTTCGATAGAATGCTTCAAATGCGCCCTCTGCCCTCTGTTGTCAGTTTCAATAAAATCTTGGGTCAAGTTGCAAAATTGAAACATTACTCGGCCGTCATCTCATTATATAACCAAATGGGTGCGTCCGGAATTGGACCTCATGTTTGTACTCTAAACATTTTCATTAATTGTTATTGTCATCTAAACCAAATGGGGTTTAGTTTATCTGTATTGGGAAAATTCTTCAAACTTGGTCTTGAACCAGATGTCTTTACCTCCAACACTCTAATCAACGGCTTTCTTCTTGAGAATAGAGTGGCGGAGGCGGCTGGAATTTTCAACAAAATGATGAGGGGAGGTAATTGTCAGCCTAATGTGGTTACTTTTGGCACAATAATAAAGGGCTTTTGCATGAAGGGTAACAACAGTGCTGCTATTCAGTTGCTTAGGAAGATGGAGGAAGGAGCTTGCAAGCCTGGCCGAGTTATCTATAACACAATCATCGACAGTCTTTGTAAGGATACACTAGTTGATGATGCATTAAACCTCTTCTCAGAAATGACGTGCAAGGGTATTGCCCCAGATGTCATTACCTATAACTCTTTGATGAATGGAGTTTGCAAATTAGGCAAGTGGAAAGAAGCTGTAAGGTTGTTGAATGAAATGGTGAGTAAAAATATCTTTCCAAATGTGCGCACTTTCAATGTCTTGGTAGACACAATTTGTAAGGAGGGGATGGTCTTGGAAGCAGAAGGTGTGGTAGAAATGATGATTCAACGAGGTATTGAACCTGATACGGTTACGTACAGTTCACTCATGGATGGTTACTGTTTGCGAGGAGAAATGAGCAAGGCTAGAAAAGTTTTTAAACTAATGCTTAGCAAGGGATCGATGGTTGATGTTATTTGTTATAGCGCATTGATAAATGGATATTGTAAGCATAAGATGATGGATGAGGCCATGAGGCTACTTCGAGAAATGACTTGTAAGGGACTGGTTCCAAATGTCGTTACTTATAACACTCTTGTCGACGGTTGTTGCAAAGAGGGGAAATTAGGTGATGCACAACAGTTGTTCTCAGAGATGCAAGCTTGTGGTCAACTTCCAGATGTTCAAACTTATGCTATTCTACTGGATGGCCTGTGTAAAAACCGACAACTTTCTACAGCAATCCAACTGTTTAAAGAGATGGAAGGCAAGAAGTTGGATGCAGATATTGTGATTTACAATATTCTTATTGAAGGTTTGTGCCTAGCTGGGAAAATTGAATCTGCGAGGGTTCTCTTTCATGGGTTATCATCAAGAGGGCTTCAACCGAATGTGAGGACATATACCATAATGATTAACGGACTCTGTGTTGGGGGCCGAACAAGTGAAGCAGAAAAGCTGCTTACTGAAATGGAAGAGAAAGGTTGTCCTCCAGATGATTGTATCTATAACGTAATTATTCGAGGGTTTATCAATAACAATGAGACAGTAAGGGTGACAGGACTTATTCAACAAATGGTGGAGAAGGGTTTCTCTGCAGATGCATGGACTACAGAATTGATAGTTGATCTATTGGGTAAAGATAAAGTAGATCCTGCATTGTTGACATTGATGCAAAAAGAGAATTATGAACTTAATTTGCCTTAGTTAAAGTTGAACAGATCTTCTGACCATCCCAATAAACATTGAAGCTCTTCCACCTCTGGCAACCATGGATGTGTTATATCTGTTATCTCTTAATCCATCATGTGACAATGTTGAGTAGTAGATATAACTTTACCAATAATCGTAACATCTTTGAAACAATTGGCTTGTTTTTTGTACGCAGGTCTTTTTAGTTTCTTTCACACAAACATTTTGCAATTGACTGACTCTGCATGTTTTTGTTATTTTGTGGTATACAGACTTGGTTATATAAAGATATCTTTGAGGGATATCCGGTGATCATGATAGAGAAATTTCAATGTTACTCTTTTAAGGCTGTTAAACTTATTAGAGAGAAGCAGGGTATTTGGACTGATATAATCAGATTTTTCAGCTGACCAAGACTTTGCAGTTTCGGCAAAAAACAAACAGCCTTCGATTAAGGGGCCTTCTACAACTTCTTTCAATTTAAACAGGGCTTCTTGGAACCAACAGCATGAGCAGAACTCATTTGATAACACTCTCAGCCAAATGTTGCGGTCTCATTTTGAATTGATTAATCATCTTTGCACCGAAATGAGAAGTTCGAGTTTTATTCGTTAAACCTTTAGATTATCTAAACTTTTATCTTAATTGTACTATATATGTAATTTGAAAAGATTTTAGATGACCTATCAGTTGTTAAGGATTAATGTCAAGGGAAACTACATTTTGTTTATAATGGAAAGTTCTCACACAAGGATATTCTGCAAGGGTAGCAAATAGAAGCAAACAATACAAATATTGAGAAAATCTAAATGAAGGCTAAATGAGAAAAACATTAAACCAAAATAATTGTGAAATCTAATTTATGAGAAACAATATTTGATTCCATATCCGTCGAACTAAAACAGACGAGGGCAAAAACCGAGCAAAATCACTTATACAGCACACATCAAACAACTTTGAGTTTTGGTCTTGGGGGTTTTCAGTCTATACAGGAGGCTACGTCTTTCGAAACTCTCAGCATTTAAAACTTCGGCTTCCTCAGCTTCTCCAAACTTGAATAGATTAATCCTAACAGAGAATACAATACTGCCTTTATGCAATCCATTATGAAATTCCAACAAGAAGAGGGCCAGTACCATGGATACAACAGTCGGAAGAACAGGCTTATAAGATGCCGCGGATATCTCCCAACCTGCATCACAAATAAAAGTTATGTTCCCACACTTGCTAAACAAAAGGCGTAACCCTATAATCCATCTGAAGCCACGATAACGAAGGATTCTCTAAAAGCATCATGTAAGGTCCTATACTTTTATTCCATCTCTGGGTTTAGAACTTACAGTCATAAAATTATCTCATGATTTTACCGAAAAGGTTTAGATCTATTATCATGGATCTTTCAGGTCATCAATAAAGGTCTCCACTTTGCCCACATTCAACAACAGATGGGAGGATTTGCGATAACATAGTAGGTTTAGATACTTAAAAAGGAAAACAGCACGTATATAGTGTGTTAGAACTTAGCATAAGCTTATCAAGGATGAAAGATGTATGCAAAGAACTGAAGATTACTAGTATAACCTATATCTCTTGGTAAAGCAAAATACTTGAGCTTACTGCCAAAGCAGACAAACAAAATGCAGCAAGATATCCAGTTTTAACAGAAACTGTGATAGAGAAAAATATACTCACGGGAAAAAGCAAATCTAATGCATCCCAGGCAGCATGACGAACAGCTCTTGTGGGGTACATTGGACCACCAGGAGAAGTGAAACTATACAAACAAGCCTTTAATCTTGTACTTGTGGCCATTCTCAGATCCATTCCTGTTAAATTAATAATACATTAACTAGAATATATAGCGACCATAATACCAGGTTCACATGATGCCTTAAATCTTAAACCTAGAAATTGGTTAGAATATTACCCTGGAGAAGTTTTATGTGCGACAGATAGTGCAGCAATACTGGTTCCACCTTCAGTTTTTGAAGCTGACCAGTAAAGAAAATATAAACCTCATTCAATGCAGTGTGAGAACAAAAACTCAACAAAAGTACTTACAGCACAGAGTGTTTCAAAATTTACCTGATCTGCAAGTTCAATAACAAAGAAGTCTTCTGCACCACCAACCAGAAAAGCATTTGGAAAAAGAGGAAATTGCCTTAAGAAGCTCCCGAGTTTGTCAACTGCATGAATCAACACATTACTGGAGAATTTACAATTTCTTGATTCAGGGGCTGAAGATGCATTACCAGAAAACCCACCTGAGTTATAAAAAAATATAAACCTCGAAAGTAAAAGAAATAGATCTCGCTGGACCTGAGAATTAATGAAGAATTCTAAAGTTAATTTTAAATTCCAATGCAAATTATTTTGGCTCCTCAATCAATCTCATGGCTAGAATGACAGTTATCCACACCAAGTAAAAAGTTCCTTGTAAAAGTTTAATAAAAGCATGAACTCCTGACCTGTACAGGGATTTTATTCAACCGTTTGGGCTCCAAAGCAACATCTTCAAGAAGATACTGAAATACAATGTGGGGTAAAACAACACAAAAATGTAATGAATATTTCGTAAAGTTCTTCAACAAAAACATATAAATGTCATCTTTATGAGGGCTCATACACGAAAGAGGGATTGAAATCGCCTTGTATTTGATTGAGTATCAATCCTGAAAATATGCAGAGTACCATTAAAAAGTTTGTTAAGCCAAATGGAGAATAATTTATATATTGTGTGCTAGCACAAATTAAACCTAGTAACTTTTTTTTCGGTTACAATCAAATCTAGTAACTTTGAAAAGGAAGAAAAAGAACAAATTTGATTATCCAAATATGCTATTTGTTATTATATATATGGATAGGAGCAGCCAGAAGACGAATGCTTAATGTTGGACAACAATGGGAACTAAGCAAATAGAACGTTAAAAAGGTCCCAAAAAATTTTTTTGCTGCAGTTTTTTTTTATCCCCCAAAAGGAGGAAAAAAAAAGGTTACATAGAGAATGTGCGAGGCTGCTTGGAGGACAATTGATGAGAAAGAGAGAGAGTCCTCTCAAAAGGCCTCGCTCACAAAACACTGAATTAATATCTGCCTCCTAACTAAGCCATATATGAAATCGAAAGCAATTCATATGGCTACTCAAAGAGGCAGTAATTAAACATAAAATCACAAAACAAATATCATCCACAGAGACCAGAGACCAACACATGTTCAAACCTAATTTGTATCTTTTTGCTTCTGCCATGTAATTCCAATCAACCATTAACAATCAACGAGCATAAACTAGTATCCATACCAGAAAACATTTGTTGCACCTTCAATAAGAGCAGATGAGTAACGAAGAAGAACTTCAGAGTTGTCAAGTTGAACTTCAAACAGCTGCCCAAAAAAATAGAAGACTTACTCTTCGGCATCGCAGGGACTTAATTCAGGAAAAAGAGTAAAGAAGGAACAGTCAACTTCAAGCTCTCAATGATTTGAAATTCAGATTTTGTTGTTGTTCTAACTATAACAAATAACTAGGCTCCACATTTCTACATGCAAAGCAATTCACCATCTGTAAACTCTCCCAAATGATATATGAATACTACCTAGGAAAGTATGCAAACCCGAATTTCATTCGTTGAATGTCTGAAAACCAACTGTCATTCATTTTGAAAAACAATTTGTATATTAAGGTTGTCGACAAATTTCCAGATCATGTTCAATGGGTTTGACAAATTGTCAAAGCCGTTCTGCTGTATCCACCTGATTTATAGGTGAAAGTTCCAACAGGTAAGATCCCCCATAAATGAACAGATGACAATATAACTTATTACTTTGAAAGTCAGGCTGATCATATATATACTCCAGGAAAATAGTAGTTGGTCTTGAGTGAGACGACTGCCCTATGGAATGTAGTCTAGTGCCTAGGCTGAGGCAAAAGGCACTTTTTGCAAGATCATAGCTGACCATAAATAAACAGGCTTCAAATACTAGATTTTTTCTAATTTTTTCAAGAGATAAAAAAGACCAGACATTTGGACAATATGATTTTTCAACAAAACAAATCACCAAGTAGACGCAATTATGCTCCCAGAAGGGCAACTTCAAAAATAGAATGGAAAAGATCAATACACTGGATGCATGTTTACATACCCATTTGTGGAATAACAAAGCAAAAATATGAGATGCAAATGACTGGCTCCATAGTTGGACAATCAAATCAAGGATGCGTTTTCCACTCGCAGGCACCTGAACATAATGGTCAGTGAGCACATCATAAAAGCATAGCTGACCATCCATGCTATCCTCTGCAGGAGAAATTGCATCTTCTTCCCTGCTGAGAATCATATCTGACACACAATTTGAATACCAAAAATGAGAACACCACTCGTAAAGTGAATTGGGGAAGTAGTGAACAGATTTCCACAACATACAAATCACACTGCAGTAAAGCGATGAATAGTCAATATGCCTGTGGGCCACTTTTAGTCCCACCCATCACATATGGGGTAGTAATAGTAGTGCACACTCATTTGGCACATATTTCCGAGGTATGGAAGTAAAGTAACCATGTTCTTCTAGCATTCTTATCATTTTTAAGCTGACAAATAAATGATTCTCAGCCAATACCAAGTATTATCACTGGCAGTTGAATTATGACCCTTAAACACCATTAATATGTTACTAAAATAAATGCCATCTTAATCATACACTCGAATTGTTCAACCATACTCTAAAATACATCCAATTATAGCAGTATCACAATAAGAGCAAACAATTTTGGATGTCAACATACAAAGTTTTACTCAACACGAAAATAGACTTCCCAACTTTCCATCAAACACAGGTGACCGCTAATTCAGAAAACGGACAAGTCTATGGACAATTTCGACTTACCTTTGGCTCGCTCATCGATCTCCAAAGCTATGTCAGCAAACAACTCCTGCAACAAGTTGCGCCGCTGTGTCGGAGAAGCTAGCGCCTACAACAACACATTAAACGCACATAAATCTGACGGCAATGAAATTATAAACTCCAGCATCCAAATTAAGCGCTCTCTACAAGCAAACCAGCTATCTACACAATGCCAAATCAAGCATTTCCATCATTGCAATAGAAATTTGCGCATGAAAGATTTTCCGTTTGCTTGCCGAGAAAAAAAAATCTTAAAAAAGACCAATCAACCATAAAAGTAACTCAATAATTAGAAATTCGATGTATTCATTTCATTTCGTCATTTAGTGTCCTAGATTTTCTCAGTAACCAAACGGGAAACGAAGAGTGAATACCCGCTGGAGCTTCTTCTCGATTTCTAGAGTGACGGCATCGAGATAGGCAGAGCTTCGAGGCGTTGACATTCTGATGGGGAGTTCAATCTCCAAGAGAATAGCAATAGCATTACAGTTACAGAGAGAAAAACCCTATCTCTGATTGATCCAATCCAAACACGGCCTTAACCGAAACCGATACGGTTCTCGGCTTCTTCGTCTTGAATTATTGAAATGGGTTGAAAATGAAAGCCTCTGTCGACAACAGGAGCTGGTGAAACAGTAAGCTGTTTTGGTCTTTACCTATTAATTAATTTGAAAGTATAAATAGTATATATTAAAATAATAAAAGGGGATTGAAAGTTGGGGGTACTCTTGATGGCGTGACAGAGAAGCAAAATGTGGTGGACGGGTGGAGCCGAAGGAGGGCCTCTGTGATCTGGGATGGTAATGGAGGTAGAGCGGTGGACAGTACGGATTTACTACACGTTGAATTGCGCCACGTCACTTTTGCTTTTATCATAAGCACGTCGTCCGACCCAAAAAAGAGCACGGCGAATTTTTTATCAAAACTTTAGTGCCTAATTTGGGTGCATAACGGGGAGTATATCCTCTTCAACCGACTTGATTAAGTTCATATCTTTTTAATTTCATGTATTTACAGTTTACTTGTCTAAGCAGTATGATGAAATCAAAGAATTAATACAAATGACTAATCATTAAAAGCATATAATTGATTTGCTTACACGCAAGTGAATGAATGACTGTAAATTATTAAGCGATGGGTCACGTGAGTAATTGCAGTTGGTGGAACTTATAATCTTTAAAGACTTGTAGTATATGATCTTAACCACTCGAGTAATGTTGCCACCGTGATGATGACCATGCTTACATTTTAATTCTTAGCGTCTTCATAATTATTATAGGAAGTGAATTTCTGATGCAGTTGCAATCAGCAATGTTTTTTCCTGTCAAATACCAAATTATACTTGTTGTATTTATCTTCTAATTTGGTTGGTCTTATTCTCAATTTGTATGATATCTTATTAAACTGAACAACGTCCACGCAAAGTAGGACATGTTAGGTTAACCTTTCTTGTGGACAGACATTAAGCAAATGATCCTATCACGAATCTAGTTTATCCTCTGGAGGTTGACTATGAGATCCGTATTGGCCAAATCTATTATGCAAAACAAAAGTGCACAGTACCCTTTATTCTTTCTTTTTTATTTTCTGAAACAAAGTGCACAATATGATACTGATATGAACGAATGACATGAGAAGATTTTGTGAACAGTCAGCCTATATTAACATCATCTCACCTTCATATATTAGACATCAAAGAGGACTTCACATGTTTCTCATGGTTTCCAAATTATAGGTCAAGGCTTCTTAAATTAATTAGGGAAACAATACGTTTGATTTCTTTTTATACCTCATTTGCCCTAATGACCAAGTCAAGTTTCGGACCGAAAAAAGAAAAAAACACCAAGTAAGAGTATATCAGAACAATATGATTTGCATCTGAAACCGGAATTTGCATGCTTATGGCCAAGACTGAAAACTGAAATGCATCAAAGGCATTCACAATAGGGATTCAACACATCAAAATATATGGGTCATACATCATTTTATGCCCAAAATGCACTAGGGGATAGAGGAAAGCTCATAAATACAGTAAGACTCAGATTCTTGGTAGATAGATGATAAATATACCTACTTCACCAGCCCATCAATGTTCTTCTAACTCTATCTACAATCTGATTCTTAGCTACCATATTTGATAATTGAAATTGGTGGTTCTCTTCCAACAAGAACCTATAAACCTCCCATTCACGATCTGATGCTGAGACCCTTCCAATTTCAGCCTGAAAGACAAGACAACAAACTATTAAAACTGCTGCAAAATTTGATTTGGTAATTCAGAATTAAGCCAAGCACTGCACTTTGTTACTTGAAAAAAAGGTAAATCACAATAAATTTCTCCCATTCAACACTTGAGCTAAATCAGAATGCATGGCATGGCATCTCATCCTGTCTTATCCTACTAGAGTACTTTCAGAGTTTGAAATGTGTGTGTGCATTTTTGAATCACTTCTGCATTTCCTTACCGAGAAAATGCAAATGCCGAGTGTTTTTAAAGCCAATGTAACATCATAGAAAACTCGTGGTCGTCCCTTTCCAGATAGCTCCACTGGATTAGCAACCAACAGTTCAGTATCTGGCCCTCGGTTTGCAATGATAACGCGTAAAGGGTGAAGCATCTCCACCTTCAAACACAAACACAGTGCACTCTGCTTATCAGGATCCACAAACTTTTTCCCATCCTTCTGCTGGATGAAAAGGTCTAAATCACGATAGCCTTTTACTTTTGGAGAAAATCTACCGTAAGATATCTGAACAAGAAGAGATGGCAAACATTTTACATTAGGAAACTGCAAACATATTGCCAATCATGAGAAGTTGACAAGTATAATGCATATCTTTATATGGAGTTCATGGAGGAAAAGAATGAATTTGAACCCCCATTATAAGTGTGGGAAAATCATATTAGATCCATCACCAAGTTGTATTTGACCCAAAAGCAAGCAACCATCAATAGATACCATCAGTTGATCATCCCCTTCTTAAAGTTTTTACTTATTTATTTCTTTGCTGAGAACAATAACCTTACAGACAACTGCAGTTTATTTTTACATTTATCACCCTTCTTCTTGGGGCTGAGGTTGGAGCCCAGTGCCATCCCCATGTAGGGAAACCTGTAAACTAGGAGTATGGGAACCAGCAAACCACATTCATCTCATTGGCTGGGGGGCCATTCCCATTCCAGGACAGGTTGACCAAACTAACATGAAGAAATAAAACATTGATGTTGTCTGGAAAAATAGTGATTTTGGGGAAGGGGGTGGAAGATAAGAATTTCTACCTTGATATTGCAGTCTTTCAAAGTTCTCATAATGTCATACAAGAGACCCTTGTGATCAGTACAGTGGATTTGAAGTAACGTATGAGCTGGGCTCAATGAATTGTCCATTGTCACATTGCTTTCCTTCAATTTTGTCATATCCGGACTGAGAGCTTGAGAGAGGGTTTCTTTATCCAATAACGCACACGTAAATAGCTCTTCAGCTACCACAGGAGAAAGGGAAGGGATGCCGCGGTGGGATTCATACACAGGATCTGCCAACTGAAGTTCGCAGCTGATACATGACTCACCCAATACATCATGTAATTGTTTTAATGTCTCATCTTGGCGTTCTTTCGTGTGTAGAAGGTCCCTGAAATGAGTAGTAGCGCATCTCAATTATTAATTACATCAGGATTCCATCTTAACTAACTTTTAAACGTTGATAAAATCATGAAATTGCCAAGAAAAAACAATAAAACATGGACAATAATTCAGATGAGATGCAGTTGTTCCTAGTCTACGTGGTTTGCTCCATGGCATGTTTGATCTTTTTCCCAATCTCTTAGGGAGGGCATACTTGTAAAAATAATTAAAAGAAAAAACCACAGTTCCCATTTTATTACCTCAAGATAAACTAAGCTATATAAGCCTTTGAGTTCATTCATTTAGAACCCATGTAAAAATGAGAAAAGAAAAAACCGAAAAGTAATCACACTGTAATTCTAAAACTCCAAGGCAGCACAAGTCAGTCAAGACCTAAGATTAAAGACAAATATAACAAATGTAACATTTATTTTACTTTCTCCAAAGGGGGAAACTTATTGAACTAGACAAATCATGGAACTTGTAGACATCACGTTATCATCTTACGGCTTACAATGCAGTAGAAAACTGGTAAATTCTTTACATAATAAGAACAAAGTAAACAACAATAGAGAAAGTTCTTCAAATTGTCAAAATAAAAAAGAAAAAAAATATAAGTCCCAAGGTAAAACTCACATGTTATCTGTTATAAAGAAGAGGTCCAAGACCCTGTCATCTGGGGTTGTGGTCACTTTCACACTTTGAATTGAAAGCTCAAGCTCAGAGAGAATTTTTGTAACATCTAAAAGAAACAAAGTTAAGGCAACATTAGATTACAAGTTAGAAGTTAGAACCACCTCAAAACAATTAAGAGACAAACAAATTTTACTCTTATTATTATTACCATGCAACAACCCCTTGCGGTCAAGGCAAACAAACGTCAATAGATAAACTGCTGAGGATGACGGTCGTGTGGTCTGCTGGAAGAAGTAATACGACACTGTGCATGATGGGCATACAGATTGGAGCTGGTTCTTCAAATTTGACAATCTCACAACTGGTGAGCTTGAATGAGGAAATACCCATAACACTAAGTAGCACCATATCCCATCAGTTGAAAAATCTACACCAAGAAATTCAGAGCAAAAAGAAAAAAAAACTATGAGTAAAATTCAATCACATTAATTTCCAAATGCAATTAATTATCTCGAAGCCACCAGATTAATCTAAAAAACAAAACCCACATGAAAAAATCACTGGAAAATAACAAAAACTAATGATCCTTATAAATGAGCTTGCTTGATTGTTAAATTTGCAGAAAGGTACCAGCTTTCTCAATGTAAAGGCCAAAATCGAGGATTATTCTGCAAATATCGCAGCCGAGGCCGGTCTTGTCCGGGCAATTAACGGTGATGACGCAGGGCTCGCCAGGCCGGTTACCTTTCTGGATCACAACGACGTCGTCGCTCGGCACTCCCATACCGGAAAACGGGAAGGGCGGCCGATCAAAATGGCGCGGTAAAATTACGGGGCAAGAGTTTGGAGGTCACCGGTGGTTCAGGTGCCGCTAAAATTTTAGAGAGATAAATGTGAGGACAAAATATAAGCGGGGAACTTGGGCTTTAATTTTGTCCTTTTGGAAGTTGAGGCTGGTACCATAGAAAACTCCACGTTATCCTTTACACGTGGGCCATTGTGGTCGTGGTGTCGGAGCTTTAAGCTGTTCCACTGGGCAGAAGGTTCTTAAAGCGTTCACATGCTACTAGAAAAAAGACACAAATTCATTGGATTATAAATTATTTCGATAAAAGGATTGTAGTACACGGGAGAGAACCAGGTCGAAAAGAATTAGGCGAGTTCATCTACACATAAGGATACAATTCATGGGGAAAGATTCAAGCCTGGAAGGTTCAGGTAAATTCATTTACGTATAAAGACACAATTCACGGGAAAGATTCAAGCCTGGAAAGTTCAGGTAAATTCATTTACGTATAAAGACACAATCGTCGGTCTAACCATTAGACTACCTTCTTTTTTATGTTATTATTAGAGTGATGTTATATTTATTTTTCTTTTTAAGATCAATCACATTCACGTTCTTATAAAAATGTCTGTGAGCTATTATCGTCATGGGGTAGGTAGTGATGTGCAAGTGACTCGGTTTTCCCAACTTTTCTAGAGAAATAGGCCTGGCCTTATTTCTGATAAAATTGGGTCAAAAATTTTCAATGCGACAAAACATAATATTTTCCTGTTTGCACATAAACAAATGATTCAAAACACTTTCCAGTCTTTGGCACATTCCTCAGTACAAATTATATGGTATGCATGTTTTTAAAATATTCCGGAGGGAGGGAGAATCGAACTTGAGACTTCATATGATCACGGTGTTTCTAAAATATTCACGAGGGAGGAAGAATCGAACACGGTCTCGAAGATTAGATCGTGTCTGTCAAACTCAATCAAAGCCCATAAGCATTCGGATGAGAAAACTGGGTACCCCCACAAGCATCACACCAACCACCACATCCCAACAAAATACCAAATGGGTGCCTCAATTGCCCATCAGGATGCATTATGAGCTCGACCCAATTCCTAGTTATAAACCCTAATTTGTTTTCAACAAATAAGATTAACCAAAAGCATAAAGTTTGCAAGATTTAAACTTTTAACTTATAGACGAATGTAAGTCCAGACAAAGAGTACGAATATATTTTCGCATCGTTCCATGAATTTTCTCAGCAACCAAACATGTAGACCAGAAGATAATTGGATACAAATTCACCACATAACAAAATCACAAGCTTTGCTAACAAATTGAACTTGTATTACTTCAAAATAAGGGAGCAAATTACATCAAAGCTAATTCTTAACCACAAATTACCTAATAAGCTAAGAGATCTAAAGACAAGATCTGAAACCACCCTAAACCTAATATACGCGATACACAGCATGAAAAATTCCCAATCTAACCCCCAAAACCATAGAGGGTCCTTCCCTGCCTCTTCAAAGCATACACCACATCCATGGCGGTCACAGTCTTCCTCCTGGCGTGCTCAGTGTAAGTCACTGCATCACGAATCACATTCTCGAGAAAGATCTTGAGGACGCCTCTGGTCTCCTCGTAGATCAGACCACTGATACGCTTCACACCACCTCTGCGAGCCAGACGACGAATCGCAGGCTTGGTGATGCCCTGGATGTTATCTCTGAGGACCTTACGATGTCGTTTGGCTCCCCCTTTGCCCAAACCCTTACCGCCCTTTCCTCGTCCTGACATTTTCTCGGAAAACTTTGAGAAATTTTGAGTTTCGAAGAAGATGAGATATTAGAGATGATTTGATGGGTTAAACAGAGAAGGGATTTTGAGTATTTATATTGTAGGGAGCTGGGGATTTGGAATTTTGAAAGTCTGGCGGGGTTGATAGTGGCCGTTGGATGTGTATGCTTATCGACTGCTGAGAGAGTCGATCCGCGTGAAACTCTGTAATTGGTTTTCAAGCGTTGATTATGTTTGAATCTACGGTGCGGAGATGTTGACTTTGGTTTGGCACGGATTGTGCTTTTTTAGTGAGGGTGAATGAGCTGTTTGGTCTTTCGGCGAAGTTTGGAAGGCCAGCCGAAGAGCGCAAAGGTAGTCTGCGAATTTTGAGTTTGAAATTTTTGAGTTTGTTTCGCATGAAAATTTTGGGAAAAACAGGCGCGCAGCACGTGCATTTTGCACCGGTGAATTACTAAAACACCCTTGAATAAGGTATTGCACTATTTTTTAAAAATTTGTTTTCAGTATAGGATGGACCAATGAATTTGTGCCCAATAAATCTTTCAGCCACCTTTGGTGTGGTTAACTATAGGACTGGGCATCTGTAACATATATACCGAAATAGTACCAATTTCGTGTCAAACCGTATTGTTTTATACCGTTTTATTTGGTCATTGGGCTTAATACAGTATCATACCGTACCGTATTACCCATCTATGACATGAGAGTGATCTCGTATATTACACACAATACTGTATCGAATAGTAACAAAAATACAAACATTACGCGAATTTATCACTCTCACACGCTCAACTCGATCTCTCACACCTAGATAGACTTTCTCGAACTCTCCTCCAACTCCTCTCAGCTAGCTCTCTCTCTCTCTCTCTCTCTCTCTCTCTCTCTCTCTCTCTCTCTCTCTCTCTCTCTCTTTGAAGCCCCAAATCGAAGAATTGTTGATCTCTCGATCTCTTTGGAAAGCCCCAAATCGATAAAGCCTACTCCTCCCAATCACTCTCTTTGTCTGGAATAGGAAATGGTAGTGTTTCATACTGGTAACATTTTCATACAGGTATGATCCAGTATCACAAAACCATAACCCCACCACTGTATCGTCCCGTACCAGTTACAATTTTCGGTACCGGGACCTGGATCACCTTACCATCGTACCGTACCTAACCATGCCCATCCCTAGTTAACTGGACTGAATTATTTTCAATTCAATCAGATAAATATTAGGAAAATGCTTGTCTCCTTCCCTATAAGTAGAAGCTCCTACTTTTCTGCCAATCACAATTTGACATATGTGTAGAGATTTTTATTTTTATGTTTTTGATGCATTGTTTTTACAAAAATATGTCAAACTGTGATTTGTAGGAAGTAGAAATGCTTCTTTATAGGGAATGAGGGAAGCAATATCCTAAATATTATGGTAGTTATTTGGTATGTTGGAATTTGGCTTATTAAATTAAACAATAATTCAATATATTATGTCTTACAAGTCCCATATAAAGGAATGAATTTCGTGAGAACTTGTTTGTACTAAAATTCAACATGTCCAAGTTGAGCCACCAAATAAACCCTTCAAGTATGGTACGGTAGTTAGTATTTTTTTTATATTTTAAATTCCAATTCAATTTGAACTAAAAAAGCCTTTGTAAAAAACTGGGGTTTGTACTTGTGTAGTTTTTTTGATGGTCAAATCATATTTGTGGTGTAGCTTTGTTGTAAGTGTTTTGGCTCTTTTTAAATCATCTTATAGCCGAGCCTTGTAGCGAAAACTTGTAATTAAGCATGACATTAACATGATTACTTTGTGACAGAGTTAAGTTATGTGAGCAAGATTGGTCTAGTTAGATCACCACCACGTAGAGTATGAGGTTGCATTAAGCATGCTCTATCCCCTCGGATTAGTTGGGGCACCCCACACGCTATCAGTGGATAGGAAAACAAAACTTGGTAAAGCAAAGCATCTTATAGATATCCTGTCGTTTATAAAAAATAATACGGGACATTTTAGAAAAAGCAAAAGGAGAGAGAAAAATTTTAAAAGAAGCAAAAATGGACAAAAATGCCCTTATTTATTTTTAGATTTCCTAAAGAATCCAATACATTTGCATATCTTTGATTTGAAAGTTGAGCGGTTTTTTTGTCTTTTTTGAAAAAGCTTTGGCTTTTTCCAAAAGTAAAATTTTTTTTATGTCTAAAACCTAAAAAACCTATAACACATAATCCAAAAATATTATATATTATAAGTCATTTTGCTTTTATTAGAATTTGACCCATGGTAATAGTAATAGAAGCCCTTTATCTTGTCTTGAACCATCTCCGATGGGCCTACTTTAGCTTCTTGAAACTGGTTTAGCATGAAGAAATGGGAGCGGATGCCACCAGCTTGATCCAATTCACTCAACAAGCCCACAAGCCCACAAGCATCAATATCAGATTAGACCAACACCAAAATCCAACGGTTACAAGTAGCTACAAAATAGCCACAACCCACAAACGGAGAGACTGAGAGAGCAATTGTAGAAGGAAAGAGAAATGAGGAAGTTCGATCCATGGCCGATTTTCTTCAAGCGAGAATGGAACAGGAACTGGCCGTTCCTGGTTGGGTTTGCCATCACCGGAACCCTCATCACCAAGTTCTCTCTTGGCCTCACTGGTAAGCTCTTCGTCCCGATCTGTTCATTTCAATTTTGAAAAACAAAACCCTAATTTCGCTGACCCATTTGTTTCTTCTTAATTTGTTCACAGAGGAAGACGCTAAGAACTCAGCTTTCGTTCAGAGGCACAAGAGGTACCTTTTGTTTTAATCCTTTGATTTATTGGGATTTAGATAAAGAGAGAAACTAGTTATTATTCAGATGAAGGCAATACAGTCGGTGAAAAAATGCAGTCTTTTGAGTTACATGGCCACTTTGACTGATTGCTTCATAAGGTGTATATAATGAATGTCATCTAGATCCTGCTTCTGTTACTTAGCAATTTTTATTGTTTCTCATGTTTGCGAAAACATCAATTAGAGGTAGGCATTTGGAATCTGAGTTAAATTAGTTGATTTTTTCTTCTATGGGTGCTTAAATCCGTAGTCTTTAGGGGGAGGTCGTCATACATTGTGCATTTTAAGCCACAAAATTGAAAAATGATGTGTTTTCAGAACTTATAATTTTGACATATTTTCATTATAAAAAGAACAACATGTTCAAGGTATTGAGTTGGTCGATGACATCCGGGTGAGGGTTGGAATCAGATGGTTAGACTTGGTCTTCTGGTGCTTGATAATCGGGTTGAAATTGTCCAATCACCTTGATAATCTCAACCTTATCATGTTGTAGCAAAAGACCACATGAGGGTTTCTGTTTTATTTTTATAGATTATATATCTGAAAACAAGTCACTTGGACATGAAACCCTTAATAATTCTGTTTAATACCTTTTTGGCCACTAAACCAAAAAAATTTTGCAGGTTGGTGGTTACACAATTTTCAATACTCAGACTATTCCCATTGTCATCCTGGGCTAACTTTCTTCCTCTTTAGACTGTTGCTAATATGATGAGTTGCATTTGTATTGGGTTCGGAGGTTTTGTAGATTCTAAAGTGTGAGCCTATTTAAAAATTTAGGTTTCGTACTTGCAGTTAACAAGGGTCTGAAAATTCTGAAGTAACGGTCTAGTTAAGTGTCTAAGTTCCCTACTATGCTGTTAAGGATACAAGTCAAATGGGTACCTTTCCGAGACATGGTCAATGCAATACTCAACTTTTACATGTAACGTGGGGTTGGCAGTGATACCATGTTTCAGCTTTTCTTGGGATGTACTGGCATTGATTTCTTTTGATTGCTATATTTTTATGTAGAGTTTTTTTTTCTTCTCAATAATCTGATTCTGCTATTTTGTCAGTTTTGTGTTTTTTGGCACGTATCAGTGTTTGTATATCATCTATAGTAGCCATACCATTGCTGGATATAGTTTTATGAGTCTGTCAGTTAAATTCAGTACTTCTTTTGTGTTGTGTTGTAGGTGATTTCTGGATGCAGTTGTAGCCACCTTTCTTCTCTTGTTGCGGAGGGGGAGATTTGTGTGCTTTTTCAGAGACTAATAACGAAAGAGAAATGCTTTAGATACTCTTTTTTCTTGAATTTTCTTTTATGTTGTGGATGACTTGAATAACATGAGAAGAAAGACTTTCTATTCATTGGTTTTGAACTTGGTGCATTTGGCTAGACAATCTTCAAAAATGAAACAAAAGTTGTGTTACGCTCATGTTATTGTTATAGGCTTATAATCTTGTTGTCGTTTCATTCTTGTTCTTAATTTTGTGTCTGCGCTCATGTCCCATTCGGGCAAAAGTGCTATATTATTTTAGGTGTGGTGTAGAGAATGGCACTGAAGAGGTGTTTCTTAGGGTCTGGAGACAAAACTTTACCATGACCCAAGAGTTTTGGGAGAGAAAAATTTCTTGGAGGGTGGGGGAGGGGAACACAACAAAACTGACATCTAGAAAGTTGAAATAAGCCTCATCCAGGCCCTGGAGAGTGATGCCTAGTCTGCGCGATAATTGCCTTTGTCCATACAAGTGGGAGGAATTTCCCAATAAAAGAAGTGCCACAGGAAGACGAAATCTTTTTGAGTTGTTTCTGGGATGAGTTAAAGCATTTTTACCTTACTGAAAAACTTGTCAAGCATCTTACCATCTTAGAAAAAAAGAAAAAAAACACTTTGGCTTCTTGCACTTAACAAATCAGTCTAAGACACTTTGGCAGTGTTCATCTAATCTCAAAGGGAATATGAAACCAAATGTGCAACCAACCAATAATACAAGCATTAACATCGCATGGAGATTCGATGGAATAAAAATTAAATTGAATTATTGATTACCAAAACTGGGGGTTCCAAGTAGCACACTCAGCTGAGGGCAATCTTAACTACGAAACGGCACTAAATGCCACATTTTGAAGGATATCCCTTGGCATCTTAGCACTCACTTTGGAAAGGAATGAAAAAGGTAGAAAACCTTTTAACAAGCACCAGTTCTTATTTTTCTATTATAACACAATGAAATAGAAAGAACAAGGAAGCACAATGTGGTCACATGAATCATTGCAGACGAGCATACTCCAGCGTCGCCAAACATATATTCCAGGACGGAAATAACAAACTGCGCTCGCTCACCTATATTTCCAGCAATATAGACAATCAGTTCTTTTTTGCTGCTCCCAGCCTCAAGCGGAAATCCTCCTCCATGAGAGGCAGGCCTTCCCGTAACTTGATCTTTGGCTCCCAACCCAGCAATTCTTTTGCCTTTGTGATGTCGGGTTTCCGCTGTCTTGGATCATCAGGAGTGTTCTCTACCCTCTTTATCTCCACCCCAGGGTTGATGAGCTGTAAAGTCAAATGCATTTGAAAATTTTCAAAGACGCTTCAAGAAATAAAAACAGCTTCTAGAAAAGAATACCATAACAGCCTACGAATGGAGAAAGACAATGGCGAAGACAAACTGACCTCCTTCACTGTCTCTGCAAGTTCAAGCATTGTAAATTCACCTGAAAGTATACAAAAAAGTCACCTAGGTCAGTAATTATGTGAGCAACTAGAGCACATACATGGTGTAGCTTTTGAGATACAAACACATCACAATATCACATTTATGGTAGATAACCTGGGTTTCCAATGTTTATGGGTCCAGTGTGCTCTCCTTCCATGAGACGAATGAGGCCATCAACCTAAATTTTTTAAAACAGGTTACCTTATATAACCCAACTAATTTCAATACACGGCAACAGAATGAAAAGGAAAAGATGTTTCACATACCATGTCAGAGACATAACAGAAACTGCGAGTTTGAGTCCCAGGATTTTGGACTGTCAAGGGTTCATCACTACAATATTGAAAACAGTGTAAAAATAGATCCAAAGGTATGAGCATTCAAAGGAAAAGGAAAAGGATTAAGCTTATACGGTAATGCCGGAATGGAAGCTAATTTCAAGACACAATGCAACTACACAAATATGTGTGAATATCAAACATATCACTCCTGGCATTATAAGGCCTTTATGTCAGACACCAACCACTACCCGATCAATACCAAAAACATGCTGGCTAGCTATCTTTAAGTTTTAAGAGACTGAATTAATAAGTGATTAAACTAGCTTGTCATGATTTTCTCCATGTAGGAACTAGGCAAGCTGCTGATATACCCATCATTAAAATCGTGGAGCATCCTAAGGACTCACCGAAGTGCTTGGGCTATAAAATTGCTGACTACACGCCCATCATCAATATTCATGCGAGGGCCATACGTGTTGAAGATTCTGGCAATACGTATTTCTGTCAAAGAGAACAGAGGAAATTAGATACATGAAACTACTAAAGAGCAAACTTTTAACCATTTCAGCACAGGAAAGAATAAACAATAATTTGTTAGGGTGGAAAAGGAAAAAGAGACAACACAATACCTATCCCATGCTGCCTATGATAGTCGAACATCAAGGTCTCAGCAACACGCTTCCCCTCATCATAGCAGCTCCTTACTCCTGTGATTATAATATGTACTTATTGAGGTCATGGACTCATGAACTTAAATAAATCATTGAACTATAAAAAACAATAACATTCTAACTTCTAGCATTTACAAACTATTTCAGTTTAGGTTATAAGGGCAAAGGGCAAGGCTTAGGGCTTTTGTTGATATGTATAAGCATGTCATACAGAACAGATGGCAAGTTCCATCAAAGTATGATTATGAGTTCCTATCATGAATGCAGACACATCTTTTATTATCCTTGCTCCTTGGTATTCAAATAGGTTTCATATGGGAAAATTCAGCAGATTAGGTTTCATCCAAAGCCTCTATACCATATGTCCAACATGATTGCAAAAAGCTAGAAGCAGGGCCTTAATTGAGTGCTCTCTCAAATATTATCAAAGATCCACACTATAGAGGGTCCTAAAGATTGCACTTTTCTGTTCACTTCCAAAAGTAAAGCCCATGAACAGTTCAGCATTTCCAGAATCTCCCTCAAGGAAGTCCATCTCAAATCAGGTGAAAAATTTAAGAGCTATCTAAAGAGAACGGAAATGGTCATTCTACTTCTTGCCAAACATATTTGCACACAAATTATATCTATAGTTTGAATATATAAGCAGCGACAATCTTCTAAGATCTATCAGAATGCAGCGAACTTTAGGCTTCGAATGAGATGAGCACTTACCAATTGGGTTAACATTACCCCAATAGCTTTCAGGTTGTGGATGCACAAGAGGATCTCCATATACCTCTGAAGTTGATGTCAGCAAAATCCTGCTCAAATATATATACGTAAGACAACTTGATGGAATACATTTATAAATTTATTATAAATGCAAGACTAATAGACCACCTTGCTCCAACTCGCTTGGCAAGTCCAAGCATGTTCAGCGTGCCAATTACATTTGTTTTTATCGTCTGTTGGAGAATCATATGCTCAAATGTTAGATTACAACTTCAATAAAAAAATTTAAACAGTCTTACTGTTTAAGGGACAAAATAGATCTTATATGATTGAACAGGAAAAAGAAAGTAAAAATATCATACAATATGCGTAAGTACCATATAAGCTGATCGCAAAAATATCTAACAACTTTTTCATTGCTGATTAAGGGCAAATGACTTATTTTCAGTCAGGTTGAAAAACAAAAGCCAAGGCCTGTCATTGATGATTAAGGGCAAATGAGATATTGCCTGCCTTAATTTGCAACACATTAATATGTCCCCCCCACCCCTTACGAATCTGTCAAACTGTAGGCAATTCGAATAACACTTGACAGGTATATCGATTGCTAGCTATATAATGATTGAAGAATACATGTTTATACCTTTACAGGATTGTATTTATAGAAAATTGGAGAAGCTGGGCAAGCAAGATGGTAAATTTGATCAACTTCGACCAACAATGTCTCTGTGACATCTATAACAAAGAAAAGAGAGCAATTAAACATAAATGCATTTAAATAAAAGCCACACTTTTGTAAGTGACAAATAAACAAAAACATATGGAAGAAACTCGCTAATAAACCAAATTGTATGTACCATGACGAATTAGCTCAAATCTGGGATGACCAATCCATTTTTTCAGATTGTCCTTGGAGCCAGTGAAGTAGTTGTCAACAACAATAACCTGAGTAGAAATTGGATATAATTTTAATCCCGATGAAACAAATGATTTGATGTGATCTCACACTGTGTCAGTTATTGCAATTTTTGTTCATCATAGGTGCTTAATGTTAACAAAAGTTTCCTATCATAAAATGTATAAATTAAACTGGATCTTGAACTCATTATGAACAGAAAAACTGACCCTGAGCCTTTATAAGAGAGAAATAAAGTGCTGACCTCATTCTTTTCATTTTCCATTAATCTGTCAACCAGGTGAGAACCAATGAATCCAGCTCCCCCAGTAACCAAAATTCTCATATTGGACTGCGACAGTAAAAATACACAATTAGAGCATTAGAATAACTATATGATACATATGACAATTTCGTCAGAATGGGGACATTTATTAGCCATCTAATAAAAAACAAAACATACTCCTTGAAATGCATCGTAGCATGATTTAAATCAAAACTGTAATGAACCCAGATCTCTGTTCAAGCAAACAAACGAGCAAAAAATAGCAACATGACGAAGTTAGATTTCACCAAAATCTCAAAACGGGCTAAGATTATAAGGATAGGCAATATTTCCTTGTGGACTCGCAGAATTAAGACAGGGGGTTTGACTTTCTGTAGATTGAGGGTAAAACAGAGAACCAAGAAAGATAAATTTTCAATACACTCCACACAGTCCTTTCTTGTATATGTTCTCAATTTTATGTTAAAGATTGCTTCGTGGGAGACTGAGCTGAATTTGAAGATCTAATAGTACAAACCTATTCTAGGGGAAAAGATGCATGGAAAAGAAACAAAATAAGATTTAAAAAATGACCCATTTGCTATAATCTCTAAATTAAGATCCTTCTAATAGTTAGGTTGGAATCAGTAAATGCTGATAGAGAAATGCAACAACCCAGTGGCATAAATATCAGCACACAATAAAAAAATAAAATGGCAACACGGAAAGGTACTACAAGACTGTAAAAAGCAATTTACAACAACCCACAAGAAAGATATATGAATAAATAATCAAATAAATTGGCGAGCAGGACCTGAAAAAACTTGGAAAAACGCAAAGGGGATGGCAATGGAGGAGACTTTGTTGTGGTCTGGTGCACCCCATTGGAGGAATTGTTTGCCATATTCTTAGATCTTCTCTGGAAGTCAAACACCTACAAAAATTTACCGAACAGTCAAACTCTGGGAAACACTATAAACACATTACTAGATGAATAATCTCATATTGACAAGCCTTCAAATTACACACAGACTAAAAGATCACTTTTCTTTTTGTTCAGAATCAGAAGTTCAAAGAAAATTATAAACTCTAGAATCATAAAGAAAGAAGCTTGAAGTTGAAGTGGACCTGAAAATAAGCTTCAGAGGATGATAACCCAAAACCCCAAATACCCTTTGGATCCAAGAAGCTTAGTTATCAGAACCCATTATTTATAGTCCCCCTCTCCTCAACAGAACTCCCAAAACCGAAACTTCTACCAAACGACGAATTTTAAATAGGAATATAAATCAATTAAATAAAGCAAACAGAAAAGCCTTCAAATTCACGGAAAGTCCAGGCCTTTACTGATAGCTCCTCGATAACAATAATTAAGTTTGAAGCCACACCAAACTATATTCCCTTTAGAAATCATTTTCTTTTAAAGTGTACCCCAAAAAAAAATCCCATTTGATAATACATTCACCCACCCCCCCCCCCCCAACCCCCCACCACCCCAAACAAAAAAAAAAGAATGCAATTATTTATTTACCTTGTGAAGCTAGAGAATCTGGGATTTAAAACGAGGGGTTTAAGGGATTAACTAATTAAATGGTTAAGTGACTAATTACAGTGATTACTGAGCTATAATTAAGGGGAATTTAGGATTTCTCCTAAATCCTAAGTAGACAAAGATGCTTTGGTGTGCCTATAATCTAGTGGGACTAGTGTCCGAGAGACTGATGAGGAAGTTCTTTGCTTTGTTTTCAAGTCTGGAATAAATATAAGACGCTTCTCCTGTATGTGTTTGTCTTTTTTATGCTTACGCATCTGGGGTGCTGACACGTGTACAGTACAACTGGACAAAAGGGTGTCTTGATAAGAAGATTCCCTGTTGGATTCTAATATCATGCTTATAGGATTTTGCATTTATATGTATTTCGGATTGAATGAAAGCGGATTTCTCTCATTTAACATAGGCAATTTGCCATTTATAACAAATTCAGAAAGCATTTGCAATTCCTTTCATCAAAGAGAACGGATATGAATATGAATATGATTCTCATTCCCTTTTATTTTGGATTAATTTTCATTCCAATTATTTCTCAAAATGCAGAATTTGCACATCTGGATAAAGGTAGAATGCTGCATGAAGGATGTAAGTTATTTGAATGGAGTTATTATAAATAAAAACAAAATTTCAATCTGATTGATTTGTAGTTTCCAAATTTACTAAATAATGAGCATGTTCATGTAATGGTAGCAATTTCATGCATGGCTTGATTCAACAAAACAAAAAAAACAACATGTCTTTAAGTGTTCTGTCATCTCTTTCTTTCAAATAATTGTGCATGCATGGTTTTCATTATTTCTGTAAAGCATGCATCTTACAGGAGATTTCATACAAATTAATGTGGCTTGAGGGATTCTCCCATTGAGCAAGTTCCTTGATTTCCTCTTCAATCTCTTTCGTTTCTCTTATTATACTACTTATGCAGAACCCTAAAGCACTCAAACATAAAACCATTTGACTTTTGAGCTCCTCACTTTGGACATGAATCTTATCAACTACTTCTTTTGAGTGTTGGAGATAAGAACTTATAATCGTATCCATCTCTTCATCCTTCAAACCGCAAATCCGAAAAATGGTTGGGTTTCCAGATTTCCCCAACTCAAGATCATGAGCTATGTCACTCTTTTGGTCAAGAACTGTGATTGATTTTATCAAGGTGATCTCCTTGAAGCATTCTATCAAAGAGCCAACCATTTTCTTGAAAAGTTCAAGGTCACATTCTACTGTATGTACAATGTCCTTCCACGAAGCCTCAAGCATTTGTGAATTTTGTTCGAGAACTTCCACTGCATGAGCACTAAAGAGTAGGAGGTCCATCATTTTAGACAAGGACCTCAAGAGCTTTCCATAGCAAGCACTATGAAAAGGCCAAAACCAGAAATTGGGCTCTGCCTCAGCTTCTCCAATCAACTTCCCCAATTCTTCAACATGATTTTTCAGTCTCTTCTGGTTCTCTTCCAAAAGGGCTCTGCCTGATTGAAGACTCACTGAGTTAATGCACTCCTGCAATGTGTCAAGAGTCCTAGAAAGTTGAGCTTTTGCAAGAGTAGAAGCTCTTGTGGGCTGCAAGAGTAAGTCAACCATAATTGAACAAGATAATCCAATGAAGGTCTCTGTGATTCTGGCTATGGCAAATTCACTTGGAGGGCCAAAATTTGCTCTGCCCAAAATTAGTACAGCTCCAATTACTGCAGAAATCCCACCAGCCTGGCCATACATTCGGCTACGCTGGAGAAAACTGGTGAAAATAAACCAAGGAATAAGGGATAAGAGTCTTATGGACAAGAACCTTTGGAACAGAAAGCAACCCAAAACTCCATACACAGTGCCTAAGACAGTCCCCTGTGCTTTAACATTTGCAACTTTGAATGCTGCTTCTCTGGCTGATGCAAAACTGATAGCTACTGGAAGTCCAGACCAAAAACCATTTTCTTTGCTGTATACCAAACCAAAGAACACAGCTAGACCCAAGGAAAGTGAGCATTTGAAAGCTATCATAAGCCTCTTGCTCCTTACCTTGATGGACAAGTTACTCAATACCTCTTTGAAACAGAACCCATTTTGTTTACGTGAATCGATTGCTCCTTCATTTTGGTGAACCAATAATTTGCCTTGCTCTGTGGGACTTTTGGCTGATAATTTTCCATGAAAGAGCTTTATGCAAAACAGAAAGAAAATTGGGGGTAAATCCTGTTGGGTTTGTGGGATGGTTTTAAGTGTTTGGAGGAACCTAACATTTTCTGCATTTGATTCAGGAACAGTTGTTGAATCACAGGGTGCGCTTAAGTTTACTCTAAGTAGGCCATCTTTGTGCTCTCCATTTACCACCTTAATTGGGAATGAAGGAGTACTGGTCAATGCCATTTCCATCCCTCTTAAGGGTATCTCAAAGCCTTGCAATCTGTCTCCTGGATTTGCGTACTTGTATCTCGAAAATTTCAAGGGAAGTTTCTCCCACTCCATACTTTCCTGCTCAGAAGAAAAAGACAAATCAATGTGATTAGCACGCCTGAAATTAGAGACGGATAAATCGACAAAAAGGTATTTATGTCGAGTAATGCTATGTTCTGTTAGCCTTCGTTTGTTAGGGGACTAGACTAGCAAAATGTACATTTCATGTACATTCAAGGCATAATATGAGTATTTGTTTAACTTTGAGGAAGAATGAGGACTATCTATAAGAGGTTGATGACTAAACTTATCCCTAGTCCTCCTTCATCCTCTAAGTTAAACAACAATATCCATATTTAGCCTTGATTGCACATGAGATGCAGCCACTTTACTAGTCTAATCTAGTCCTCCCTATCGAACCAGCCCTTAATTGTAATGTTTTATGTTTTGAACCATTTTGGATTGCATGGCAATTAGAAGGCCACGTCTGTGGTAAGTTGGTTGTTGGCTAAAGCAAAACCTCAACCTTATCTTTTTTTTTATCTAAGTAGGAAAAATATCCTACCAGTAAATGAGAGTGGGTTAGGTAGACGTGTGAGAGTGTATTTGTAAGGGGACAAGAGTCTCTACAAATATCCAAAACAGCCAATCGTGTAAGAGGGAGAATAATAAGTCTCCTCCAAAATGAAATGAAATGGGCAGCAGCCGAGAGCAAAGATAAAAAAATGCGATAAGATAAGTCCAATCTGTATTAATAGTAACGTGGTAGAAGAATGTGGTACAAATAATTTTATGTCGAATCATGATATACAGTTGTTGTGTAATTAATGTATACGTAAGGTTGCTTACTTGGTGGCGCTTGATAGTTTGGAAAAGCTTGGTTGCCGTAGCAGCCAGGGACTTTGCTTGAGAAATTGATGCAAGTGCGGATGTGCTGTCTTCTGCACAAAAGGCCTTCACAAAGAGCTTGAGCCTCTCTGAAGCATTCTCACCAAGTAGCTTTGCGTTCTGTTTAACCTACAAAAGATATTGGAACACTATTAATATTTTCTTTATTTTATATAATAAATAGTGAGTATGTAGTATTATCCGCACTCGCAGTTTGTCATTCTACACTCACCACATTATTCGCGGATGTTTTAATATAATAAAATGTTATAAACTTTCACATTGGTATGGACATATTACAAGTACCTCTCGAGAAGCCAGGCGTGGGAAGGGAACCAAAAAAGCCAGAACACAGGCCAAGACTCCAATCCCTGTACTTGCTGCCACGTGGACAGAGTGCATGATGGCCTGTATCTCCCCACCCTTTATATAAGCTATTACGTACACAATCACAATCTGTCCCAAGGCGATGCGCCTGCACACCAAGTGAGTAAACTCTGGCAGAGCCACCACAAATGCAGCAAGGCCCACCGCCAGAGCGGTGATGCCGCTCGAAAGCCGGGCCGGGCCTATTAGCCACAAGCTCAACATGGCCGGTCCGATAGTTTGGGCTGTGGCGTAGAGCCCCAGCCATAAGCCACAAAGTGTGTTACCCAGAGTTGCATCGGGCGCAATGAGAATCACTGTCACATAAGAGAATGCTGGGAAGGCTACTTGGCGTTGGAGAGCTTGTGGGGCATAGAGGGTGGTGAGGGCCACTATGGTGCAAGCAAGGCATGTACGGAATGCAGAGGCTAGGCATGTGAGCCAGAGAGCTTGTACTCGGTTGGTCTGGTCTGGAGAGGTTGCCATTGTTTTAGGAAAAAAATGAAATGAAAATGGATGTGAGGTATATTTGGTGATGGCTGTGTAGGAAATGGAGCTATATATATTGTGTAAGGTTTGAGGGTTGAGTGGAGTTTCTGTGAGGGAAAGGAGTGATGGGTTTTTAGGTCTTATGTGGAAGGCTCCAATGGGACCCCACACCAACCCATGTAGTGAATGGGTACTGATACTAAATATTAGGTCCTTGCTAGTAAATGATAATTGTGGTGAATGAGATGATTTTGATTTCCAGTGATGGCTTCTTTTACTTTTGACTTTTGGTACCAAGGTCCAAGGTGAAGAAAAAAACAAAACACAGTAAAAACTCCTTGCAGGTCAAATTTGTTTGTGTAAATTCATCAAATTACCACTATCTTTTGTTTTCAACAAAGAAATCTTTCCATGCTTGAACAAACATAACATGAAACTCTTGCATTTCTACACACTGGCTGAAGCCTTTGAATGCAACACCAACTCAAATTCCAATGAAACAGGGAATAAACTTTGCCTTTTTACAATTTGAAGAAGCAAAGCATAAATCTAAGCACTAAAGCAAGCAAATAGTGGGAATAAAGACTAAAAAAGAGTCAAAGTGGGAATTCCCTAGGTTTCCACTCAACATTTCTGTCTTTTGCACTAGATTTTGTCCCTCCCGGAGGGCAAGGGTCAGGCTTGGGATGCTACAAACTGTTCTTATCAAAACATAATATAATAGAGTTTTTTAGTTCAAAAGCAAAGTTGCAGCTTCGTACGCAGCATACCTCACCTAATTTTAGCACACAGATGAAGCACTCCCTTGTGTGCTACGTGTTTGAAGGAAGTTGCACAAAGCTCAAAGGTCATGTGTCCGCTACTCGTATAATGGTTAAGGGAGGAGTGTCATGGGAGGGCATTTTCGTTACAGAACAATGTTAACATCAGTTGCGAGCGACTCAATGAAATATAGAGGAACCTATATGTATCAACATCTCACTGCATACATCAATTATTCAGAGTCACGCGCAAGTGACTTCCACTCACTATAGCACAATTCTTACATTACATGCCATCCACAAGCACAAGCCACAAACGAACTTTGTGTTGGCTGACATCAGAAAAAAAGATTAGGAGAGTTTTCATGGGAAATGGTAGCGACCTTATTCTAGGCGTATGTGGTGGGATCCTATGTAAGAAAGTGAGATTCGTTTGTCCGATACTGCAGTTGGTCTATCTGGTAGTGACTCTATTCTTAATATATATTATATAATTGTCCTCTACCATTGACTTAATATGTTTTATATTAATTACTAATGCTCCCTAGTATTATGGATAGATAATTAGAATAATTATAGCCAAGAAAACCTATCATGGAAAATTAACCTATCATTTATCATGCTGCAAGAAAAGCTATCGGCTTAAAGTCAGGTTTAGGTTTGCTTGATAACAAAGCTCATTACAATAATCTGTATAAAATGGGTCAATTCTGGTTCCGAACATCAACTTAATAATGGAAAGTTTATATAGATATGTATCAAAGCAGAGCATCCGGATCCATCTCATGTTATGTATTTTATCTTTTCAGAATCTGAAAGGTCACCACCAAAGTTTGTTTGTTGCATAGAGTTAAAAAGAACCAAAGTTTTCCAAGCATGGTAATGGGGATGGGAAAAAAAGGTGATCTTCAATTTCAAGTGTGTGGTGTGTGATCGCCTAAATATTTTAAACAAAATCATTATCTATAAGACCTTGTGACATGCTTTCCATATCACACTAGTTTTTATCTTCTGCGTTTAAGATATAGGCTTAAGTGCTACAGTACCCCTTGAAACATTGATCAATTCTCACTTCACCTCCTTAAAGTTAAAGTGACCCACTTTACCCCATTGATCAATGTTTTGTGTCTCACTTTGCCCCTCACTGTCAAGTCTATTAAAAACTCCGTTAATATTGCTAACGTGGCACTAATAAGACCCACTATTTTGCTAAACTAAATGCCCTGTGTGAAGAAAAAAAATTAAAAAATGTCTTTTAAAAAACTTAATTGAACTAATTCAGTCAAAAGAGTCTGCTGATCACCCTAGCGACTTTCTCCATCATCAAGAGATGAAGTTGCCACCCTCAGAATGAATTGACAGCTTTTAACAGGATGCTATCTGAGTACCCATAATGGTTTGACTTCTTTCAATACCCCTTTTCGACTACTAGCTATTTTCAGCCATCTTCATCCAAGAACATCAATGCTAGAAGCCTACAAGTTCTCCAACCCAATCTTTTTAGGCTGACTCTCATGATTTTCTAAAGCATACGACAGCTGCTATTTAGGATATTCCACGAATCAAATTTACAGTCATACCTCCACAATTGAAATCCACACTTCAATGGGGAAAAGGCTAAAAGGGGAAGGAAAAAAAAACAAAAAAGAAGAAAAGAAACAGTGCAATCCTAACAATATGACAAATAAATATCGACACCAAAGTGTTGAATACAATACACTTCTTCATCTGTCTAACAGTAACATACCAACATGGAGAAGCATTGGTTAACTGCTAGACATAAAAGCATATATTCAAGTAGAGGCAAACATAGAAAGTTCATACTATATATTTAGCTTATACAAAAATTAAGCTAATTATACAGCTTCTACTACCAAACATATCAACTAATATATGACAACAAATCCCACCCCGTGGAAAAACTTATAGCATACATGCACTGGCTACTTTGAAGAAGCGCTAAGTGCTAACAGACTATGGGGAATAAATGGGACGGCTACTTATACCAAACATATCAGCTAAAACCTCGCCCGTTCTTTTGTTCTTACCTCACTTTGGAAAAATGGGACGGCTTTCAGGGTCGATAAATCCAGCAATAAATGCTATGAAAACCCAAATCATAAGGATGCCAACTATCGCAGTTCTCAGCACCTGATCACAATTGCGGTCCATGTCAACCTCGGCCTCATAAGTTGGATGGGCTGTGACTGGATTCCCACCCTCACGCACATTTGGTCTCTGCTCTGTCATGGCCATTTCATTTGCGTGAGGCTGCTGCATATCTGTGATGCTAATATCTGAACATATTTTGCACATGCATTTGCCACCAAGATATGATGGAAGTGTCTCAAGGTACTCAGATAGAATCTTCCGGTACATCTCGCCTTCAATTCTCAACTTCTGTCGGGTGTAAGGTTTCAAAACCTGACAAGAGACCACAGACAAATGTTTATTCATAAATGCAATAAAGTGCCAAGCTTTTACCTACTAAAATCATAACAAGAACTTCATAAAACAAAAGAGAATCTGTAAACCCCATATATCAAACATTCAGATCCTAATCAGAGTAATAGACTTACTTGTATAAAAGTTTGAGCAATAACGCGAAGCACTGGAGGAAGCTGTATAACAAACAGACAGCCAAGACGGTTGGGGAAGTGATCTTGCAAAAGGGAAGAACAAGTCCTCATAACTTGCATGGGAATTTTCAATGGAGATAGACCTTCACAATCTACCACAACTGTAATTTGAGCATTGTTGGCATCAAGCAAATGAAAGACACCGTGCTCTACTTGAGAAACTGCAGTTAAAAAAATTAATTTCTGTCAGAACACATAATGGGTAAGATATACATGAAAACAAGCATGCATTATATACTTCAAGACCACAAAGGAGATAGACCGCTTAAGGCTTCAATTGAACCATATCACCAGTGAAAATTTCCCTTCGTCATTAGCACCAAATAATTTTGAGGATTGCACACTTGATGAAACCGAATATAGTCAATCAAGCATGACCACGACACTTAAAAACTATATTTTAGAGCAAGCTAATGTAAATAATGCTTCAGTATTTTAAAGAATCAAGCCTTAAAGTTAATTAACTGAATATACAGGCCATTTCTTAATGGTCCTGCTGAAAGCACTTAGATACTTATCAATACATTCAGTTTGTTATGCTCAATAGGAGGCTCCAATTCACATTGAAGAAAGAGGGAAAAAAATCCTCAGATAAATAAGATGGGCTTCAATAAACACAGGGCTGAATAAGAGCGATTCTGAGTAGATCTGGAAAGATCCATCTCACAGCAATAGGGGTGGCTCAAGGGGAGAACCAAAGAAAATTATTAGCGGGGACAAATAAACTTACTGATTGCTTGAGCAAAGCGTGGTCTATCATGAGATGGCAAGCTGGTGCAAGCTAGCCCAAGTCGTACAATGAGGCAAGGTCTGTGTTTCACATCAAATCCATGCCAGAAAACCATATTTGACCACATCTCAAGCTCCTGTACAGAAAGAATTCCATAAGTCTCCCTCCATTTGATCGTCTTCTTTATTGAAGATAGCAAGCAAGAGAAGTCTCCGTTTGCAGCAGTGTAAAACCTGCGAAGTTCCTCCTCATCAATTCTGCATAAACATTAGCATGTCATGGTCTGCTGCGACAAGAAGCAAAGAAGTTCATGCATATAGGCAAGTAGAACAAAACATTAGATGAAACCTCAGAACAAGGTTAAGCCTTTTTTGAGAGAAATGTAAGAAATACCATTACAACAGAGGTGCAGAATATTTTTTTTGGAGCAACCCTACCAGGTGAAAATGATTATTTGCCAAGAAGTAAAGCAGACCGGATAATGCAACTGGGAGGTATTCATAAGATAATGATGTTGGTGAACATAATTCATCTACAAGATTAAAAGAATTCCATACAAATATAGGAAATGATACCAATATGTAAGTATTTTATTTTCTCTTGATGAAATTTGTTAACTAAGATCAACCTCAACCCCACCCCCACCCTTTAATTTGAGCTTAAAGCCAAGGGAACATAAGAAGACAAACAAAATAATATTGTAGAGGCATACAAAACTGTAACAAAATTTCATAAACCTATTAAGAGAAAGAAAGATTCCAAGTAAAATTTGTGTTTGGATATTAGCACATGTTATATACAGAGTTAGAATTTTTGGCACATTACTATCAGGAAACAAAAAATGGCACATGCATTAAATCACCTTTCTGGCAATGTAATCCCTTGTGTTTCCAGCTCTTTGTGGAGTTGTGTCAACCACATTTCAGGTTGTACATTTTGAGGAAATTCATCAGGAATCCTGTGCATTACATAAGCAGTAAAATTGGTCTTAAACCACCCTTGGAAGAAAAAAGAAACCCGATGAAAGCAGTAAAATTGGTCTTCCAAATCAATAACAATATGAGTAACTGCCATTGCTTTTGGGCATTTAAAATGACTATTCATTTAGCAAGCAGAACCATTATTTTCACAAATCCAATTGACCAAAGCTAGGAGATGTTATTGAAATACAAAGTTATAAGGAACACTTGACCCCTTATTATAGCATACTCACAAAATGAATTGATGAGGTGTCAGATAATGAATCAGGTGCAGAAACTGAAAAGCTCATTTCTTCTATTACCTTGTATCCAAATTAGAATCGTTGACACACTCAGAGGATGCTTCTGAGTCCACTTCTGAACATGCATCAGAATTGTTGATGCCATCAGAGGTTCTATTAAAGAGTTCAGCTTCATCAGAGAAAGTCGTTGCAATGGAGAGCACTAGTAATGGTTTTGAAACTACCTGGAAACATGCAACTACATCAAATCTTCCACATAATGATTCACGTAAAAGGAACTTGGCAATCAAAAAGTTCCATCCGAATACGCAAAAACCAAGAATATGAAGTAGTAGTGTAAATCCCATAAGACCTTTTTCGGGGTTCTTAAATTGTGGTAGAAATATGACAATAATGGGAAAAAGAAAAACAAAGACTTCAAGAATTTGACCTGCATGCCATTGACCAAAGCCTTGAAAGGGGCAAATCGTTGAAACCACTTGAACGGTGGATAGCACAGAAATTGCAAAGCCTGAAAGCCACGCCATGCCCAAGGGCACTTGGCCCTTGAGAACCTCCTTACTGTCTCCAATGCGGCCATTTTGAGCAAAAACAATGCCACCTGGCTCGCAGCTCCATTCCCGATTCGAAGCGAATTTATGTGCTGCAAAGAGGCGTTGGGGCGAGAAGCAACTATATGATCATGTGACTTCTTTTTCCCTCCAGTCATAGCAGCATTGGCCTCTTGAGGGATTCTACGCAAAGTGTCTCCCATTGTGCGGAAAAGGAAAACCACCTGCAATTGGTGATGGAGGGTGTATTTAGCAAATGTGTAAATAAACACGGGTGCGATAAGTAATTCTTACTCATTCCGATTCATTTCAGTGAAAAAAATCTTTTCTTTTCCCTCTCCGCTTTCTCTCAATTTCTTACCGGCCAAACACTGATAAGTTGATAACCGGTGTGTGAATTCCTTCAAAGGCTAATCTAATCTCAATTGCGACCTATTGTATAAAATTGAAAATGAAAACATTATAATTGGAGCTCGAAATCGAAGAAACAGTTCTCAGTTCTCACCTCAAAATCTTAGCGATCTGGAGATTGTGCTCGATCGCGATCTTAGAAAGAGAACTGGAATTGGATGAGCTAGGGTTGGGAGCATTTGGCGGTTCTGAGAATCGGAGGAAGCGATCAAAGGCTACTTTGTAGGGAAGTCTTTTCGAATTAATGTGTGGATTTTTGGTTGGGATATAAATACGAGCTCGATCTCCATCGCTATCGGGTAGCAGTAGCAGAGGGAGGACGAAGGAACAAACCCGAATGAACGAGAGAGAGGCAGGTGGAGCTTTTCTCACGTGACTTGCAGACATTGGTTGACACGTGTGTGCAGTGGGTAACTTTTAAACTCTGTGTGGGGACTGTTTTGGCGGTCAAACTCAAAGTGAAGTGATGGTAAGAGTTTCGTGAATCGCCGAATGACGAACCACACCGCGAGTTTTCTTGATGAATTGCAGTGGGGATGACAATTTTTCATAGGGGTTAGGGTATTCGATCTTGAACTCATTGTTAATCCATACATTCTAGTGACTTTGAACCCATAAATTATATGAATATTTTTTTTTAATAGTCTCCAAAATGAAATTTGTTAGAATTGAAAGATCAAATAACATTATTAAAACTAGAAAGATATGGATTTCCGTAAAAAAGAAGAAACTATAGTTCTTTTGTTACAAGTTGGGATGAACTCAGAGACTAGAGGTGTCAAACGGGTCATGCCGGGCCAGTCCATTCCATTTAAACTCGTGCTTTTAACGTTTTCGTGTCGGGTCGGGCCGGCCTATTTAATTTATCGGGTCGTGCCGTGCAGGCCCATTTAGTAAAATCATTGATCCCGACCCGGGCCAAAGCCCATGTCCATATTAAAACGGGCCGGGCGGGGCTCGTGCCTTGCCCGTGCTCGTGCCATACTCGGGCCCAAGAACCAATCAGTTTAATTTGAATTTTTTTCACTTAATTTTTTTTTCACTAGATAATTCAAATTATAAACATTAAAAATATAATTAGAGGCAAGAAATGATGAACTATTTGAAAACATTAATAAATTAAACATTCAAACAATACGGAATGACGGATGGCAAAAAGTGTCAAACTCTACAAAGTCCACTTCAACATTTCATCTTTAAACAATTTATTATTTTATATGTGAAATAATGTCTTGCTTTGATTATAAGATAAGCATATATGTCATATGTACTGATTAGATATCAAGTCCAATGTTGTTTAATTAATTTGTAGTTGATATGTTTAATTAATTAATGACCCAAGTAATTTTCCTAAAATGAAAGACATCAAATATATATTTATGATTAAAAAAACATATACATAATGACATTAGATGTCAAATTATTGCATTTTGACTTTTGAGAAAGAAAAAAATGTTAAGTGGGCCATGTTTGGACTCGTGCCGTGTTTGAAGCGTGCTCGTGCCAAGCCCGGCCCATGTCGGGCCATGGGCCGGCCCGATTCATTGGTCTGGCCCAAGTTTTCGTGCCGTGCCGAGCACGGCCCATTAATATTCGTGTTTGTGCCCTGCCGTGCCTCATTTAAATGGGCTGACCTCGTGCTGTGCTGGGCCGGCCCATCCCGTTTGACACCTCTAACTCAGACAACGAAAAATAATGAACAACAAATATTTGGGGGCAAAGTTAGGCCTAATATATCATGAGAGTTACTCGCCTTGGCCCAACAGCAAATCCTGGTCAAGAGACAGGACAGTACTTGACACTTGTACTAACTCCACGTGTCACTTCCCCGAATTTCGACAACTTGCCACGTGCTTGTATGATGAAGACCAGAGAATGAAACAGAAACTGAAAGCGCCTGAATAAAAGCGCAAACGCATGGATCGCCGTTCATCCGCAAAGCCAGTAATTAATTAATTGCTGAAAGAATTAATTAAGAAATAAAAATGGCGACGACGGGGTCGAAGATGAACACAGTGTTTGCTTACACGGTGGTGTACGTGAAGGACGTTGCTAAATCCACAGCCTTCTACTCCAAAGCCTTCGGCTACAACATTCGTCGTATAGACGACTCTAACAGGTATTTTTATTGTTATTTTTATTTAAAGTTTTTGATAGAATAGAGGTTTAATTAATTAATAATTAACAATATAGTCTTTGATGATGATGATGATGATTATGGTAGATGGGGGGAGTTAGAAAGTGGGCAAACGACGATAGCGTTCACGCCGGTGCACCAGCACGAGACGGATGATCTGACGGGTGCAGTTAAAACCCCAAGCTCTGGCCGTGAGAGGCAGCCGGTTGAGGTTTGCTTTGCCTACTCTGACGTTGATGCTGCCTACAAAGTAAGCATCATATATAATAACTTTCTTTTTTTTTGGTTGTCAATTCCTGTTTGGTACCATGTGGTTTCTCACTCGTAACTTCGTAAGGCGTGTTTGCCCACGTGGTTTTCTTTTCCATTCGATTTAATTACCGATTATTCTCAGAAGATTTGAACTCATGACTTTCTTCAACTGATCTCTTACTGCAGAGGGCGCTAGAGAATGGGGCGGTGGCGGTGAGTGAGCCAGAAGAGAAGGAGTAGGGACAGAAAGTGGGGTATGTACGAGATCCTGATGGGATCGTGGTCAGGTTGGGAAGCTACGTCAACCCACCAACAGCAAAGTAGGATTCAAAATCTTAATCTTTCCTTCCTGCGGCTGCTGCTGCAAATTAACAAGGACACAGCTAGCTAGTTCCATGGGTGCCCATGAATGAAGAATAAATGAGCTAGAAATAGTATTTTCCCAGATTTGAGTACAAATTTGAGATAAATATGAGTAAAAGGTTAATTTACTTCCTACTTCTAGCTACTTCTGGTAATTGTTTTCAATGCGTTGTGTACAATTTTCCCAGTCATACCTGTTAAAGTCTCACAACATCCAGGTTACAAAATTTACTTGTATTGGAAAACAATTATGACGATTTGAACAAATATTGAGTTCATGGACATGAGAAGTTGATGAACAAATACTGGTGAAATTGATGGACTAAACCTAAGTGTTTTGAAGTTGATCGGTGCAATTCAGGCCAACTGAATTTTTTTGGTAAATAAAGTAAAATATGAATGCGTAATGCAAAAACTTTTTGGTTGAGGCCATACCATATGCCCCTTTGCCATAAGTGCTGCAATTGCGCGTGTGTGAGACTCGTGAGGCCCACGAGGAACCCACACATCTGCTGATAGGTGAGCTAGGCAGGGCACCAGACAAGAACACTTCCTCATCAAATGGGCAAATACTAATTGAATACAAAGATGTTCCACGTTTTAACAATTACTAGACAATGAGAAGAAAAACAAATACAAAACAAAAACAAAAACAAAGAACAAAAAGAAATGAAGATATTTTTAAAAGTGAGAAAATCAATGGCATTCTACAAGGGCCAAGGCTTTGCCAATTAACACATCCTCTCTGACGACACACTTGTGCAGAGAGAAGAGAAAATGCTTCATTTGGTAGCACGTCATATTCATTCATAGCATCTCTTGTGACTTTCTCACACAGCGGCTCACCTTTTTCTTGAAATCGTCTCTCCGATCTCTCCACTCCTTCTGCAATATGCATAATACCAACACAATCTTAGAATAGTCAACGTGGAACTAAGTTAAATTCCATCTTAGAATACTTAGACAAGTACAACACTCATGCGCCATTACTAATTGAGGTTTGTACTTAAACACCAGCTACTAACACGATGTGCAAGAGAAAGAAGATGCAAGGTACAGTAGTAAACTAAATTATCGACAGAACAAAAACAAAAGCACAAATAAAAATGAAAACTAGCTTTAAAAAAATTACAACTACAATCAGCCTATATATCAGTTTTGAGGGTAAGTTAAAAACAAGTTCCAATTTTCCATTTGTGAAGCAGTCAACAAATTGGAAAATAGGGCTTGATTGATCAACACCACGATCCTAAAACAGAAACATGACGAAATCTCTTGCCACAGCACACCATTGTACACATAAAGAATGGTTTAGTGTAGTAGCCTAAATCTTATCCCAACCATCCAAATGGCTAGGATTCAGATGAGCAAACTACATCCACACATCATATCTCTCAAACCAACGTATCTTCTTAACAAGATACAATCCAATTAATTTTTACAAGGTGCTTTGCACATAAACCTAATTTGTCTTATAGGAATAGATGAATTCATTAAGATACAAATCTATTATCTGCAACTTTGCCAAAATTGACAATCTCACTGAACAGTACAATCATGTCCATTTCTAACAATATGAACAACTGACACAAAAGAAACATATTGCTTTTCAATAAAATTTTGGTCATCCATGCGGGGGCATAGGTTATAATAATCAGCATGAAGTAGAGGATAGTTCAGAAAGAGAAAAGAGTTTTGACAATAGAACAAGGGATCACTTACCGCAGCTTCAACATTTGCAGGAGATTCATCATTCGGACTGGATAGCATTGATATTATACTCAAAACTATGCTTTCAACCTGGATACAACATTTCTGTGTTTGTTAATGCAGTACTATAGTTTTAATAAAACTAAACAATAAAAAACAAAGATAAGATGCTTATCAACATATACTTAGTTTTTTTGTTTCATGAGCACCTTGACTTACCAAGTTCCTTCACAAACAATATATAGCAGAAAAACCACAAATTTTGACCAGCAGGAAGAAAAATTGGAAATTTGCCTAATGACAGCATGTTATGGTACCTTGGAGACAAGCCCTTCAGTAATATATTATACACAAGAAGAGCCCCAAGTTAAGACATCAAATGCCTTTCATTGAACCTTAGGGTGAGCCTCAGGCACAAGACTTGATAGATTTAACAACCATGTGATGTATTGATAATGATCTGACAACTCATAAACTCAACTTATGACTTTGGTCTCTCATCTCTCCAGCTACCTTAGTGAAGAGAAATTACTACCATTACAAAGGAGGTATGTAATATATATATAGTGTTTTTAGCTTTATGACTTGCACTCTCATTCTAAAGATTTTGAGTTACGGGTAATTTTAGGATTAGAGTTGAGTGTGATACATGTGGACACTATTTATTTTACATAATACCATACCGTATGGACAGGCGTCCAGCGCTCACTTGCAAGCTCGTAACCATTTGGATCCTCACCAGGAGGATGAAGAATTGATATGCAAACACGGCCATCAGGATAGACTTCAAATAGACAACAACCAGGATCAGTCCTCTAATAACAAGTGCAACCTATCAAACATGCATACTTAGGATAGAAACCAACCGTTGGGATGCCATATATCTGAAGTAAACTTAACCGTCGGAGGGCTGTTCGGATAATTATTAGGAAAGCTCATGATGGCATTGAAGAATCCCCCTTCACTGCAATTAGGTAACATGTAATGATTAATTCGAATTAGATTAAATGAATGATGAATGTGATATGGACACAACTCACAGCTTTAAATGCCACAACAAATCTCAAGTGAATGGCAATTTTCCAAATAAATGCTCTGCTTATGATCGAAAACAGACGATACTCCCATCCATAAAAGTAACGAAATAATACAAACAAAATACGTTGCTGAAACCAATACTGTGCCCAATTTGAAAAACCACATTCCAAATATAGGAAATTTGTAATAAAAAAATCCAGTCTAACTGTGCAACTAATTAAAAGTCCTCACCTTTACCTTCACATACCCTAAGAACCAAACTAAGCAATTTGTGACTAAAGACTAACTTCCAAATATGGAACTTTCACAATTTCTAACTTGAAAGAGAATCATATCACAAGCTCAGATAAATCCCATCTTAGGGCAAAACCCTAAATCTGCCACCTCAACTACAACTTTAAAAGTCAAAACACAAAATTGAGAAAACTAAAATCAAATTGAAAATCCCCAAAACAAAATTAAATTAAACAGAACAAGAATCACAAGAATCTCAATCACCCTTGATCCAATCCCACTCAAAGACATAAATAACCACCGAAATCGATCATCTTATGCACAACAGTTAAACCACAAAACCCAATTAAGAAAGGTACAAAATTGAAGCGGAAAAGAATCCGAAAAGGCACATACTATAGCGTATCGGGCGGTCCGATAATCGTGACGCTCCACTCAAAGATATTGTTTTCATCGACCAGACCGGCCGAGAACCCGTCTACTGGGTTCTTGCAAAGATCTGCCATAACCAAAACAGATAATCAGATTCACCAAACGAACAGGTAGAAGAATCCAATCCGATAAACCAATCAAAAATAGAATCCAAGACGAGTGCTTTACACACACAAAATTGATTGAATTGAAGTTTTTTAAATACCCTTGAGCTGTTTCTGAAGCAGAAGGCTCGCCTGGGACGCCGCCATGAAAGGGATAGATAGAGCTGGCGTGGGAGCTCTACGCGACGGTGTAGCGAGAGGAGAGAGAAAGAGGGAGATTTATAAGGCCGACACTTCGTGTATTTATAGACAGAGAACGTTCCGAATGTGGACTCTCCCTATGGGGAGTGTGGGGACGAGTGGGAGCTGGGATTGTCTACGGGTGTCTCCTGTTGGAGTCGGTGTTGTCGCGAGCTGAGTGGTACCACGTGTGATAGTGTGGTGGGACGGTCAGCATGATAACAGGTTCTAGTAGTTTCTCTGTTGAGCTGTGGATTGACCGTTGAGATCTAAGATTTTTGGCAACGTTGATGGGGGCCACATCAGGTGATGGAAAAAGAAGAATGAGTGACTTCTCGTCCCTTATAGCACTTCCACCTATTTGTTATGGCAAAGGCCAATGGCTGTTATTATTCACACTAGCCTCTCTGCATGCGCTTTCACGCCTGCGACTCTGCGATAGGGTTTTTATTTTTTATTTTTATAAATTTAAATTTATTTTATAATTAAAAAAGATAATGAGTAGTTGTATTCCACAAAAATATGATTCATTATTTAATTTTTCTTTTAATTTTGATTTTTTTAATATAAAAAAGTTTGAATTTACTATATTATCCTCATTTAATTAATAATTTTAATTCTTAATGTTTGGATTAACCAAGGGCATTTTCTGGTATTTTGAATGTTTCACCATTCTCTGCCTTTTGCTTTATATATATAGATGAATAGTGACAGCCCTTACAAAAGACTTGTGGTGTTTTCACCTATTGCCATGGCAACCCAAGAGCAACCACTATTCACATGAGATATAAATAGATGAATTTGTATCGAGTTTTGGTGTGGGAAATGAAGAATATGACTAAGTATTTATTTTAAAAAATTCTGAAATTTTTAGTATTTCTTTATATATATATTTTTTCATTGCAGCAAACCCAAGCAACAGCCTAAGCTATTCTTGCCTTCGAGTCAGCCCAGACTTGTGGAGCCCACTAGCTGCCCAGGCTGCATTTGAGCACTGGAACCTTTGCTTGGGGCTTGGGCCCCCTCTTGCCCTGGCCACAGCCTTTCGCTGGAAGTGCTTTTAGCACTCTTGTTCCTCTTTCAGGAAAGATTCTCAAATCTCTTTTCTTCTTTTTTTAGGGTTGAAATTCTCAAATCTCTTAATGTGAATATGTTGTACCGTACTCTTATTATGCTTGTTAAAACGACAATGTTTTAAGTTTACAATCAAACACTTGGATATATATTTGAATTTTGAAATATCATATAATGAAAAGCTCATATAAGCATAGTGACTCTCTTGGGATCAGTACTTTAGTGGCATGTTTACTAATTCCTAATCGGATTATGAGGAATTGAATTGAGGAAGAGTTGGATTGAGGATCAAGCCTTGAAAGAATCCAATTAATTATAGAACTATCTCGACCCTTGATTCTTAAGCTTTATACCCCACCCCCCGCCCCCCCAAAAAAAAAGCCCACTAACTAAGTCAGTATGTGATTGGTCGTTGAGAATAGTAAAACAATGTTACTTCCATTACAAGTAAAAAAATTTCGTTGCTTAGACCCCACGTATGATTGGACTAGTCCAAACTCACATTTTAGTCGTTGAAGGAAGGTATTGGGTCAAAATTATCCAACCGCAGTCCATATCATTCATTTATGAGGTCAAATAATTGAATACCGGAATGTCAATATCAAAAGTTTGGATGTCCCATCTCATGAAAGGCCCAACTAGGTAGCAATAAACCCAGGCTTAGATTGAGCCTCAAAATTTGGGGTGGGAGTGGGCCTGACCCGACCCGACCCAGTGAGTCCTCCAGATTCTTCAACTTTCTTCTTCCAAGGTTCAAAAGGTGGAACCGGCCGGAAACAAGGTAAAGGTGGAGAGAAAGAATGGCAGTCGAATAAAGCAAAAGGTTACGCACATTTACACGTGACAGCACAGTGATACATGATTGCATGTAAAAAGAAGAAAAAAATAGTAAATGGGAATTTTAGAGAAAAAAGAAGCAAAAAGATTTGTGTGGCTGACAATGCATTTTCTTCCTCTCATGCCTGCTCCTGCTCCCATCAGATATTCCTCAGAGATTCGCTTTCCTTTTAATAGTGCATGTACTAGTCCAACTTCTTTTCTTTTTATACGCAAATCACTTCTGTCTCTCTACTTTCTTTTACTTTGCTCAGTTTTTTATAAATCTGGATTTGCTTCTTATCACTGTCTTTATAAAACTCCATTATTTAATAGTAGTATATTTTGAACACGTGTTATAATATAAGTGAATATTTATTGATATTATTTCATAAAAATAGAAAAATAAACTATGTTATCCACTCATACTGTAATATTCTATAATTTCTCATACGCGTGCACCTTTAATATGAAAAATTAAACAAACTTATCCTGGTTTCATTGATTTTTTTGGTACTAGAGAGAGACAATCACACCGCGGAGCAACAAAGTTTTATCAGTCATACTTTTAAGTAAAAGTTGTTAATTCTTGTGCATGGATGACTGTTTTTATGTACGCGTCGTTTGATTTGAGATTTAGATAGATTTTAATAATAGCTAGTAAGCAAAAGCCATAGCAAAATATATTTAATTCTGTATTTCTTCACGCAAAAAAGACAAGTGTTTTCATGAGAATGTACTTCCTTTTCTGTACCAACACAACACTAATTGCATATTCATTGCATAACCAGCCCCAAACATCACACAAATTACACAACCACAACAAGCAAAAAACGACATTACCTTAAAACCCTAAACTTAATTTATTTGCATATTCAAACCAACCCAGAACCAAGACAACAACACGTTGAAGTGGAACCATCTCTCTCTCTCTCTCTCTCTCTAGTGACAAAAGATGACCTTGAGCTCGTGTGGCGACGAGCACTGGTGCATGAGCGTGGGGCTGTCGTGAGCAAAAGTAAACGTGGCAGGACACGCGCGCTTGAAAAACTCCGAGTAACTCGACGCCCGACACGTCTGCGGGCTGTTGTACTGGTTCCGACAGCACAGCTCGTCCGTACGGAACGCCTCGCAGGCGCTCTTGCAAGCCACCACGCCGGCGTGCGACGTCACCCTCAGCCTCTCGGGACATGTGGCGAGCAGATCGGCCTTACAGCCTACCACGGGGCACACGCCGTGGCCCTCGTGCGGGGTGATGGTCAAGGGGACGTTGAAGCCGTCGACGAGGCTGACGCCGTATGAGAAGAGGTCGTTGGGCCCGTGGTGGAGGCTGACCTGCGCTAGAGTGGCGGGGGCAGCGCCGCCGGCTCCGTTGCACTCGAGTCGGCCGCCGCAGTCGCCGGTGAGGCAGGAGAAGTGGTTTTGGGTCTGGGTGCAGTGGGTGCGGGCCCAGATCCGACCCGACCAGGGCTGGGTCGGGGTGGGGAAGGAGCGGTGGGAGAGGGCGGGGAGGTAGAAGCCGCCGCGCTCGAGGACGGGGTGGCCGGAGTTGGGCTGGATGCCGGGCCAGAGGGGGAAGGGGCAGTTGTTGACCAGAGTCAAAAATGGTGCAGGGGAAGTGGCGTGGGCGAGAGCACAGAGGATCAGGAATGTGGTGAGGAGGAGAGTGAGGGAGTTGTGGTGGTAAGAGGAAGCCATTGTTTTCTGTTTGTGAATGAATGCGTGTGAGAAGGGAAGGGTTTTACCTGGGTTTATAGAGGAAGATACACCTATGGGATGGGAACATGGCTGTGGAAAAAGGAGTCGAAAAGACGGAATTGCCCTTGGGTTCAGTGTGTCAGACAGTAGGTATGGGTGTGGCTTTACGTGAAAAAAAAAGAAAGCAAAAGCATGCTTTTTGGATTTTGTACTTATAGCCAGGTATACATACATACGCTAGAGACAGGATCCCGCTTGCCCTACAATACAGACACACAGTGGTTTTGCTTTATATTTTTTAAATAATTATCAACCGTTAATGCAAGTGAGTGTCATGATAAATAACATCTACTATGCACGAGCAATTTGCTAATAGAACTCAAACATTTCTTCACTTTGCAATGGGTGGAATCTGACTTTACGGTGAGCGATATTTTTTTTAAAACAGTCTCCCCGGCCTAATCACTGCGACCGTGAGCATTTGATATACAAATAGAGTTCATCCTCGCAAGATTCCTATCAACATATATTTCTCTATATTATCGAAGATAATAATTGTTGGCCGACATTCAAATAATGTTCGAGTTTTTGAGAATGGTGGTAACAAGAGAAAAGAAAAGTGATGATGTTATTCGAACTTTCGCATCTTAATTTAGAAAGAAATATGTGAAGTGAGTACTGCATGTGACATGGGGTACGTACTTTGACAGACAAAGCGGTGTCGTTTTATGGGGAGAGAGGCCCCAGAGGGAGCAGAGTGCATGCGGTTACTTCGAGGTGGACGGTCAAGACAAACACGTTGGGTACGTAAGTGGATAAGCAGCAGCATCCACAAAGCCGCTGCCCTGAACAGTCTCCACCTTTGTGAGAAAAGAAAAGGACATCCAATTTTTACCTTCCCTTTTGAATTTGATAACCATCAACATTTTAATAATAAGATTTTTAGATTCTCTTCCAAATTTCACCTCTTGCATTCTTTTATGGGGTATATCAAAATAATAAATATAAAAGAGGTGCGTTTTTGGGGTGCCCAAATATTTTGCATCTGGTGTACCGTTTGAATTTTGAAATGTGGGATAAGAGAAAATCAAATCTAAAACTTCGGAGTTCATTATGAACTACAAGCCCTTTATGATATATTTATAATTTATAAAGAGTCCATTTGACGAGAATGAAAGCAAAACGCAGCTTCAGCAGACTTGCTATTTAGAGACTCTCGATGCCCGGATGCTCTTAGAATAGAAATACACAAATATTCATTAGATGCTTGAGAGTTTCAAACCTCTACTCACATTAATGGAGGTGAAAGAGCCTAACCAACTGAGCCACTCCACTTTTGAAATACCAATAAAATTATATCAAAACAACTAGTTGAATTTTTGTTGTTTATTAAACTAAACTAATGCATTTATTAGTAGTCTAATTTTCTTGCAAAGTAATTAATTTCACATGATCCCTCTGCAAATTACCAATTTGCGGTTCTTTATAAATCCGAAGAAAGAAACGCCCAAGCATATCAAAAGTTCAAAAAGACATATAAATCACACAGAGGGCGGCAAGCAGAGCACATATATATTGGCTGCTGTTCACTCTCAAGTTTTTCTTCCAACTCTGCTGTTATTGGAGAGAGTGCCTGGGTATTTTTCAATTCATCAAAGAAGAAAAGAGAGTTGAGCTTTCCTTCCCCAGTTATCTTTGCTGCTATCTTTGAAGGTTGGCTGAGACTCAGACTCACAGAGATGCTGAAGATGATGATGCGAACAAATGCTGCTGCTTCTTCTTATTGCAGCAGCAGCAGCAGAGGTATGCCTTGTCTTCACCCTAACTCCACTGTTGTTTTCGTCAACAATTACTTTGCTTTCTTCTCTCGCTCTCAAGCTTCTAAAGCAAAAAATTCTAGAAGAAGAAGAACCCAACTAGACCAGCTAGCGAAAGACTTTCCCAAAATCACAAATGTTGAGGATGCTCTCAATGTGTTTGATAGAATGCTTCAATTGCGTCCCCTGCCTCCACTTTTTCGTTTTACTCAAGTCTTGTGCCTAGTTGCGAGATTGAAACAGTATTCGACGGTCATCTCGTCGTATAACCAAATGGCTGTGTCGGGAATGGTACCTGATGTTTATGTTCTGAACATTCTCATTAATTGTTTTTGTCATTTGAACCAAATGGGGTCTAGTTTTTCTGTCTTGGGAAAATTCTTCAAACTTGGTTTTGAACCAAGTGTCGCTACCGTCAACACTCTAATCAACGGCTTTCTTCTCGAGAATACAGTGGGTTGAGGCTGCAGGAATTTCAATAAAATGATCAAGGCAGGTAATTGTCAGCCTAATGCTATTACTTTCGGCACACTAGTCAAAGGCCTTTGCATGAAAGGCAACAATGGTGCTGCTATTCAGTTGCTAAGGAAAATGGAGGAAAGAGCTTTCAAGATTGACCTTATTGTCTATAACACGATTATCGACAGTCTTTGTAAAGATACACTACTTGTTGATGCATTGAACCTCTTCTCAGAAATGATGAGCAAGGGTATTGCCCCAGACGTCAGGACTTATACAGCGTTGATTCAGGGAGCTTGCAAATTAGGCAAGTGGAAAGAAGCTACAAGGTTGTTGAAAGAAATGGAGAGTAAAAATATTTTTCCAAATGTGCACACCTTCACTGTCTTGGTAGACACACTTTGCAAGGAGGGCATGGTTGTGGAAGCAGAAGGCGTGGTCGAAATGATGATTCAAAGGGATATGGAACCTAATGTGGTTACGTACAGTTCACTTATGAATGGTTACTGTTTGCAAGGAGAAATGGACAAGGCGAAAAAGGTTTTTGAACTAATGCTTAGCAAGGGGTCCATGGTTAATGGTTTTAGTTATGCCATATTGATAAATGGATACTGTAACCAGAAAAAAATCGATGAGGCCAGGATGCTTTTTCTGGATATGTCTCGTAAGGGACTGGTTCAAGATAACATTATTTGTAACATTATTGTGGACGGTTTTTGCAAAGTGGGTAGAATACAGGATGCACAAAAGGTGTTCTTTGAGATGCAGACTTCGGGCCAACTTCCAGATATTATAACTTATAATGTTCTACTGGATGGCCTGTGTAAAAACCGACAACTTTCTAAAGCAATGCAATTGTTTCGCGAGATGGAAGGCAAGAAGTTGGATATTGATATTAAGGTTTACAGCATTCTTATTAATGGTTTGTGCATAGCTGGAAAAATTGAATCTGCAAGGGATCTCTTTTGTGGTTTATCATCAAAAGGACTTCAACCTGATGTAGTGACATACAATGTAATGATTAATGGACTCTGTCTCGGTGGCCTAACAAGTGAAGCAGAAGAGTTGCTTATTGAAATGGAAGAGAAAGGGTGCTCTCCAAATGATCGGACCTATAACACGATTATCCGAGGGCTTATCAATAACAATGAGACATCAAGGGCGATGGTACTTATTCGACAAATGGTGGAGAATGGTTTCTCTGCGGATGCATCAACAATGGAATTGATAGTAAATTTATTGTGCAAAGATGAAGTCGATCCTGCTTTGTTGCCTTTGATAAGAAAATCATTGTGAAATTTATATCCATCTGTGGACAATGAAATTTGAAACTGCTGCACCTTTGACAACCATGAAGGTATTATATTATACCTGGTATGCCTGGTATTCTCTCTAACTCCACTGTTATTGTTTTCGTCAACAATTACTTTAGCTTTGCCCTTTGTGTTGTTATTCCTATTATCATTCAATAAACTTGAGATTTCGTATTTTCAGGTAAATCCCAATATTTATATATTCTTTGTTCATTACGCTGAAACACCAAACAAACATTTCGTGGAAGGAGTTGAAGCCATCTATTATTTGTGGAACTGCATCAGTAGCAGAATCGACCCCTTGTTACTCTGTCGTTAGCCTCCCAATCATAGCTGCAAATTGCAATGGCCACGACATCAAGGTCATCACCATCCCATGCATTATATTTTGAGCTATGTAAAGAATGTAACACTCATGGAATTTATTTCAATCCTGGCAGCAATTCTTATTACCACACTTTTCTTAAATAAAAAATTGACAACAATTACAATTAAATAAAAAATTGAAAAAAATTATTATAAAAAAGAAAGAAGGTACATATAAAGAATGAATGGAGGTCCTGTGATTTATTTGTTATCACTTATTCACAGAGCTCCCAGAAGAATGCAGTTAAGAAGATTGAATGATGATTGGGTCTGAAATGGTGGACTGAAGCTCCCAAAGCTCAAAAATTCCATTGACAAAGTCATAGTAGCCACCCCTCAGTGCTAGGGTTTTGTCTGAGACTGCCTTCTGAACATATGGGTAAGTTTGTAGGTTTCTCAGTGACAAATTTACTGCTTCCTGCATAAACATTAATTTATTAATTTAATTAATATAAGATCATGTTGAGTAAGATTTAATTATGAATTTCATTTTGGGGTTGGGGGTGCTTTGGCTTACCCTTGCACAACTTTCACATTGATCTTCAAAATCTGCACTTCCCCCCTCTGCTTCTGCTATAACCTTAGCCTTGGCAGTAAACCAATTTTCATCCATTCATCTATGAAGTCACTGCAAATTTCAATCCAATGGAAGCAAAATCATTAGCGTATCTTAATGATTTTAGTCGTCGAATTTTGCCACTTGTTTGATTCTTAATCTGAGCTAATCAAAAGTATGTTTAGGTTTTAAGCTACAACTTTTGTATGTCAGAAAACTTACAAGGGAGGAGAACCATTTTCTGGATGAGACATCAGCCTCTTGATCCCGCCACAACGACTATGTCCCATGACCAAAATATTTTCTACCTGTAAATTTGTCTCTCCTTGTTAATTAGCATCAATGTATTTGATAAGCAGTAGTATTAATATTTAATCAAACAAAACTCAAATGTGATTAAATAAAAAAAGATATTTGAAATGTTTTACCCCTAGTTCTTCAATAGCGTATTCTATGGTTGCTCCAACTCCTGAGTGTTTCAGCTGTGAAGCAGATAACAAATATTAGCAAGAATTAATTTAATTAACAATAATTATTATTTTTTAAAATTTGATTAGAGTATTAATTAAACCTGGTCAAAGGCAGGAACCATGTTAGCGATATTGCGAACCATGAAGGCTTCCCCAGGTTGGAAATGAAGGATATGCGAGGGGCACACTCGGGAGTCTGAGCATGCAAATACCATAAACTGCATATTGGAGTTTAGCAAAAGAAAGTTAGAATAAAAATACCATAAACTGCATATTGGAGAGACAATCAACGAGAAGGAGTTTTGTGAAAACAATTTGAAACCTCAAAGGGTATTGGTGTAATGTTTGAAACTGCAGTCGTTTCTAAAAACATCGAAAACCTCAAGAGATGTTAGAGTAAATAAATTTTAGAAATAAAATAAAGTTTGATTAATATACATCTAATTAATTGATTCTTTAAATGGTATGGGCTATATATACCTTGGGGCTTTGTTCTTGGGCCAGCTCCTTTACCAAATGTGGATGTTTGCTGCAAAGGTTACCCCAAAAATGAAAATATTATTTGCTTGCATTACTAATTTATTAAACATTTTCCATTTGAAAGGAATAAAAGTTCCAAAAATAGTTAAGAGAGACCCAGCTCTATCAAATAGCAGCAGCAGCAAGAACAACAACAAAATAATGCCATCTTACTCGAAATAGTTGGTCTTGAAGTACTTGAACCCATCTACAATTCTTTTAACTGGGTCATCAGAAGAACTGAGCGGTCTGGGTGGCCAAGCCGGTCCGGTCTGCCTGGTCCATTGCATCTCAACGGTTATGTTATCAATCTTGGCTGCAGCCACATCGTCCAGGTACTCTTCCTTCTCACTGACCAAGTTACCATTTCATCAGCACATGAATTTTTCTACTGCTTTCAATAATGTTGTTGTTTTAGAGCAAGAGGTTTTGAATAAGTAGAGGAACCTGAGAAACAACTTCGAGAGATTTTGAATGGCCGCATCAGATAACTGGCTAGTAGTCATTTTGTCTACTTTCTTTCTGCAAATGCAAATAATCACAAATATTAGACACAAGAAAATAATATTGCATGTATGCTTAAAATTTTAGAAGTCCAAGCTTCCTAGCTTTAGTAGCTAGTTTTAATATAATTTAAAGTACGGGGAAGGAGATTCGAATTTGGGTGCATAGTGGGGAGCACATCCGCAGACATGGACATAAAGATAAAGGTATTTGAAATAACACAGTTGAGTTAAAAGAAAATTAGAGAAATTAATGTAATCATAATAATGTGACAATCACCAACAACACAGCATTGTGAAATGAATTGCTAGAAATAGATAGCGAAATCTCTATACATTTTGAAGAATCTTGATCTGCACGAATTTAAGTGGAATTTGCAGTATGCTAATTGCTACACAATGACTCGCACATCTTTGCAGCCTCTATTTATAAGCAAGGCCTAAGTACTTTTTAAATCCTAATCTTTGAGTTTCTCATTTTGTTGACTGTTTATTTTTGGACAAATCCTAGTCTCTGTCAATATTGTACCACAAATCCAGCGGGACAAGGACCTTGATATACTAAAATTATGGTAAAATAAATATACAAAGAAGTCTTAACTCCACCAAACCCCCTATATAATACTAATAGTACCTTTGTTTAAACATCAGTTTAGTAGCTCGAGGGACGCGGTAAAATTAAGTTAGACTTCTCGGTTTGTGTATATGCCCACAAGAAAAACGCATACATACATATAGAATGTCAAACAAACACATCCACCACTACCGGCCTCTTCCACTCTCACAAACACATAAAAATAGTATGGTTAGAATAAATGTGAAATTAGATTAATTTTTTAATTGGCGATTGTATTTTTTAAAAAAATAAACAAGAATTCACATGATAAATGGTTTAGATTTCATAAATAGTCGAACATAACTATTTGAAAAGATAAGTTTTCTATACGTACATAGGTGATTAGCGATCCGGATTTAGAGTTCATAAGCATATGCGTAATTGACAATATAAGTATAATGGAGACAACATTATCCTCTAATAGAAAAAGGCATGTAGTTCATTATATATGTCTATAAATGGTATGCCGCATATATTAATTGGAACCTTCCAAGCATCCACTTGCCCAACCAACTATATAACATGGCTAGCTAACTGAGTGAACTTACTCTATGGAAGTTTCCATTTGACAGGGCATGTCCCAAATCATGGATAGGAGATGCATATTTTATTAGGTACGACAGATGGGAACATGAAAAATGCATTGCCAATGATGGACTATGTGAACTTGTGAAGTTATTGTCAACCTTTGACCAAAAACGAATAACAAGTTTATCGTTAAACTAATCTTATTTTACACTAATCTAGACTAGAACGTGCACGAAACTTGGTAATATTTTTAAATTTCTTGGAGTTTTAGGCAGCATGACAAATGCAAATAGCTGTACGAAGCTCTCCATCGTTTTGTGAGTAATTTGGTGTAGAATTATTGGTAGCCATGAAAATATTCGATTGGTTGTAAAAGTTTGAGTTATATGAGCGTGGTTAGAATGAAGAAGAATTTGTTTATATGATCATTACATTTTGGCTTAAGACCCCATTGATTTAAGAATTTCCATAAATATTTTATTCTTTGCTCTTTGCTCTTTGATTGCTGCGTTGATACCTTTCAGGTTAGTTGGAAGTGAATACGGGCCCCCCAACCAAACCTACAAGGCCCAGCCCAGTTCAATTAGATGCAAAAGAAAAATAATAATAATTAAAATAATTAAGGGGAGTCACCCAACAGTTCTACAAGTTTTTATTTTTATTTTAGAACAAGCATAATTTCATTAATAAAGTAGTAAATACAAGAGATGTACAAAAAGAACACACCTTAAATGGAGGTTCTTGTATACAATAAATCAGGAAAAATAAATCCAGCAAGACAGTAAGTAATAACTATTACAAATTCAAGCCCAACTCACTCAAAGTTAACATGTAGAGGATCAAGAAGACTATTTACAATGCCAGTGCTACATAGAGACAATGAGAACAATTGATTCTGCATGAACAGGGAACCAGAAGCACCAAAAGTGAAAGGGCCTTACTGCTCAACATCCACTTGGCCAAAGAAAGGCACATTACCTGCAGCATCCCATATGATCGCACAACACCCACTATGAAAGATCCATCTAGATCTAGCAACTCTATCTCCTCAACATAAAAGATTTTAAAAGCCGGTCCAAAAGGATTGGGGATAAACAAAACCTAACACAAAATGGGGAGAAGCAAAACCCAAAATAAAACTACGGAGGAAAATCTTTCTACAACATGACGGGGGAGAGAGTCGCCCGGTTTATCAGCCGAAGAAAGGAGGAGAGAGACCAAAAAGAAAGGAAAAGAAGGGAGAAGTAGGGTCGAGGGACCCTAAAGTTATCTTTCACTCATTTTTAACAGTTCTACAAGTTAACTCAACTTTTTAATAAATTTATATTTTCAATCTTACCTTGAAATAATTTGACCATAAAGAACATAATAAGTGGTAAATTGTTCTATCAAGTCCGACGTAGGGATTTCTTTTGTATGCTTTTACATAGGTGAAAACAAACTATTTAATGACAAATAAATGCTTAGATAGTTGTTTGGGAGTCTTTTAAATGAAGTAATTGTTACGTGTTTGGTGAACCAGTGTCGAATGACGTCAAAGGAGAAGACCAGGCAGCCAGTCATCGAAAATGTAGTGGGTAATTGACCATGCACCACCAAGAAGAAAACTTTACTAGGATTTTGCTCGTCCGGCAGTATAAGGCATGTCCAGTTGTTTGGTATAGAAACTGGGCCGGATTGGAGTTAAAGTCTAAGCCAGTTCATGTCAGCCCAATTCAGTTCTTAAAGGCCAATCCTAACCAGTTCATACTAACCCACCAAACATAGTCTAACTAGATTATGCAACACACTACCAAAGGCCCATGTAAAGATTCGGCCAATCATGGCGTATGTTTACGCGACATTATCTTATTTTTATTTCAAATTATTTTGAAACCATTGCTAAACTTTTCAATCACTGAACCTACGCACCTAAATTCTCAGATGCTCATTCTACGGTGGGAATGCTTCAACTTTTTAAGTGCATCAATCTCAACAGTTTTGGTGGTTGACAATGGAGATTAGTGCTTGACTTTAGTTCATTGATCAAGGAAGTTTCACAGCTGGTGGTGGGGCTGAGTTGGGTTCACTTACAAAATTTTATAACTCAATTAAATTGGGTCTAGCGAGGATAGTTTCATAATGTGATTTGGTGCCCTCGCAAATGTTAACGTGTTTTTAAAATAGAATTGGGATTTCTGGGTTCACTAGAATGACGAAATGCATGCGTCAGGATCCACCTCACCTATGGGTCTTGGCATCTAATTTAAATTTCCAAAACCTTTCAACTTTGCTAAACATTATTTATGTAACTATATTTCCATAGCTGAAAGTTGAAACCTCATTGGAGGAGTTAGGTGAGCCCAAAATCAAATAGTTTAAATTCTGGGAATCAAGACAAACGAATTCCCATTGACAATCTTCATCCGCAATCAATTACTATTATAAGTTAAATGTTTAGGGTCATGGTGGCCTCGACCACCAGCAGCACGGCACCCATCATGATTTAAAAAGAAAAAAGACCTTTTTCTTTCTCTCAGGTGCTTCTGCTCTAGCAAAGCTTCTAGGTAGAGTGCCGTAGAAAGCTCTCTAAATAAAGAGTAAGAAAGACTCCGGTGGAAAACTCACACTCACACAACAGAACAGACAAAACTAACACAAACGCATGCATTTTTGTAGAGGCATCCATATAGGCATGTGTGGTGGACATCATCATGATCACAACAAGCCACTGCCTCGATATACCCAGAACCCTAAAGATAAATTCAGAAAAATGGTTGGCGTTAAATTACATTGGATTGGAGAAAATAACACTAATCCAATGATGTGTTTGGTGTGTTTTAATGCTAAACATGATTAAGGGGTTTGACTAATTAAAATATGCTTATTATATATTAGACATAATCCCATCCAACTTAAACCTACTACATTCAGCCCTACTAGCAGGATTAGACATAATCCAATCTATGTTGTTTTTAGACTACCAAACATTTGACTAAGATAATAAATAGTAACCAATCATATAATCCAGCCCACCGAACACGCCTTAACTTAGTATGATCCATGCATTAGAAATCTAAAGGGTAATCAAGATCTTTTAGTTTCACTAGTAGGAAGGACATCATAGAAAAAAGAAGGGAGAGACAAATATGGAATTATCAGAGCATTTCATTATGTAAGCAATTCAGCAATGTTCATCAACATGCATATGGTGGGTCCCAATTTCCCAGTTCGAGTTGCCGACAGCATGGTTGTCATGTACTTAACAGGTTTATCATGGATGAAATGATAACTGCAAAGAAGTCAACTCATAATGAGGAGCAACTCAAATTCCCAAATCTTATCAATTCAGTGCAAAATGTAACGGCATAGGATTCTCAAGCACTTTTTTAAACAAAACATTCCCACAAATTTTTTCAAGATAGGCTATGATTAGGAGTGTGCCTATGTGTCCTATAAATATACTTTTTTTCTTGCTTATAAAAACCCCCCCTTGCCACAGCAAACATCCTATAATTCCTATTCACTTTAGCATGCATCATCAGCTGAAGCTCAACATGAGAAGACAAACTCCCATTCATCTTCTCCTTGTTTGGCTCCTGCTTGCAGCTTCTCAATACCACTACACTATTAATGTTCAAGCTATTGAAACAGGTAAGTCAGCCACTATATATCTCCTATTTTTATTGATGATGTCAGAAAATAACGTAGCAAACATTTTAACAAAATTCATATCATTGAAAAGAAAAAGAAAAAAGAATGCAGCTGAGCAGGTACCTTGTTTCCTTCAATATTTAATAAATGTTAGCTTGCTTTGTTCCTGGCCACAGTTCAGTTCAAGCACAATTCTGCACAGCCTGGCTCAGGGTCGGGGTCCGGAACCAGATATGTTTTACCTACTTGGGTGTGTATAGAGCTTAACCAGCATTCATGTACTTAATGTCAGATGATTTTACCTTGACTCTTTGCATCTTTGTTCAACAATGAAAAACAGGTCAGTGGAAGGAAGATCCATAAAACTCCATCAGGTCCCAACCCAGTAGGGAATCATCGCCCACCATCAAAGCAATGAACATTTGATGTGCTTGTTCTTAACTTAGTATGTAGAACTAATCAGATCATTATATTTGTTGGAGGCTAGAAAGGAAGGTCAGTGTTATTCATGTAGGTCAAAAAAACCTCTCCTCTGAGGAATGTGAGTGTACAAAATTGGAATTTTGAACATTTGAATTCTAGAAGCTTTTGTGCATGAGCAAATTTGTTAGTGTAGTTGTTCCATAATCAAAATATTCGGTAAAACTGTTTAACTTAAATACTAATCCTGGAATTACAAGAAAAAAGAAGACACCTTGTAAGCGAAAACTCAAGGCAAAAGTACAATGCTCTGAGAAGAGTTTCTAACTTCCCTTTACAGTTGTGATAAAAGGTCAAAAGAAAAAGTTTCACATATTTCATTTACCCGACCACTCGTCTAAAGGGTCAGGCAAGTTGCAAAAGAGTGAAAAAAGGACAATATGAAAACATCGGGCCTACCTGCCTAGAGCTTATAGATTTGTAAAAACCAGCTGCATTTGTTTCATATCCACATTAATTTAGAGAACCTATTTCCGGATTAATTTGTATGATTGTGGAATTACAATGGAGTTCTGATCTTTGAATATAAGATTCACCACAAACACAAACTTACAACTTTTCTGTGTCTTCCAGAAGATGAAAATTGCAATTACGCAAAACCTTAGTAGCATGTTATGGCTCCATGTCTATGTTTTCCATTTTTCTATGGTATCTTTTATCTACTTAGTAGTTCATGCAACGAAGTTGACAAGAAAGTACACTTCTAGCACCCAGAGGAATGAAAGAGTCTAAGCAGGTGAGAACTAATTAGCATGATTTGCATTATACCTCAAAATGAATGAGCCAGCATAAAGCTGGCGATATATTAACTACAACACTTGGATGAGATATACAGGACTCACCGTGAACTACAAACTTAATCAGTATATAGTCAATTTATACAGCACGCTTCCGTTTAGATCGCTTGCTTCTCCTTGGCCGAGGATCATCTGGAAGCTCTTTGCCAACAGTAGAAGCATACGCCTCTAGAATCTCCTCACCCTGATAGAATCTCTGAATCAGTTTGAAATGCCAAACTTATACAAATTTTATACGTAAAAACTAGACATCCTAAATTCACTAATGGGATCATATTAAAGTTCGGGTCTTAACAAAGATTGATTATCTTTATTTACTCACTAACAGAAAACAAACCAATATCGAAATCTCTCTTAATCTACGTTCATGTTTAGTACTTGTTGAAAGCATATAGTGTTTAATACTAAACTACAGGCAATGAATGAAACATTCTAACAGTAGAATTAACTAACTGATAAGATATATTTAACATATAATGAATTAGAGTAAGGGCTAAATGCTTTTCATGAAATTCCCCTTTGACATTCATTTGCTAATTAGTCTTTCTCTTCGTAAAACGATGATAACACAAATAACATCCCATTTCCAGATTGGGTGGGGAATCAAAATAAGTGGGCTGAATTGAAAGTTGTATTTTGATATTATGCACTCATGATGATAAGGGTTACTCAGTTAGAAAATTATTTGTGCATATTACAAAATAAATCACGTCATAACACCAGAATTATAATTTTACCTTGTCCTTGGTTTCTTCATCTGAACCAGCTTCAGAATCAGATGTAGAAGCCAGTGTCTGAACCTCTTCATTTGATAATGCCTTGCTCAGCTTGTTCTTTTTCTCTTCTTCTCTCAACTTCCTGAATCTATTGATCATCATTTTTCAATTTGTCAGGAAGAAAACTTTATGCAGGATTTGATAGTATACTATTATGCATTCTGCACAGAGTATAACACCAACCTACTGCCAGCTTCTACTGGCTGAGAATCTGATCGCTTTGCACGTCCTGCTGTAATGATTCCACTTGCATTCTCACTCACAACGGGCTTTGCACCTCCTAATCTGCGTAGCCATACTTGTTGTGCTGTGCTGAGAACATTGTTTGTGAACCTGTAAACAACATGGTACAACTGATAAACAATGGGGGTAAACAAGGCGCTTTGATTCAACATCTTTCAAAGCCAGGCCAGATAAAGCTTGCAAAGAAAATAGAAGTCATTTTATTTATCCCTTGATAGATTGCATTTCGAGGAAAGCGGTACAATATTAAGATGGAAGTGCTGGCAACCACACGGAGAACAATAAATTAAAACTAAAAATGAAAATGAATTGGAACGATTGGTTTTTACAGTATGATATCAAAGCACTACTGACTGTAGCAACAAAAATTTGTAGTGTGAACGCAGAAAACTCATTCATAAAAAGCTGTCTCTACAATTTTAACCATTAAATGCCAAAACCATGGACCTTTAATAAAAACACTAAACCCAATAAACCCACAATACATCTAAGACCAAATCCAAAAATTCTTAAAGCACTTGTCAGAAAGAATGAGGACTCTTAAGACATTAAAAGGAAGGAGTGGGTTCATGTTCCTCAACAGGTGCCTTTTGGGAAGTCCCAAGCAAAAGCCAGACAAGAAGTTATGTATTAGTGTACTACACGCATGAAGAAGATAAATCAAGTAAATTTGTTAATGAGAAACCAACCAGTAAATTGATAATCCTGAAGGAACGGACAAGGAGAAGTAACCAATCATGAGGGGAAGAAACTTGAATACAAGAAGTGTGTTCTTTTGAGCTGGATCATCAGTCTGCCAAATGAAGCATTAAGGTTACAAAAACAAATATAACAATCGGTTATAGTCCAAATAATTAGAATAATCAGCTCCCACCTGAATGACCCATATTTTAATCACTGCAACCATATTTTTGCAATGTAGCAAAAGGAAAAAAGAATAAAATGGAAATAGAAAAACCAACATCAATGCACACACAAGTCTTTACCTGTGGAGGCTTCATGATCTCCATTGAAACATACTGAGAAGCAACAAGGAGGACAGGTAAAACAAGATATGCTGCAGTGTCGTGCCAGCCCAATGGTGGCTGGCCATCCTGCATGATAAAAATTACACATTGTAAGAACCACTTGAAATGCACAAGTTTGTGAAAGAAATTTGGATATTTAACGCCTCAGTAGTAATATGATACAACTAATCCACTAAAACAGGTATTCCACTATGTGCTAAATTACTGTAATAACATTCTGATCCTCCAAGGTTCATGTGGTAGCTCATGAACCTTTCTGACATATTTACCATCCATATGCATTTAAAGATACACAACTAAAAGTGTAAAATAGTAGAACATATTAAATGAGAAGACAACGGTCAAATTATTAAGACATCTAAGTTTCCAACCTTCACCTACCACCAATCTCACTTATTTATGTGCCTAAGGCAATCATTTAAGGTTAAATTACACGTTTCATACTTTCACCTTGAACTCATTTCACCCACAGTTTTTATTTCAACACCTTTATCCTTACACTTTGCTCATAGTTTCAAGTTGGTTCAAAATGATAATTCCATCAGTGTGGTAGACGGAAAAAACAAACTTGAGTCATATGACCTCATGTTTTTGCCATTCTTTATTTGCTCATCAGTGTCTAGCATAAAGCTTTCACAATTAAGGTGCACTAAAGGTAGCAGTATACCAATTGTTAGCTTCATAAGTCATGAAATCAGAAGAACATCTTACCACAAATGGAAACAGCCAAGAAATTCCAGATCCACTTTGTCGAGCAGCAATTGTTGTTGGCCCACCCAAAGAGGGAATCCAAAAGAAACCTTCTGTCAACAACCCCTGTGAATACAAAAAGAAAATGCAAAAATCAGCAAGGTTGGTTTTTTCTTTAATGATAATAGCCATCGCATCACTGAAAATGTAGTGGCAACCTACTACTTACCTCATTTGCCACATTTGAAAGAGCTTGGTATAGACCTATCCAGACTGGTATCGTGGCCAAAGTTGGTAAACAACCTACATTCAAAAAACAAGTTAGAGCCTCCTTATTTGGCTCAAGGCAACATGCCACAACACTATCAAGCGATCAGATTAAATCCAATACACAAGCTCAACATTACATTGGAAAACATCAAGTTTCTTAGTTTAACCAGTTAAAGTGAAACTGAAAATTGTTCCATTACTAAAACTAAATTATCTCAAGATGAACCAACACGGCGAACAATTGCGTTTTATTTCTTATTACTGAACCTTACAGCTCATTAAATTCATTTGAGACTATGCAGATTCAGTCTAATTAGAACTTATATTGAAGTTTTACAGATTCAAGTAAAGTGATAAATGACCGATCCAAAATGCACACGCATAAATACATGGACATAATAGTGATAAATTAAACAATTACCTGCCAATGGGTTAACCCCAGCCTGCCGATACAGCCGTGATGTCTCAAGTTGTATTCTTTCCTAAAGCAAGCAGACCAAAATAACAGATTATAGAAAAACCATAGTTACCAATTACCACTAGAAACCAAAGGTGGGCAAACATAGCAACAATTACTCCAACCCAACAGTTGAAAGAACCCATACCAACAAGAGTACCCCTCACCTGATTGCCCTTATATCTTTCTTGTATAGCTTTAAGTTTTGGTTGAAGGTTTTGCATAGCCAACGTCGATTCCACCTGCACATTACAAATATTATGAGAAAAAACCCCCCCCCCCCCCCAAAAAAAAAAAAAAAAAAAAAAAAAAAAAAAAAAAAAAAAAATTTTTCATCATCATCAAAAGTGCCAACAAAGCCAAGTGTCAACAAACGAACCCGCTGCTTTGTGAGAGGCAATGTGGCAAGTTTAACGAGAACTGTAAGCAAAATAATTGCGAAGCCGTACGCATATGGCACGTGGACAGTCGCAAGTCCATCTTTCAAAATCTAATTACAATTCACATAATACAAGTCAACAAATAATATCCGAAACAATTTTCCTCACGAAAATTAAACAATTCTGCGAAATTCAAACTACCTTGAGTACGAACTCCATGGCTTCGGAGATGAAGCCGAACCAGCCGCCATTCTTCTGAGCCGCGGCGTCTGCGGAGCCCGAGGCGGCAGGGTCGACGGCCACGGCAGCATCGGCTAGCGTGTAGAGGAGGCCCTCAGCTCGGCTCAAAAGTGAGGCGACGTCGGAGCCGGAGTCGAAGGGATTGATCGGAGGAACGACGTCGTGGAGGCTGAAGCTGATTCTGGTGGAGACGAGTCCATTGCCACTACGGTAGGGGAGGGTGTAGGCCCCACGGCGGGAGATGGACGGTAGAGATGTGCCGACGAACGGTGTGGATGAGACGAGAGTCTTCGCCATGAGAGATTTTGAGTGGGTCCCAGACTCTCTCAGTGGTTCATGGAGAGAGTTGAGAAGTGGAAGAGGAGGAAGAGGAGATGAGGAGATATTGTTTTTCGGATTATCCGTACTTTTTACGAGTCGCTGAAGATTTTGGCGCGTCAAATTATAAAAGGCCGTTGTTTGGGCCAATGGGCAGTCTCCACGTCACCTTGAGGGTGGTTTGTTTCGTCATTTTGTCATCCTAAATTGCGTGGTTAATCCACCCTCAAGTGTTTTTTTAAGCGCTCTTTCTCCGCTCGACAATGTTACACGTGATTTATTGCATCCACAATCTTGCTCAACTCATTAAACGTAAACCAGCTCAAATAAAATAACTTGAAATGACATTTGTGCACTTGATACATCACGTGAGTCGTTACAATCAACATTCAAAGCTAACCGAAAAAAGAAGGCAGCATCATGAGTTTTTAATTTTTCTATACAACTGATGAATGACCATTTGTCTTATACTTGTATGAAAAATGGAAAAATGGAAAAATTAGGTGGGTGTTGGGGAAAATGTTTTGGGAAGTGAAGTGGCAATTTGTAATAGCACCTCTCTCTTAGGTGGGTTGGGCATGCCCCATTTTGTTATGGGTCAGAACTATGGGCCGATAAGAAATGCATCGAGCGTGGTCCAATGGTCTTCGCCCAAACATAGCTAATTGCATCTCATGATCAGGGGCTCGTCCTCATGATAGGGCTACCAAATTGGCAGTTTGATCCGGTCCAGTTTTCACTTCATACCAAAATTGATATCAGCTATTCAGCCAGTGTAGTTCGGTCCGGTTTTGGTGAATTTTTTTTTTATGAAACTGGTCAGTCCAGTTTAAATCAATTCTGATGCGGTTTTCAATATTTTTTATACAAATTCTAACTAAAATTTTATTTTTAGGGTTTAAAAATTCACAAATAATCCAATTTCATGCAAAGAGATATGATTTGACCTAGAAAAGAAATGTGCTTTGAAGTTGGGCTTCGGAAAATATTAGTTATGAGATTAAAAATTTAGCATTGGACTTAAATAATTTTATTATTCAAAAAACAAAGCCGATCCTATTCGGTCTAGTGCGGTTTTGTCAGGTGTGAAAGTTTCACAGTGAAACCTGCACCAAAACTAATTTGAACCGATTCAATCCAATTTGGAGACTCGGTGTTCCAGTTTTCTGGTCTCGACGCCCACCCCTACTACCAAGTACTACTTATTACAATTTGAATAATATCAATATCTCCACTACAACTTGACAAGGTGCTTGTAACTTAAGTGATTAAAAGTATTTACTTCTGCACCCAATTTTCAGGTTCGATTTCCACTCCACCACCAATATTTTTTGTGTAAAAAAATTTAAAAGTACTATTGCATTTCCTTTTTTATTTTCTTTTGAAAAACTCTTAATTACATCATATTTATGTTTATTAGCTTATCTTACAAGTATGTTCTTTATGTAGAGGCCTGGTTATAAGGCAGTGCGCTCCTTTGATTATACCCGAATTTTATCACAAAGTAGAGGAAAGATAAAGCACTTGTCCATGAATAATTATCACTAAAACCCCAACTACAAACAATTACAGCCCAGTTAAAAAAACAAGAAGTCAAAATGATCGTTAGCAATCCTGCAATTCAATCAATCTCAAAACACATAGCCCTTGTTCTATCCAGAGAAAAAGTCATAGAAAGGTTGGTCACCAACAATCTCAGAATTAGAGCCAATTAGAGCAGCAGTGGAATTGTCAGCATAATTAGCAGTACCAGAACCACATGAAGGGTTTTGATATTCTCTCCCTTGTAAAATGCCTGTGGGTTGCAAAGGAAAGAGTGGCAGTGTTTCTTGATCACATCTGCCGGTTGATTCGTTCGCGACATCGTTGATCATGTAGCCGCCTCCGCTAGTACTATATCCGTATGGCACAGGTTCATATCCAGAGCCACCAGTGCGGGTGGTTCTTGGCTTAACGGATTTCTCAGTCCTTGGTTTCCTCTTGGCTCCACCAGGAAAAGGAACCTTATTGGGATATGGAGATGGTTGATAGAACCCTAATTCATTCTGAACTGGTATGTAATATGGGCTGCACATCACTGACGTTAAAAACACCAAATTATATAGCATAAATTTGCAACTTTATGTGTTTTTTTTTCTTTGCTCCACCACCAAAAGATAATTTAAAATAAACAACTTTTTTAAAGCTATCCAGAAGACTCTATCTGAGAAAGCAATTCTTATACATCTGTTAGATCGAATTGACAAGTAACAACAATTGGAAAAGAACATGATCAAAAAGCTATAAGTGTTTCCGTGCATGAATCTATGTCGAGTAAAATAAGTTGTATATGCACGCATACCAAGCACATTTCCATGAAGAGACAGTATGAAGACAATCATATAATATATATATATATATATATATATAATTAGACACAAAATGTGTGTAAAAACCAAATGGAAAAAAAAATTCGAATTTTTTTTTACTTATTACCATATAAATTATTAAGAATGAGATTATTATATCCAAAGAGGATGAATGAAAGAATTTCTCAAAAATAGATCCAAGATTAATTTGTCCAAAATTCAATGAATATTAAAGCAAAATATATACATAAAAAGCTAATTAATTAATTACCATTTGGGCAAGGATGATGATTAGGAGGAGGAGGAGGAGGAGGAGGAGGAGGAGGAGGAGGAAACATAGGCTGAGATGTCATATGGAAAAAGCGATTAAGATAAGCCACACTCTCTTGCTTCTGCTTCTGCCTCTGCCTTGCCTTGTGATTTTGAAACCAATAAAACACATTTTTGCCCTCGATGTGGCCATAAGCCCTCAGCCTACTTGTCAACTGCTGTATTTGCTCGGCGCTCGGAGTCCTTATGCCTTGCCTGTAAAAATTCTCAAGCATATTGATCTGCTCCTTCGTTGGGTTCCACCGACTTGTGCTCCCCGGAGCAGCACCATCCCCGGCGGCACGTGTCGAGTCACCCTGCACGTGCTGCTCATCATAACCGTCCATTTTTTGTTTTTTTTTTTTTTTTTTTTTTTTTTTTTTAGGGGTTTATGAGTTTAAAGAGAGAGCAAAAGAGAGAGAGAAGAAAGTGAGAGAGATTAGAGAGGCGACAATGGGGTTATTACTTTTTGCATGGGGGTTTTGTATTGATTTTATAGAGGGACACAGAGAGTCAAACAAAAACGACAACGAAGAGAGAGAGAGGGATTGACATGCGTGTTGTTTTTGGTGCTGAGTATCTCTGAAAACATGGCTGGGTAGGGTAGCGGCTGATTTGAGAGCAATAAGTAATGAGGGGGGCTTAGCCTTTTTTGTTGTGTTTGTTCGAAAACGTCGTGTGATGAGCAAAATGACGATTTTGCCCATGATCCTTTTTTGCTAGGTTCTAGGAATGAAGGTGAATTTTTGTTGTTCCTTAATGTTGCTAATCTCGGGAATGAAAGAGAGTAGAGTAGAGAGAGTAGGGGGTACGCCATTGAAGGAAAGGGAGGGTATAAAAGTAATTGGGGGGTGAAAAAGACAGCCGGTTGGGTTGTAAGGTCTAAGGGCTAGGGCTTTGGGAATTGAAGTGGGAACAGATAGGTGCAGAGATGAGATGAAGTTGAATCGTTTGGGGTTACGGCTGGCTCGGCTGGGTGTGTTTTGGTGTGTAGTGGGGGTTGGGTGTGGGGTTTTTATGGCTCGGGTGGTGGTGGTTTTTGGTGCCCAATAGGCCATTGCCAACTTTGCAAAATCGACGCCATTGCTAATTATACCAAACTGGTTCAGAGGTTTTACTGATTTGCATGCATGGCTATTTGCCTAAACGAATTTTGGTTTCAGTCTTTCAGCAATATATTTACGCTGCAAAAGAATATAAAAGTGGTAGTCCCTATGATTAAGATAGCAATTAATGAAAAAGTTATGCATCCCATCATCCCAAGTAAATATATTTTTTCACAACATCAAGGGAACATTTTGAGAAGGACAATAAATTACAAATCTTTAGTTTCAAAATATTGCTTTATATGATTAAAACTCCAGTACTACAAATAAAGATTACGTTATAGGTATTGTTCAGTTAAAACATATTATGTGTTACAAAATTTAAATTGTAACACATATTATGTTTTAACTAGACGGTCTCCAACACACTTTTGATCTGTGTGAGACTCGTACCAATCAATGGTTGTGAGTCACTCACGCATGCAAACACATACAACTCTATATTCATTATCATTAATCTCTAATTAATTAGCCCACATCTTAATCCATTCTTTTCGTTGTTCAATGTTTATTGATTCTGATGATTTCTAACCCACCTCATCATTGTTGGATTTACGTAAGAATGCACTGGAAGTCATCAACTTTAATATTATTTACCAAACCCACTAATCTTCTCTTAATCACATAATCTTCTCTCTTGGTAACAAGCACTATCGGTTAATTAATCATAATCACTACTATAAACAAAATGGGAGAAGAGAAAACACCATCTTCATGCGCCATAAATGCCCAAGAAACACACACAAAGTCGCCTACTGCACAAAATAGAGTAGAGCTAGCTAATTACAATGCATGCGTGATAAAAGGGTTTTCCGCTGACTATCATGCTACATACTTTAGGCAAAGAATTGTTCAAAACTTAATTATTTAATTAGATATAATATATATAATAATATTCTTGTTGTAATTTATTTGTTAACGTTAACTTTGCGTGTAATATGGTGGTGATAGCCGATCGATGCTGCCGCCACCATTCATCACCCTCCACAGTTCAACCTATCAATCATTCTGCATGCTGCTGTGTATATTTTTCCCTATAGCACCGAATTCGATGCTGCTCTCACAGACTCTCTCTCTCTCTCTTCTCTTATCTTCTCTAGGGTTTTAGCTTAGCTTATAGGTTACTTTCCCACTACAGGAGAGTCTGCATGCGACAATGGTCCTTTTAACCTGGTCTATTTGGCCGGAGGTGTTTTAGGAAATTTTGGACCAACAATAATGAAACTTTGTTTACCCAATTGTTTCTGCATTTGAATGGATCTGATTTCGAGAAAGTAAGGGGGAAAAAGCACAGGTAAATGATCATGAGTTTGGATTGCAAAATATTTTTTAAAGTTTTACCTGATCAGTGTGATTTGCAACTTGACGATATCACAGATTAGTAGTTTTGTAATTATGTGGCCTTTCTTTTTCTACCGAGGTTTTCGGTTTTATTGAATTATCACCATTCCACACTCCCCAACCCCCCAAAAAAAAACAAAAAAACTCTTTCTTTGGGCCTAATTGTTAGTGGAAAGCCCAAACTTGCTTCAAAGACCAATCCACCGCAAAAGGAAAATTAAAAAGGGTCAAATGACACTCATATTGTAGTTCTGGTAATGATTTGTAGTTTCCTCAAGCTTGCAATCAACTTCAGTTAATTTCTCAAATGAATTAACAGAAAGATTAGGTGAGAAAGGCATTGTATGGGTAAATAAACATTTTTTTTGTCGATTGAAAGCACGTAAAAGTGCTAAGCACATTATCACCCACCACTTGATTTGATAGATTTATTATGTTGGACTTCATTACAAGTTTTAATAAATTCCTTAATTGCCAAAATGAAGAGTTGTTGTTTCTCCTTTCATTTTTAATATTTTAAGATTGAATGTTTAATTTGTATAAGACTTAATGAGTAACCCTTCCTGTTATCAGGTTCCAAATTGTGACTTTTGAAGCCAATCAAATGATTGCAGAAGCCACTGCGGATATTAAGAAAGGTTCCTCTCAGTTTGTGGTCCCTTAGCATCTGATGCCATTGCAAGGCCTCTCTTCTCTTCTCTTCTCGTGTTGAGGGCAGAGCAGAAGAGTCAGGTCCACACATGGATCCCATTGAATTCTATTTCGAATACAAAAGGGATTTGCGGAAATTGTCCCAGTATATATAATCACCCTCTTCTCCTGCCAACCCCAACATACACTACATACTTACTTCTTGAAAATGGAGAGCCCGATTCACATTCTTCACTTGTACTTGTGGTCTGTGCCGACAAAGTGTAAATAACATTGCCTCAATAGCAGATATTATTTGCAGTCACTAGGGTTGGGATTTTCTATAGAAAAATTGACCGGAGTGATTTGAGTCTTTTTTGTTTTCTGTAATTTATCACTCTTACTTTAAAGCGGCAATAATTTAATGACTTATCTATTTTTATTGTGCTTCTTCACATATCAGATATATTAAATTGTAACCTTCAATGAACCGTCTTACTCAATAAAAACTCATCTCTAATTAGTGTTGATTCAACGATTCTTCTTATCAATATGGATGGTTGGTTCAATGTGTAGTTTGAGCCCAAAGTTGAACCAATCTGGCCATTCCCGGCACTCTCCAGGTTTTAGGTTTGATAAACATCGGATCAGTGAATTCTTAACCAAAAACAAAAAAAAAGGTATTAAGGTTTATGAGAATTTGACTGTTAAAAGAATCTTACAAGTTTGTCGGTATATATAATCCACGTAAATTTGTGAGTTCCGCACTATTGTTGTGATATGCCGATCCGACAAACAATTTGCCAAGAACGACTTTATCCATTTATGAGAACATACAATGAGGGCCCTAAAAATGGAGTTATAACACAACAAGGCATCTTCAGATTGGCTTGACAATTGTAGGCAACTTTTTTAGATGATGATCGGGCAAGTCACGAACGGTTTTGATTTGACCTCTCAGCGACCACCAATGACCCAAATAAATGGGTACACTATAACTAGGGCACGTGCCTGGACAAGTCCTATTGTCATGGGCCTCAACCAAATTTTCTGTTCCATCTACCAGCCCAAATTTTGACCTCCCGACAGCTTTGATACTTCCGAGTACTTTGAACCAGCCTGTTTGTTTACTATCTCAAGTTCTCAACTCAAATGTACTAACAGATGTTAATTTGGACCAAAAATAAAACACATACTTGTTTGTTACTGAATTCATAAAAGACAGAATGTCAATAAAATTTGTCGAATTCTGATCTCATTAAAGAAACCCAGAATAAGCAGATTATAAAGCAAGTCAAAAAGTTGGGTAGAAGTAGCTAGACCTCAAAACCAAGGCTAGAGCCAAGCTTCTCACCAAGACAAGTTCAAAAACTGAACAATAACAATGGAGTTATGTTAGAATTTCTTCGATTATTAAAAAGGGAAATATCACTAGACTAAGAGCTAATTCAACATTTAATTAATCGTTTAATTTTGTATTTCGAGAACATAACATTTCACGTACGTTGAACAAGAAAATATACCTAAAATTGTGATTTAGTTAAACTTGTATTATATGATATTTCCAAGTTTCCAACCAAAATCCGCAAATTTTCCTCGTGAGGGTTATTGTTTGAACGAAAAAACTTTTTGCAGAAGATTCTGTTTTATTTTCTGTTTGTTTACCAGTAAAGATACCTAAGCATGTTAAGGAAGATCACCTCCAAAAAGAGTGACCGAGTGAGGACTAGACACGTTTAGCTCACCCATTAATCTCCAGTAATATCATTTGCACAACCCATTTCACTCCAAAAACCAACCAAAAACAAAAATAGTTAGCTCAGCATTTTACATCTGGTGGCCTAGCAATCTTTACAGAAGCTTGAACGTCAGCAGGAAAAGACGCCCAGCTAGATATCATGGGTGACGACGAGTGTGTTGTTTGGCAGTGTCCTCGAGTCACGCTGGGTTAGGTGGATGCCTAGCTTGAGTCATGCACTCCACTAGCCATTCTTTAATCTGATTCTTTGAAAAGACCATAACAAAATAAATATCCTAAATCACCTCCATCGACTGAAGGAAAAAATCATGTGAGACGTATGGGATATTGCATCCAATTATGTGAAGGCAGGCGCATTGCGCAAGTTCCACAACAAAAATTTGTGTAGAACTGTTCCCCTTATATGGTAATGGTACGTAGTGTTGAGTAGGGGTAAGGATGGAGTAAAAACTATTCAAATGTTTGGTTCGGTTTTTACATTAATTATCTGTAATTGGATGATGATGAGTCATAATCTAGATTCATATTGAAGTTGTTTACTACATTATTTGAAATTAAAGTAGGAATAGTACTAATTCCTTATAAGTTGTTTACTAATTTCTCATGAATCATAATTGAACTTAGTTTGATTATTAAAATGTCTTTGGTGTTTGGTTAAAGTTGACTAAAAATATGAAAATTTAAAATTTATATGAGGATATAATTGATAAAAAAGATGAATTCTTGATGGATTAGAATACCACATCCCATCCGAGAGTCAAATTACTCCAAAATCAGGAGTTGAATTCCTGATTTTTCTGGGGACCTACTTGCCCTTTCATTCCTTTAAATAAAATAAACACATAAGTGACACTTAACACACTTAACGATATAACATATAGAAGGAACAATTTCGCACAAGTTTTCCTCTTCTCACGCATATCCTTATTTGTCAAAGATCCTAGTTAATTTGCTTATCAAGTTTCACATGATATGTTTAGAAAGTTTCATTCTTTCTAATGTTACATCCAACATTACAAAGAAATTCACACGAAAGGTAAACACACACTCCAAACCTTTTCTTTCCTTTTCTTATTTTTACTTAATGATTAAAATGGCGCACACGCTTTTGCAAACCCATGTGGGTTGCTTTCCAGCCATCCCACACACACATACTCCAATCATAAAAAATGAAAGGAAAAAAAAAACTAATTTAAGCGCCTCCTTACCTCCTTAGCAAAGCAAAGGACAGAAAAAAGGAAAAAGCCTCTTTAGGCTAGCTGATGCTTAGCCAAATTTTATTTTGACTTGTGCTATATTTTATAACCTGAGCGTTTACTCTTCATTGGTTCTGCTTCTACACAAGTTGTGGATGTGGCCCTTTCTGGGTGGTTGAAATCTTGGACTTTAAAGGTAAGTTTTTTATTTTCCTTTTCTTTTTCTTTGCGCCGAATTTTCTCGTAGCGTGTGTTTAAGGCAACTTCTATGCAGATTTATTATGGTGTGAGAAATTCAGTAAGAAAAGAAAAAAGAAGCACTTTTTTGGGTTCTAAATTTTCTTGTTGAATTGGTACTTATTTTTTTTATTGTGGGATTTATTTATAGTGGAAAACTGAGAGATTCTAGAGCTGCGAGGTTATGATCAGTCCAGGTTTAGTTGTTGTGGGGATGTGAAATTCAAGGCAAAGATGACATCTTTCAGTGGATTAGGTATTGGTTTGAGCCTAGTTTTCGGGTGCCTCCTCTTGGCACTTGTTGCAGAGCTTTACTACTTGCTATGGTGGAAGAAGAGAATCACCAACAGAGAGATTGAAGAAGATTACAGCAACCATGCAAAGGAGCTCTTTCAATTTAGTTGCTGGAAAAAACCCTCTTCTTTGCAGACCAACAGTAACTCTCAGGAGAATGTTAGAGAACCAGATGCGAATCATAGCAGTAGTGAATCAGATTTAGAACTGGGGTCTAGCAAGGATTTGCTGCTCAAGCTCAATGGAGAAGAGAATGTGGAAATATCAGAGCTCATGAGGCTGCATAATCTTGCTGGCCCACCTAGATTTCTCTTCACAATCAACGAGGAGACAAAGGAGGATTTGGAATCTGAAGACGGGAAATCGAGAGGTGATAGAAGTAGAAAAGGGTCAAGAACAAGAAGCTTGAGTGATCTTATTTTGTCTGTAGACACCCCATACCTTTCCCCTTTGCCCTCCCCATCATTAAAGTCTTCACCTTTGAGCTCTTTGGACTCTTACAAACACCATGGATTCAACCCTCTCTTTGAATCATCAACAGAAGCTGAGCTGAGCAAGTTGAGATCTTCTCCCCCTCCGAAGTTCAAGTTTTTAAGGGATGCAGAGGAGAAATTGTTCAGAAGACTGATGGAAGAAGCTGAGAAAAGGGCAGCTAAAAATTGTGGGTCTGCTCAGGATTTTGGGGTTAAAGCTACACCCAATTCAACAATGGCAACAGAAGAGAAAGATGGGTCTTTTGTAAGACTGGTTGTTGGTAAGAGCAAGGAAAACCAGAGAGAGCATCATCACCAAAATCTACCACAAAATCCTCCAAGCTCTTCCAAGGTACTTCCACTGGCTTCTTCTCCTACAATGTTCAAATCCACTTGACAAGAAAAGCCTTTGTGCATTTAGATCTCCATTAATTACATAGAGATCTTTGTTAATTAGTTTTTCAAGAGGATTAATTCTGTATTTATCTTAAGGGTTGAAAGGTTTTTTTTTATAATTTTTTTATTTCTTTTTCTTGTTAATTTATTGTCATCCTTATTTTTAAGTTTTAGCTCTTGGGTTTTTGGGAAAAGTAAGGTAACCATGAATGGTCTGCAACATTTTTGTCTGAGCTTCATTGACAATTCCAGACAGGACTGTCAAATTCTGCGGAGTGATTAAGGTGTTGGTTTGTTCAAGTGGGGGAACTTGTGGGGTAATCATTTTTGTCCCTTCCTCAAATGTCCTCAGGTTTCTTAAGCCAGTAATCATCCATTATCATGAGGTTTTACTCTCGTTCTTTTTTTAACACGGCTTTTCATTCTTCTTACTCAGGTTAATTCTACAATTACAAGTATAAATACAAATATTTGCATAATTTCCAATTGTGTCATCAATGCCAGAAAAAGGATTCTAGATAGAATCTTTGTTATTAGCATCCAGCTAAGAGGTTAATGTGAACTTGATCATGTTCTTAGGTGCAGTCAAATTCATTTTAGGTCTATGGGCAAACGCGGGAGCTGCATATGTTGAAATTTTGTACAACTAATGGGTTCAACCCAAAATGGTCCACAGCTAATCTGCTTTGTGGGTTTTGTTTATTTCCCCTTGTTTTTTAATGGGTAATCTGCTATTTGAATTGGTCTTAAAGGAAACAATTGGATAATGGAGTACCCACTATTGTCAATTACCGACCTTTCCCTTAAAAGAATGTAGGAAAATACACTCTTTCTCAGCTGAATGGCTCAACTTGAGTAATTTTCAGAAGTTAGTTGTGTACTGCCACCATGTCATGTGTCTCTCTTTTATCACGCATTTTATACTAAACAAGAAAAATTCCTGTAATAGAAGTAGTCCTAGGTCCCCGCTCAATACAATTTCATCTTCAAAGGGCACACTTCCAAATAGAACAAAACTAGTTCTAAGAGTAAACTTGAAATGTTCTCGTAAACAAAAGTTTTAGGTCGGGGTAGCTTGCATACGCTCCCTTATCACAATCATCCCATCCTTTCACCGCGGGATTTTTGGACTTGGGAAGCAGAGTATCTATCTTTTGAAGTGGAGGGATAGTCACTTTACTAAATCTTCAAGCGAGAAATTTAAAGCTTAAAAGGGCAGGTGTCATGATTGTTTGGCTTTAGAGGAAGACTTAGTACTCAACAAAAAGTGATACGGTTTCGAAGCAAGTGCTTGTAGTCGTTGTGAGAGGTCTAGGCTTTTTACCTAAACAAGAAGTAATGTCATTGTTATCACGCGACTTTGCCCGAAAAGTTGGCTCTGCAGCTTCAAGTTTCAACTCTCCACTCTCTCTAAATAATAGAATTTCAAATTTTGAATCGTTGCAAACTTGTAATCTTGACAAAAGATAACAAAATCCTCCAACTTGTGGTTTGAATTAGCAAAATCATTAGAACTTGAAAACAAACAAGTTCGTTTCCATTCCATGTGGTATGGTGGTAGTGTAGTGGTCCAAAAAATTCCAAGCTTGCTGTCAATTTGTAGGGCCCATTTTATTTAAACCCTGTGGATGGTGGAGCCCACTTAATTCAACAAAAAACAATTTCAATTTCTTGTCATTTTCTCAACTGTCTTGCAATTTTGGATGATGAACAGAAGCCCAATTCAACATTATCTATTCCAATTTAATCTGAAAAAATTGCAAAGGTGGGGCCCAGCCCAATTTTGAACATGGCCAGAATTTCATTTGTAGGCCTATGCGAGGGTTGGCTTGTCATCATCCTCGTGGGTGGTAAAGGAGACAAACAAAAGCGGACCTGTTACGTGAATATTTAAAAGCCGTTGGTTTTACGTACATAAATAAAAAGAATCAAAAAAGTTTGTGGTTTTGTTGTGGATGTGAAACCCACCAGCGATGACGAGGATGAAGAAGCTTGCCCAAATTGCTTTTATCCGTAATTTTTGGTATCTGCCAAAAAAGTTTGGTTTTTTCATTGTCAAGTCATGATCATATTTTAATTTAGGGTTTCTTGATGCTCGCATAAGTCATGTAAGTTTTTATGTTATACATGGAATGCCTAAATTAAAATATGATAACATAAAAACTTACATGGAATACGTGTTTACACAATTCATCTCATAAAAATTAGTGGTCATGTACTACTCACATTAGCCAATATTGTAAGAGATAATGTGTAAACCCATTACATGTCAAGATGTATCCGAAATTTGCCAATAACTTTAATGATAGAGATAAATTAAATCCTAGAAAATTTACATGTCTTGAGACCAATGCTAGTCCATCATACAATAAAGAAATCTAGTCTTTTTTTTTGGGGGGTGGGGGAGACGGGAGAAGAAATATAGTCTTATGCCAACGGAGTCTAGGCTAGTAAAAAAGGGCTTTGACTTGTAGACCAATGATCTCATAATCAAATTATTAAGAAAACTTCATAGACTCGAGATTTTAAAATGCAGTGGACTACCTTATGGGTAGATTGTTAAACTTTGGGCTGGATTAAACCTTAAAATCTATATACTAACTATAAGAAGAAGAAAAAAACTCACATGGACTATAGCCTGTGTTAGATACTGATACGGTTCGTTCTTAAATCTCGCGTTAAGAATATAAAGTATTGCGTATAATAATAAACGTCTATAACATTTTGAGCATTTTCAACTATTGTTAATTGGTTTTGAATTAGATGATCGAATCTATTTCCAATTTTTTCAAAGATCAAGCCCTAATATTGGATGAAATAGTTGCTTATGTTACTGAATTGTAATCATGTGACGCCATTTAGATAAAGCAATTCGAATTATGGGGAATTGGCAATCACCCATGTTTCAAGAAAGATAATGGTGCCAAATTAGTGGAGTGGTGTTGGAACTTTTGGATTGAGAAGGGTCCATATCCACCAACTTAATTATCGTTTAGGTCGGCACACATCCATCAACTTGATTGAGTGTTGAATGGGAATTGAAATAATTTGTATAGCAGTCATGGGAGTACGGGATTTTGTTATTCTTCCACTAAGGGATGGTAGAAATTTTTGACGGGTCAGGTCTTTATTGGGTCCCTGATCTTAATGGGTGGAGATTTCAGAAAAATTTAAAGGTGGTTACGGGCAAATTTTAACAATCTCCTATTGAATATAGGCCGGGGATGGTATTGTTATCAATATTTTCGAATTCGGCCCGATATAAGAGATAAAGTTATTTTTAATTAAAATAAATATATAATATAATATAATATAATATAACAATTAACTTCTTTCCTCCAAGATACTTGCTGTATTAAGTCTTGAACGGATAATCAATTTGGAAATGTGTGTTTTTTTGTTGTTGTGGTAAATACCAAATTTAAAATGTTTCACCTCACTGACTTTTAAGTTTTAACTTGGACAAGAATACAGTGATAATAAGGTTGTTTTTGGTTTTGCTTACTTTTGCACTGGAATTTCCCTTCAAGTTCAATAAAAACCATACATTCTCGTACATGGGATATGACTTGGTTACAATTGATTTTGCCTAAATGAGATTATAGTATTATGGCATTAAATTTGATTTCATGCCCATCTCTTGGTTTCAAAATAAAAATTGCAAGTTGCATGGGGGGATACCTTAATATCACAATAATGATCGACATCCAACCAGTTTGTTATTAATTAGGATGCATTTTGTTTGTGTCGACAGAGGTTTTTTTTGTTTGTATCCATTTATTTTTTTTTCTAGTGAAAAAAGTACAAAATAAAATTTTTTTTTTAAATTCAGATTTGCTTCGGGCAAATATTTTCGTCTAATTTTATTTTTAAATTTATCTGCCTATTTGAATAAGGCCAGCCAAAGGAGCCAATTAACCAAGCCCGAGTTGAATCGGGCCTACTCAGTTTGAGTCAGTCCATAGCCATGGGCTTGTAATTATGCCCAGCCCAATCATTCGCGTTCAGTCCTGTTTGCGAAGAGCTTGGCAATCTCCGCAAAATCACCGACGTAAAAATATAGAAAATTTCGAAGGAACTGCAAGCCCTAGAGTGGCACTGTCCGTCTTTAGCTCTATCTCTTTCTGGTTTAAGCCGCCGATTCGGTAATTTTCTCCGCGCTTCCTTCATTTCTTGTTCTCTATTGATCATGCTTTCATTTCTGTATTGCCAGAATTGGGGGATTTTTTTTTGGTCGAAACCAGAATTGGGTTTGATTTCATTCGTCAAAGAAGAAGTACTGAATAAATGGGTTTTGATTATTTTATTCGGTTACGATTCAAAGGGTGTTCATTGGTCATCAAATTTGGGAAAAAATGGAATTTTTTGAATTTGATCGAAGTTAATTAGCATTTGCGTTTATTGTTCGTTCTTTTTACACTGCAACCGGTTCAATTTGTGCTTTGCTCATTGACACTGCAACTGGGTTAATTTTTGCTTGTTGATTTGCGCTGCAAGTGGGTTAAAGTATGCTTGCTGATTTACACTGCAGCTTGGATAATCTGTTTTTGCTCGTTTACACTGCAATTGGGTTTTTGTTCATTATTGCTCTGAATCCTGTATCAATATTTGTGCTTGGTGATGACAGTAAGAATATTTTTTGTGCTATGTTTTGATTTTCAAGCTTTGTAACATTTAATTGAACTTGTTCTGATGGTTTAAGAGAATCCATCTTCTTGGTTTTCAAGCTCTGTAACTTCTGCTCTGTGAGCTCGCATGTTTTTTTTAATGTGAATGCTTCAAACCATTATGTTCAAATTAAGTATTGTATTCTATGGATGAGACACACTGGAGTTTGAAAGAATTTTGCAATGATGGTAATGCAGCGGCATATGATAGTGCATTTTGCCCATTGAAATACAAGTTCTGTCAGGGCTTGTACCTTATATACACATTGGGTCGTTGCTGTTTTCATTTATTTTTTCTTTTTCCAATCCCTTGCAAGGTCAAGTGAGTAGGCTAAAGCATATGATGAATGTGCATTTTACATTTGGACAAGTATACAAATTACATCTGTAAAACTATGCTTTAATGATGGCTGTATGAGATCCTTTACTGATATTACTTGTCAATATTCTAAAGTTTGTATTTTTGTAAGTTAATTAATTATTTGGTTTTACATGGGTAAACAATATTATTCTATATTCATTGTCAAATAAGGAGCTCTGGTAACTCTATAATAGATTTGATTGTGAGAGTTTTGTAGGGTTAATAAATCTGGAAGATGAAGGAATAATTTTTTTGTGCCACACGATTAAAATGAGTAAAAATATTTTGGTGCCACACAATTGAATTAAATCTGAATTCTTTATTGTGTGCCTTAGAATTCTGGTATCAGTTTATTTCTAAGCTTTAGATTCTAAAAAATTCCTTAGTTCCCAAACCCCTGTTTTGGACTTTTTATCGAATAACAGACATCAAGGATAGGTCACAAAATTAATAGTGTTTGCAATGTTCTCTTTATTGTAGATGTGTTCCATCGTATTTGCTGGATTATTCCAACCCTTATTTCAAGAGTTGGGTGAGCCTAACAGTTTCTTGCATGGATAGGTATCTTTTGAATCAAAGAATGGGTCGGAAAGTTGGCACTGCATATTTTAATCCAAAGAAATTTGGCGCTCTTCACAAACCTTGCATGAAGGATATGCTAGCATTCCTCAACTGCTTGGCTCTTAACCATAACAGTGATGACAAGTGTGCAAGGCAGAAGGAACTTTTGGGTACTTGCATGGATGCTCAGGTAGATTTTCATTGTTCTGTCTCTGGATTCTGCATCTTCATAGTTTTCTTTTCCATATGTCATTCTTAATACATAAAGTCTACCCCTTATTTCAGTTGACAAACTTTTTTCAAGGACTGTGCCCTAATGTGTCTGACTCCTTTGCTACAGAGAAACAAAAACAGAAAGTCAATGGGAAGCATCAATTACCACTTGCAGAGGTTAAGCAGGGGAAGGAAGTAGTTTGGGTTTTTGTAGAGACAAAGTTTAAATTGAGGTATGATTTTTGGAATCATCAGTGACAGAGGCTTAGTATGGAAGCTGTTCTATTGTAACACCTAGAGAATGTTCACATATAGTTTCCCTGTTTGATTCAATAGTTGTGGAAAATTCTCGACATTATTTTGAACATTTATGTTGCAGTTAATTTGATATAAGGAAGTTTTCCAGTAATATGTAACCTGAGTCTTTCCTTGAGTAGAATGAAGGCTTAAGTTTTTAATTTATTTTCTAGTCTGAAGTGTTACTACTACTAGAAACTACAGTAAACCACAATATATGATTCCAACATGCATCTGAATTGGCTCAACATTCTTCTCATGTGGATGCATTCTGATGATCATAGTAACACAACCGCCACTGAGAAAGTAGAGCCATTTCAACATGCGTCAGTTGTGTTCGTGCTATGGTTTGGTGTTCTCTTTGTATCTATACTTGGTGTTTTCTTGTAGTTATCTTCTATATATATAAAGCAAAAAGGCAGAGAATGGTGAAACATTCAAAATACCAAAAAATGTCATTGGTTAATTCAAACATTAAGAATTAAAATTATTAATTAAATGAGGATAATATGGTAAATTCATATTTTTTCATATTAAAAAAAATTAAAATTAAAAATAAAATCAGATAATAGGTTTTACTTTTATGAAACATAATTACCCATGTTATCTTTTCTTAATTTAAAAAAAGAAAAAAAGAAAAAAAAAGAAAATCAATTGACACATGCTTGAGCATGTGCCGACAATTGGCCAGAGTTTGAACATATTATGCTCGTGGTTTGGAACATATTAGCATTAAATCATTAGTTTGGTTGAGCCAACCAAGATGAGCCACGAACTATTTATTTAAGTCCTCAGCATGACCTGTACTTTCCTCAGGCACCTTATTTTGTTCTAGCCACCAAGAATTTGAAAATAAAGAACATGACATTTGGTAGCAACAAGAAATTCAGGTTACTCGAATCGATTATTAAATCATAGGTCAAGAGCTTAGGAAGGAAAATGATAAAAACTGAAATTCATAATCTCTAGTACAAATCAAAACTAAATTCTCAAACACATTCCAGCTACATACTATGACTACCCTAAACCAAAAAGAGAAACTCATGGAATGAAAGAAATTTATCTTAGTCAACTTCCTCGATCTTAGGTCCTGCCCCGCTTGCAGGAGGAGGAGGAGCATCATCGTCCACGCCTCCCCCACCTGCCTCGGCACCAGCACCCTGATACATCTTGGCAATGATGGGGTTGCAGAGGTTTTCAAGCTCCTTCATCTTATCCTCAAACTCATCACATTCAGCGAGCTGGTTCCCATCAAGCCACTGAATGGCATCTTCAACAGAATCCTCAATTTTCTTCTTGTCCGCTGGGTTGAGCTTCGAACCGATCTTTTCATCTCTCACTGTGTTCCTCATGTTGTATGCATAGTTTTCTAATGCATTCTTGGCCTCCACTTTCTTCTTATGATCCTCATCCTCTGATTTGTATTTCTCTGCCTCCTGGACCATATTCTCGATTTCCTCCTTGGACAACCTGCCTTTGTCATTGGTGATTGTGATCTTGTTCTTCTGCCCCGTGGTTTTGTCCTCAGCAGAGACATTCAAAATTCCATTGGCATCGATATCAAAACAAACAGTGATCTGAGGCACACCCCTAGGAGCAGGAGGGATGCCTGAGAGCTCAAACTTACCCAACAAGTTGTTGTCTCTGGTTCTTGTTCTTTCACCCTCGTAGACCTGAATCAACACACCGGGTTGGTTATCCGAGTAAGTCGAGAAAACTTGTTCCTTCTTGGTGGGAATGGTAGTGTTTCTCGGAATAAGAACAGTCATAACTCCACCAGCAGTCTCCAATCCGAGGGAAAGTGGAGTGACATCCAACAAGAGCAAGTCCTGCACCTTCTCATTGCCCTCACCACTCAAAATAGCAGCTTGCACGGCGGCTCCATAGGCAACTGCTTCATCAGGGTTGATGCTCTTGCAGAGCTCCTTGCCGTTAAAGAAGTCCTGCAACAGCTGCTGTACCTTGGGAATTCTAGTAGAACCTCCAACAAGAACAACATCATGGACAGTGCTCTTGTCCATTTTAGCATCCCTCAAACACTTCTCCACAGGCTCCATACATTTTCTGAAGAGATCCATGTTGAGCTCCTCAAATCTTGCTCTGGTTATTGTGGAGTAAAAATCAATACCCTCAAACAGAGAATCAATCTCAATGGTGGTTTGAGCAGTAGAGGAAAGAGTCCTCTTTGCTCTCTCACAAGATGTTCTCAATCTCCTCAGTGCCCTGGGGTTATTGCTAATGTCTTTTTTGTTCTTCCTCTTGAACTCCTGTACAAAATGGTTCACCATTCTGTTATCAAAATCTTCACCCCCAAGGTGGGTATCTCCAGCAGTAGACTTAACCTCAAAAATACCCTCTTCGATCGTAAGAAGAGAAACATCGAAAGTGCCACCACCAAGGTCAAAGATGAGGACATTCTTCTCACCAACACTTGTGGCTTTCTTGTCAAGTCCATAGGCAATGGCAGCTGCAGTTGGCTCATTAATGATACGCATAACGTTCATGCCCGCAATCACACCAGCGTCCTTCGTGGCCTGGCGTTGAGAGTCATTGAAGTATGCCGGGACAGTGACAACAGCATTCTTCACGGCCGAACCAAGGTAAGCTTCGGCGATTTCACGCATCTTCGTTAGAACCATAGACGATATCTCCTCAGCAGCAAACTGCTTCTCTTCGCCCTTGTAGTTCACCACAATGGTTGGCTTGTCCCCGGCGCCAGGAATGACCTTGAAAGGCCATAACTTCATGTCACTCTGGATAGAGGCATCACTGAATCTCCTGCCGATCAAACGCTTCGCATCTAACACAGCGCAAACAAAAGTTTAAGAGATTAGAGCCGCATATCAAAACCATTACAAAAACTAAATTTTATTTATAACTAAAACATTGCAAGGGAAAAAACTTAATTCAAGCATAAAGATGACAAACATCATCGATACAATCTCAACAGTAGTAAAGGGAGGAGAGGAACCCCACCATTAATAAATTACTAGATCTCGTGCACATCCGTATGTGATCAACAATACAACCAATGATAAATTACTTATTTGATATTGGCTTATTAATTAAATTAAACCAAATCACAATGGCTTATTTAACAATAACCTAATCTTTCTATCAGAAAAAAAAAGAAAAAAAAACTAATCAAAACACCAAATATTTACAAGGATTCATACAAATAAATCATATTAAACCACATCGAACAAAACCAAATCAAACACGTGATCTGCAAAGACGCATGCATATGCATACACGTAGAATCAAAAGAAACGAAACCACGCAGAAACGACGTTGCTTTTAGATTTAGCGAGATTGATTGAAAAACATGAAAACTCACCGAAGACAGTGTTGATGGGGTTCATAGCGACCTGGTTCTTGGCGGAATCACCGATCAAACGCTCAGTGTCCGTAAACCCGACATAGGACGGCGTCGTTCTGTTGCCCTGGTCATTGGCTATGATCTCAACGCGATCGTGTTGCCATACGCCGACGCAGGAGTAGGTGGTTCCGAGATCGATACCGATGGCAGGGCCCTCGCCTTTGGCAGCCATTGAAGAAAGCTTGAAACTGGTGCTTGTTTTGTTTGTGTGAATGTGAGTGCGTGGTATGAGGTGAATAGGTTAGGGAGGTGAAGTGAGGAGGTAGTTATATATATAGATGGAGTTTCCAGAAGCTTCTAGACCGAGTTTGTGTGGGATTTCATAGACCGAGTTTCCAGAAGCTTCTTCCTCCAACCGTTTCCATATTTTATAGAGAATGTGTTTGACAGTGTAAAAGGGGAACCAGTTCTTTGTCTAAAAATATGAAGGAGGTTATTCTATAGATTTGGAATTCACGTATCCCTCAATGATTTGGCTCCATTAAAGATTTTAAGTTAAGGACTTCTAATCTTAGCAATTAGATTGCATATGTGGTATATATTTTTTAAATTATTTAAACCACTAACATATCTAATGGATTGCTGAGATTAATTATAACTCCCTAAGTAATTTTTAACAAAATCCTCATTGGAAAAACTCCCTTTTTCAATTACTTTTTTTTATAAAAAAAATACAAGACTACGAGGAGGAGAGTGGTTTCTCACACACACTACTAAAGTGTCACGGGAGTGTTATGATTTCTCACATATTTTGAAATTACTTATTATGTGTTAGTAAACGCCGATGAAGTTGGAAATTAGAATAATTCTCTAATACTCATTCTAGCTAAGAAACCATAAATGACCAAATTTTGCAAGGGGTTTTGTGATAGAATAGAACTCAAGAAAAAAAAAATTCATAACCGGACTATAGCTAAATAAATAGAGAATACTTTTGTAGCAGCTAGCCACTTCAAGATTAATTAACTAAAAAAGCATATTAACTACATCTATTCTACCAAAACTTAGCTAAAGAGAGAGTACTATTCGATCGAGCTCTTCATAACCGCTAGCCTTATATACTTTCCTATACTCCTTATCCGCAGCAATATTCTCAATTTCCTCCTGGGATAATCTCTCATAATTGTTGACTGTGAGTATGTTCTTCCGCCCAGTGGTTTTGTCCTCAGCAACCGCATGGACAGTGAAAATTCCGTCGGCGTCGATATCGTAGCAGATGGTGACCTGAGGCACCCGCTGGGGAGCAGGACGGATGCCTGAGATCCCAAATTTACCCAACACGTTGTTTCTTAAGGGCCTTGGATTTTCACCCTCAAATACCTGAGTATACACGCAAGGTTGGTTATCCATGAAGGTTGACACAATCAGTTCCTTGCTGGTGGGAATTCTAGTGTTTCTCGGAATAAAGACATCCATAACTCCTTGCATACTATAAAATCCAAGGGAAATTGGGGCAACATCATGCAAGACTAAGTCCAGGCGGTTCTGATCGCCCAAAATGGCAGCTTGTACCGCGGCGCCATATGCAACTGCTTCATCAGGATTGATGCTCTTGCAAAGCTCCTTGCCATCAAACAAGTCCTGCAATAGCTGTTGTACCTTGGGAATTCTAGTAGAACCTCCAACAAGAACAACATCATGGACAGTGCTCTTGTCCTCCACCTTAGCATCCATCAAACACTTGTCCACAATGTCCATGCACTTTGTGAAGAGGTCCATGTTGAGCTCCTCAAATCTTTCTCTGGTTATTGTGGAGCAAAAGTCAATGCCCTCAAATAGAGAGTCAATCTCAATGGTGGTCGTTTGAGTAGTTGTGCAAGAAAGAGTCCTCTTCTCTCTCTCACAACATGTCCTCAATCTCCTCAATGCTCTGGGGTCATTGCTCATGTCCTTTTTGTGTTTGATCTTCAACTCCTCCACAAAATGGCTCATCATTCTGTTGTCAAAATCTTCACCTCCTAGGTGGGTGTCTCCAGAAGTAGCTTTGACCTCAAAAGTACCCTCTTCAATTGTGACAAGGGAAACATCAAAAGTACCCACCACCAAGATCAAAGATGAGGACATTGATCTTGTCACCGGCAGCACTTGAGGCTTTCTTGTTAAGACCGTAGGCAATGGCTGCGGCAGTTGGCTCGTTAATGATACGCATAAAATTCATGCCAGCAATCACACCGGCAGCCTTTGTGGCCTGGCGTTGAGAGTCACTGAAGTATGCCGGGACGGTGATAACAGCATTCTTTACAGTTGAGCCAAGGTAAGCCTCTGCTGTTTGCCGCATCTTTGTGAGAACCATAGCTGATATCTCCTCAGCACCAAACTGCTTCTCTTCACCCTTGTAGTTCACCACAACCATTGGCTTGTTTCGCCCGGCACAAGGAATGACCTTGAAAGGCCACAACTTCATGTCACTTTGAACAGAGGCATCAGTGAATCTCCTACCAATCAAACGCTTTGCATCTAGCTCAACCCAAATTAATGAAATCACATTAGAAATAAATTTGGTTGGATATATACATACCAAAGCATATATGTATAAACTAGATCAACGAAAACTAATTAATTAAGCACTCCTACAATCGTTAAAACTTTGAATTATATATTTTCTCGAATCACACGCACTTGTTAGAGATGCAATCAACAATAGAATCAACAATAAATGAGTATTCTAATCTTATTTATTCAACTGTCATGGTTATTGACATTCTGAAAAAGTCACCAATTTCTTTATCATAGAGTGCAATTTCTCTAATAATGACTTTTTTGGAGCGTCAATAATAATTCCCTAAGTATACGTGATAGGGTGTGAGAACTCACCGAAAACAGAGTTGATGGGGTTGATGGTGACCTGGTTTTTGGCAGCATCGCCGATCAAACAGTCTGCGTCTGTAAAAGCCACTTAGGACGGCGTCATCCTGTTGCCCTGATCATTGGTTATAATCTCAACATGGCCGTCTTGCCATACTCCAACGCATGAGTACGCGGTTCCAAGGTCAATACCAATTGCTGGTCCTTCACCTTTTGAAGCCATTAATTGAAAAACAAAAAATTATATGCCAGAAAATGGGAGGGGTTGAAGGATGAGAGGGCGTGAGGGGATGAGATAGGTTAGTCGATCATATAGAGAGACTGAGAGATTCGGATGGATAGGTTTAGGAGTTCTGGTTTGTATACAAAACGTGTTTGAGGGTGTGTTTGTGATGACCTAAAAGACTTCAAACATGATCAACTAGAACCTAGATTTTCTGTCACCGATTTTGTTTGTAAAATTACAAAACTCTGGAACAATTGTTAGCATAGTGAGATACCGAAGGCAAGTTGAAAAATAAAATAAAAATGGTTGTTCTGCTGGAGAAGTTTCTCCCAAACGTGGGATGAGATGTTTTTTATTTTAATTTCTAAGTTTTTGTTTTTGTTTTTAATTCCTTCCCTTCTTCTTTTTTTGTTGCCAAAGTTAGGAGGGGGGGAGAGAAGAGGGGAAATTCACACACACGGTACCATAAAAGTTTGAACCCATGACCAATTGGGAATTCTAGAATAATCACCCTCCCCCATACCCATTATCACTTGCATAAAAGAATAATCACGTTTTCATTTTTACTCTATTATTAATTTAAATTGAGCACGGGCTGGAGTTCATAATTTCACTAGAATGAAACCGCCCTTTTTTTCTTACTTAGGGAAGGTATGGATTGTGCTTGTAATTTTGGATAAATTGATCATATAGAAGAGCTCTAGAGTGGTCATTCACATTTATACACATCGAAATTTATTGGATTATTCGATTTCACTGATTATTCAATTTAAAAGTCCACATCTAGTAATCTCTTTGCGTTTGTGATGATGTTATTACAAAACTTATTAAGAAAGGGAAAATTTTGGTACGCTGGTTGTAAATTTTTTTCATTTATGTACTTTTTTTAAATACATTTTTTATGTACCTTTTTGTGTTTGAATAAGTACAATATATTCATGTTCTAAAAAGCTCAGCTCAGCTCCCCACGCAACTTCGCCCCTCCCTGTTCCCTCATAGGACTTTTGTCAATAGCCTTCACAAACCGCGCAGTTGTGCTTGTGCCCGCCTATATAACAAATACAGAAGCAGCAGTTGGTTGCCTATATATATAACAAACCCAGAAGCAGCATTTGGTTGCCCGCCTATTGTAAATCACATCCCTCCCTCCCAAGGAAATCTTGAATCAAATTTCTCTCTGATTTGATTTCTCATGGCAATGGAGATTCTAAAGAGCAAGAACTGCAGTACTGTCATTGCCCTAGCGGAGGATTTTATTGCTGTGACTCAGAAGGTGATTTCATTTCATAATCTTGACTATAGTATATCTGAATCTTTCTCTGCTATTGTAAATGTAATGACTTTCCACGGTCAAAAACCCTCCCCATCTGTTCCCACAATGAACGAATCTTTCCCACCGTTGCTTCTTCTTCTTCTTCATTGTTCAATCATCTCCTAACCTCTTACTTCTCGTTGTTCAGTGCTTCTTTGTAATTTCAGAGTCTTAGTTGTGGTTTCATTAAGTTTTCTCAATCCCTTTTGTTATTTTGCTTTCAAAAGTAGAATAATCTGTTTTTATGATGTATTTATGAATCTTTCTCTGCTGATACTATTTATGATCCTCCTCATCACAGTTTTACAATGTGAAAAGTCATTATCAATGGCTGAAACAAATGCAATGAAATAGGAAATTAACAATCCAAGAGCTAATTCTCTTAACATTGCACCAGCCCAAGTGATCAATTTGTTCATATTATTTTGCTTCTGTGAAAGTGTTTATGTTTTCAAACTACTCTTGAAGAACCAAAGTTAAGTTGAAACACGATAAAATAAAGAAAACTAGCATAATCTATTGATAATATTTCTGAATCTTGCTATGCTATTGTAAATGTAATGACTATTCATTGCCAAAGACCTTCTCTGCTGATAGTATTTCTGAATCTTTATATGATATTTTAAATGAAATGGTTATCCATTGTCAAAGACCTTTTCTGCTGATAGTACTTCTGAATCTTTCTATGCTATCGTAAATGGCATTGTTATCCATGGCCAAAGGCCTTCTCTGCTGATAGTATTTCTAAATATTTATATGCTATTGTAAATGTAATGGTTATGGCCAAAGACCTTCTCTGCTGAGAGTATTTCTGAATCTTTGCTATTGTAAATGTAATGGCCATTCATGGTCCCTGTTCCCACAATGAACAATCTTTCCGGCCGTTGCTTCTTCTTCTTGTCTTTGTTTCTTTCTTCGTTTCTTCTTCTTCTTCTTCATTGTTCAATCATCACCTCCTAAGCTCTTACTTCTTGTTCTTCAGTGCTTATTTGTAACTTCAGAGTCTTGGTTGTGGTTTCATGGAGTTTTCTCCATCCTTTTTGTTATTTTACTTTTAAAAGTAGAATAATCTAAAATCACTAAAATCTGTTTCTATAACCCTTTACCTGTTCTTTTCTTTTGCAGGAGAGACATGGAATATTTTTAAAATGTGTTAACTTCACTGAGCTAGGGAGGGAATACCTTCCTCTGTCTTTTAGCATACTGGCGGTAGTGGTGAAATGAGCTTCCTGTCAATCTCGCTTAGGATATCGAATCGAAAGAATGGAGGATCCTGCAATTGAATTTCCGAAGGAAGGTCATTTCCGAATGCACATGCACCAACTGGAGACTGAGGCTGTTCTTGGAGTGTGTTCAAATGACTTTGGTTCATCCAAAGTAGTTCATACAGATGGGTCTCAAGTGCAGTCAAATGACTCTTAGAGTGCCCCGAGCGTAAGCTTCTACTGCTGTCACTCATGCGGTACAAGCATTGCATTGGCATCAGACCGTATTTGGACCTCTCTGATCGACGGACACCACGGCTTATTTCAAAAAGTGTAAGCTTCAGAAAACTATTTGATCAATTCACTGTTTTACGCTTTCTTAAGTTTTTTTGTTTTTCAATCTCCATGCAGGTTACTCTTGGAAGTGAAGAGTCAACCAGTATATCCTGGTGATGCTATTTTAGTTGCACTGGAGGCCAACTGCGTTGTTTGCAAACTGTTTCTGGGATACAAGATTGAAAAACTGCGGGATCGTAGCATTAAATTACCAAAGGAGGGCCAGTTTTTCCTTGACGTGCAGAAGCTGGATGCCTACCTGGAGTCTGGTAATTGTCTTTAATTTCTGGATTGTTTTATTCTATCCAGGCCCACAGAAGCCAGTCCTGTCCCCTTATGCAATAGAGTATACTATCCAGGCCCACAGAACCATGTGGCTCTCGCAATCCATGCCGTATGATATGTTTGGTTTTCTTGTTTTTGGTCAACATGTTTGGTTATCTTTTTGAATGGTTATTTATTCATTATTATCTTTTTTTTTCATATGATCATATTGGTTTGGTCATCTGATCGAGTTTTGATTTGGTAGGAGATTCACTGATGCCTATTTTAAGATTGTAATAGTAATGATTCTAAAAGTAAAAAAGGAAAAGAGAATGAACAGTAATTCAAACTCTAATATCGGTATAGTAATAAATGCTCGTAACACTAGAGAGCTATAAAAAAAATTATTGAAACAAAAGTAAATTCCAAAAATTCCTGAATATTATTTGTTGCAGTAGTCTGGTCAGCTGACAAACTAAACTAATAAACGCGGATTACTATTCTAAAACTTCAAATTATAAATGAGATCAAATTGAAAAGCTCGATTGAGACCATGTCAATTTCCTTGTAATAACAAAATTTCAAGGAGGAGCAGCGTCGTTTGCATGCACTTGAAAAGCAGCATCTAGTTGATGCAGGAACATCACAAATTGACCTTCCTTTGGAAATTCAATGATGGGATCCTCCACCCTTTGAATCTTGTATCCCAAGAAAGCTTGGCACGCAGCGCATGTCACATCTGTCGCCAGTATGCTAAAGGAAGGATCACGGTATTCCCTCTCTACCTCAGCCAAGTTTACACATTTTAGGAATATTCCATGTCTCTCCTGCAAAAGAAAGAAGAAGAAAAAAAAGGTAACATGTTATAAAAACAAATTTCAATGATTTTGCTGTTTTACTCTTCGAACTGTGACCCTAAACGAGGTTAACCCTCACAAACTAAAAATTTGAACTAATCAAAACAGCCAATTTAGCGCCATGGCTATTTTAATTAGTTCAAGGTGCTAAATTTGCTGATTTTTAAGTTGGGGGGTTAAATTTGATTAGGTGATAGTTCATGATATAAAACGGCTGAAAAACCCATCGTAATTTTAAAGAAAAACAACAAAAAGGATTGAGAAAACTGCATGAAACCAAAACCAAGACTCTGAAGTTACAAAGAAGCACTGAACAACAAGAAGTAAGAGCTTAGGAGCTGGTGATTGAACAATGAAAGAAGATGAAGAAAAGAAGAAGAAGAAGCAACGGCTGAAAAGATTGTTCATTGTGGGAACAGATGGGGAAGGTCTTTGGCCATGAATAGCCATTAAATTTACAATTGCAGAGAAAATTCAGAAATACAATTTCCTTACTCCGCCAGATTCAGAATGCTTGCAGAACAAGATCGTTATCACTAAAATTATGAATTTAAATTACCTTCATAGTCACCCTAATGCAATCATTCGCTACGGCAATAACAGTACTGCAGTTCTTGCACTGTAGAATCTCCATTGCCATGAGTAATCAGTGAGAAAATTAAGTGAAGATGTGCTTGGGGGAGGGAGGGAGGGATGTGCTTTATAAGGGACTCCATGAAGTAGGAAACTTAGAAAGAAAAAATTAGGATGGAAATTGGGAAACTTGGAGGTTGGAAAAATTATAATTGGAAAGTGGGAATCTTAAGCCTCTGCTGCTCATCTTCATGCTTTACAATTAGGAAACCCGATAATAAAAAATTAGCATGCAAATTGGGAAACTTGGAGGCTCTTTTCCCTCTCGTAATCAGACCCATTGGAATTGGATGTGATCATGTGAGGATTGCAAGAGAATTATTGGGCTTTCCATGTACCGTACGGTCCTCCCTTTGTTTAAAGCTTTTTATTGGGCTAAGCTCTTTTGTAATTTGGGCTTCGTGTGTTCCTTTTTCTCCCAGTTTAAAGTTTTCCAGATTTTAGTTTCAGGCAGTGACTTATTCAAACCCAGAAAAGTACATAAATAAAATTTAATTAATAAATAAATAAATATTTACAACCAGCTACCAAATTTTTCCATAACTTTCTTAATCAATTATTTTGTAATAACATTATCAAAAACGCAAAGAAGTTGATAGATGTGGACCTTTAAACCGTATAATCAGTACTAACCGGTTTGGATTGATCTTAACAAATTGGTCATGTAGGAGAGATAAGTGGTCGTCCACAATTTACTTCTCAAACACTCTACAATGTAATAATTTAAAAAGAATTTCTGGAACATACCCATTTTTTTTAATAACTCTCTAATAGTAAGAGCATTTATTGAAGGTGAGTTGATTTCTACCAAGTATCAGCTTAATTAATTGATAATAAAGTTTGAAAGGTGAAGCTACACTACATATATATAAAATCGTAATGCTAAGGCTGAAAATTTTAAATGATTTTAAATACAGCTTAAAGCACATACAAAAATATTGAAATATATAGTTAGTTGGGAGAGGATCGTTAATCTATATATATATATATATATATATATATATAGCAAAATGCAGAGAATGGTGAAATATTTAAAATGCTAGAAAATGCTCTTCGTTAATGCAAATATTAAAAATTGAAACTATTAATGATGATAATATAGTAAATTCAGACCTTTTCATATTAAAAAAATTTATAAAAACAAAATAAGATAATTGATCATATTTTTATAGAACATAACTATCCATCATCTTTTTAAATTTTATATAAAAACAAAACAAAACAAAAAACCAATTGGCACACTCGGGTGCCAAGGGCTGGTTAGTAGAATGGTAAAAGAAACTTTTATTTTCCACAATATTTTTCTTTTTTGATATTGATTTCTGTGCTCGTGCAGGTACCAGTTATGTCTTTCCGGACCCTATTATATATGACAGGGATGTGGCTTTTGCCTCCTACACTAAATAAACCTCGTTCGAAATAATATTATATTTTGTCGGCATGCACAAATAGATAGATACTAATTTTTCCCCTCGCGTGTTGGAAGCTGTGGTTGGTTTTCTGGTCATTCTCCTGATCAGATTAAAGCGAGAGAGAGAGAGAGAGAGAGAGAACTTCTTTTAACTTTGGTAGCAGATTTGTTCTCTCCCACACTGTCGAAGCTGTGCGTTTTGGTTGTGCTTGTTAGTTTCATATGGCTAGTCCTTTTGTTTACATATAGAATTCTAACACAACAATATCTGAGTACAATCTACGGTGCATGATGTATACCTAACATGGTATCAAAACTTCGTTACGATCTAGCGACATGTGGGTTATGGGACCACCATGCTTATCTGAGGGTAATTAGCATTTAGACTTAGTAATTTAACTTAACTGAGTATTAATAAGATGTACAATATACTGTAGATTGATGCTAAAAATACTATAGCCAATCACCTCCTCTCCTATATTATTTAACGCATCACATCCACTTGTATTGCAACATAGCTTTGACATAAAAAGTAAAAATGGTTCGTACCATCTCTCTATTTGAAATTAGATGGAGAACCTTGCTTTTGATGGAGTTGACCCCCCCTCATAATGCTTGATTCATGAAGGTTTGTACCGAAAAAGCGAGCAATTTAGGTCCAACCAATAAACCATTTAATCATTTACATATCAAACCCAAAAAGTGCATAGGGTTTGTGGGGCAAGAACATTATCTGTCTACGCGCAAAGAGTCCCCTGTGGGAGTGTATGAGAGAGAGAGAGAGAGAGAGAGAGAAGGGATGGATCAGATGGACAAGTTAATATGTTAAAGCTGCAATTTGCTTCCTTTCCAACTAAACATATCTCACCACATGAAGAGAGTTAGCTTTTGGCATGAAAAAATGGAGCAAAAGGCCGTACTCTGCTAAAATTGGATGGAGAATTAGATTCCAACGCCACTAAACCAACCAAAGATCAGTCTTTTCCGATTGGGATCGATTTATTTATAAACAAACAAGTCGAATCTTCCGCACGTTCATTCAAGATAAAAACAGCAGCAGGAAGCACGATGAGATATGCATGCAATATTCTTAAGATAAAAATATTAATGCCCAAACAAAGAGATTATGAGGCAGCAGCTCCACCCATGCATAAATTCTGGCCTTCATTTAAAGTTCAAATAATCAACTATTAAATAAGATAAACTAAACTGAATCCACCATTATTAAGGGAAATCTATCCTCTCTATTATTCTAAAACACTTCAGCCACAGCTGGTTTATATAGAGCCCAACAATGGGTCAGGCAAAGGTCTCTTTCATTACACTGGCTAATTAAAATAAAAAATCAATAGAAAACAAGACTAGGAGTGTTAGAATACATTATTTATTTGACCCAAAAAAAAAATTCGTTTAATTTTTAGATATTCCCTCAACGATCATATAACTTGAATCTGAAACCATTTGACCTTAATTAGATTATTATTTTAATCTTTTCTTGGTTTATCATGTTCATTTATTTTGTTACTAGCAATTAGATACTTTAATAATTTTTTATTTTTCTAATTTTTTGCAAGGATGATCTATGAATGAAGACTTGAAAAATAGACGGTTTGAATTTGTTAAAAAAAAATTTGTAGAGTACCTTAAAATGTGTCTCTCAAATAATTTATTTGAGAAATTCTCAATGAATATATGTATATTGTTGGTAATTTTAGAAAAGTAAATCTATGGTTGGAATTTGAGAATGCTATAAGATTTTCATGGTCATCTATGTTGTTGGCGATGAACATGATTGAATGCACGACGCTTCCACGTGGTATATTGTAATTGTACAACACAAAAGAAAAATAGTAGTTTATTGCACATCTTCATGAGTTGCGACCCCTTTATATGAAAAATATTCGATAAACGTCAGCAAATTTTAACTCAAATTGAAAGTTGGACAAGTATGATCGCTCATGTTCTTTTGAGTTTTGACTGATTTTCTTGATAACAAAAGGCAAGGAAATTTCAAACAAGATATAAAATATTCACAAGTGTTACTATCATGAACTAAACTTTACTTTCGCTGCTCAATTCGTGTCGTATATATTTCGTAGTGGTATATAAGAAATTTCTCCTATAAATTAGTAGGGTCTCGATATCATAAAGAAACTTATTTATTCCGAGATGTATACACCCTTGGTCGTATAACACATCACATGACCTGATTATTATGTAACTCAATAAAAATAAGTTTGTATACAACTCGGGATAGTTGAGTTGAGTGAGTTCATAACTTCATATCCCCCCCCGACCATAGGCATCCGATGAAAAAGATTGACATTGATGTGTTGCTACATCATTGGACTATGGGGGCGCCACCAGCCCATACTTTCTTAATTTCAGGATCCTACTTTTGCTCATTCATTATTAAGAGCCGATGGGGCCGCAGCTTGAGAAGTCATCTACAAATTTTTCTATGCTTTTTAACGTTTAACTTAACTTTTTTCTGATATCCGTTGGATTTTTCTCGTGCCGTAACCATTAGCATTGTTTTTCCATGAAAAACAAAATGTAGTTCTCATTTGTTTTTCAGTGATATCTATTGATTAGAGTATGTTTTATATTTAAAGCACGTAAATGCAAGACTTTATTGTAGGTGAGTTATCTCATTAAAATCAATTAAATAATATTGTAACATTAGTTTTTATTTTAGTACAAGCGATATCGTAACATTAGTTAGAATTACTAATTAAAATGTAAAATTTGTACTTTCTACTTTCGGATGGACATTCCAACGAGGGGTTTGAAGAGATATTTGGGGTTAGAAATGGATTTTAAATCCCATATTAGTTAAGTATCAAGTTAAACAATGTTGAAATTGTAGAATTGTTTGTCTAAAAAAATTGTGGAATGGAATTGTTTATTCAAATTTCTAACTTAAAGTTGAAATGTTATTTTCTAAAATCTATTACATAATATCAGCCTTTTCTTAGTTTATTATGCATGAAACTTTTATTTTAATTTTAAAAGCCTTCTATAGCATGATCTATTTGTGCTTTTCCATTTTATAAAAAAATTTAAAAAATCCAAATATACAAGTTTGGCATGAAATTAAATTTTTTTTTTGTTCCAAATATATTCAAAATTGGTCTATTTTTAAAGATCTCTTTTAGAATATTTCAATGGTACAATTTATCCATTTTATTTTATTTGGGTATTGAAAAAAATATGTAAGAAGAAATAACTATTGATCTGAAGCTATAGAACTCTCCCCCCTCCCCCTAAACTATTTTTTTCATTTAAAAAAAAAGATTAAAAAATAGTTCAATTTATTGAACTATTGAACAACTATTGCGGATGCTCTAACAGCACAAGTTTGAATCTCCTTCAAGAAAATGGATCTTGGAGACATTTTCAAAAAACATCATATTGATTTAAAGATATAGCATACATGGTGTAAATTTAGGTGATAGTATGTCCTCTTTCTTCATAGCATCATATTTCACTAAGTAATCTTATTTTAGGTTTTTCTTTCCTCATGCTAAAGTATAATATTGTATCCTATAACATCATCTAGCATTTTTTTTCCCCATCTTTCTTAGGTT